GAGCTGTATGGGACGTACAGGTGGGTACCAAGCCGCTTTACCTGGCAAATGATCGTGAAGTCTGGCGAGATCATCTTCATCACCTCAGCGATGTTGGGTAGCCCATATGACTTCGGGTAGTCGCGGGTCAATATGTGGAGCGCCGGCCGTAGACTACAACCGCAGAGTCTCCTCACACGGCTCACCTCCTAGGGGGGTTTACGAATATGAAGTATTATTGCTACTATATTGTTACTATTAGACAAAGAAGTCATTGAATGAAGGCTTCAGCGGCAACAGCTTGCCTCAGGGTTGTGGGGGGCGCGGAAGGCAAGGTCCCCCCTCAGGACTAGGGCCCACACGCAGCAAAAGCGGAGAATGCCTTGTTCCTGCCATGCCGGGTTGTGCACTACCAAAGCTCCAGCTGCCAACCCGTGAAGTCTGATGGCACTGTGAGCATGGCATCCCATCCCCCTCTCTTCCGCGCCTCTGCTCCACTAGCGGACAGGCTGAGTCGGATGTGGGAAGGACCTGAAGCTCCGGCAACTCTCTCGGCAAAGGCTCTGCACGGTGAAAAGTGCAAATGACTGACTCGCCTATTGATGGCTTCGCTCATGTAGCTGTCGCAGCTGAGCGCAGGCAGTGCCATCAGCAGGACTTGTGTTCCATCTTGGGAGAAGCGAAATCTTGAAGAATGTAAGAATTCCTGGAGTAACAGGTCTCAAAACTTTCACGAGTTCTGAGAGGGCGGCCGCAAGCAAGGGTGTGGAGGTCGATGGAGGCCTGCATAGAAACGGCCAAGTGGTAAAATGCGGTCATGATCCAGAAGGGCGAATAGGAGGGTGAGGGGTAGCAGGTGGCCAAATAAGGCCGTAACAAGCCAAATACATCCTTAACAGCCTTAACAAGTCTCCAAAACCAAACTCCCCCCCGCAATACATGTTTCCTTCATATCACACCTAGGTCCTGCGCCCCTGATGCCAGAAGCCCCACAACATCAGAAACCTGATCCCTGCATAAGGTGACTCGCGCAAGGCAGGCAAGTTCCCCCGACCTCGCCGAGGTTCTGCGAGTTGATCCTGGACGCACAGCTTTCTGGGGTGTGCGACGCAGACGCACAATAGCCACTGCTGGCTGAAGGGCGCCAGGCTGCTTTGGCTTCGAAGACAGGTAGAACAACGCGATGTGGCCGTCGCATGGGGTTGCAGGAGGCTGTGACATGTTCTGGTTTCAAGCCCTGGATACCGAATAGGATGCTCAAGCAAGGGCGCACCTTAACACATCCGGAGCCTCAAAAGCTCGCGTTACATACAGTAAACATGAGCTGCTCCCAAAGGCCCCACCAGCCTGTTGAAGCACTGTATCCGGAGGGACCGGTTCTTGAGCTTCTCCAAGTAAGGTCTCAGCACAGCTGGAACGCTCCGGCTCACCGACAAGATAACATGTTGCAAACTTCTCTTCAGACGGCTCCGGGATGCTCCCGCATCCGAAGCATGCTCACGCTGCAGCCTTTTTGAACCATGCTGCGGTCCACGCCGTGTGCTCTCGCCGCATCCACTGCGCTCACGACGGCATCGCGCGCTGGCTCTTCTCCCCGCTCGGCAGCAGCAGTCTTCTCGATGTTCCGCCCGCTGGAGCGAGGTTGAGGAGGCTCCTGGAGCTCCCGGCAGCAGGCGGAACGCCGAGAGGAGAAAGCCGGAACCCATGTGCGCCCTGGAAGTCCTTATTGTCTTGGACGTCCTTGTCGAAACACCAGCAGCAGCGGGTTGAAAGCTGCGAAGTTCTTCATCGCTGCCAAGGCAAAAAGGGCGCGCCGAATTCTTGGACCCTCTCCCAGGCCTGCATCCACACCACAGCCTTTTCAAGCAAGCCGCGGTCCTGAAACATCGCAAGACTGTCTACACAGCCTGGATTGCGGCGGCGAAAAGTCAGACGGGACAGATCTGGAGACCTTGGTCCGCTCCGTCACTGCACTGCCCTTTCTATGTTTCTTGCGTAAGCTACATTGTGATCTTTTTACTATGTATATTCCTAGCGAGTTATCTCGACTGGTGTAGAACTCTCTCACGCTTCAAGACATATATTCAGCTCAGCGCGTGCTGGTTGCTTTTTAGGGCTCGGAGCAACACTCAACACTCCTTGCCCTTGTACTTGTAAACTTTTTCATCCACCCTGGGGGTGAGGGCTCCTTAGGAGGCACCCAACTAACTCGGCACGCCCACACCTCGGCTTCAGCGACGATGTTGTCTCGCTGCCGCAAAAAAAACTTGCCGTATTCGGCTTTCATCTCGCGGTGCCCCTTGACACCGCAGTTCTGGTGGCCGTACCACTCATTGGGCTTGTTACACGGACTATAATAAGAGGAAACGGCACCGAACTTGACTAAAAAAAGGTGGCGTGCAGCATCCGCTTCCTGCGAAGTTAGCGGTTAGTGTCACTTTGTCGACGCAACAACTCACGCGTGCTAAGTTCGAACGCAGCCACCTGGTTCCTCCAAGGCACGACGTTCTCTGCCGGCCTTATTCCCGAATGCTCCGCAGAAGGGTTCCCGTTTTAAAGTTGGGGGTCTGGGGGTTGCGGCCGGCCCATCTTGGAAGCAAGCGCTCCGATGGCCCCAACGAGGTACTGTCTGGGAGTGCTCTGCCCTCTCGGCATGGACAAAGTTGCCAGCCGGGAAAGTGCGCAGTTCCGCATGCAGCAGCCACTGGGAAGAGTGCCGACTTCGACCTTCTTGACCTTGCTGATGCGGCACGGCAGACTTCCAGGAGTCATCGGCCCATCTGCAGGTGCAGCGGATGCAGAGGTGTACAGAAATGTGGTTGCACAAGCCATCGAAGTACTCTTTGGTGCATGGCACTGCTCTGCGCTCCCGCAAGAATGGCAATGATGGACATGCACGTGGCACCGGTGGCACGTGCACCGAGCTTGAGCCGGGCACTGTTCGGAAGTTCGGCCATCCCTTTGCGCAAAGAGCAGGTGATGCTTGCAGCGAGCAAAACTGCCTCCAACCTGCAGATTGCAGGCTACCGGGTGCAAGCTGAAGCCTGGTCCTCAGCCCCGCGCATCTCGTATTGAAAGCCCGCCTTGAAGCTCCATTCCGGGTTCCTCGCTTCCGAGTTGTTCGACTGTGTTCAACTTCTAGGCTTGTGGGATATTTATAGGCTCAATATGTACATGCACTGCACGGTCGTCTTGTTGCCCTCCCGGAACGAAGCCCTCTCGCGAAGCTTTCTTGAGCTCCCTCTCGTTTAGTGTTCCCTGCATCTGCAAGTAAGCCTAAACAGTGCCAACCTGTTGAGTGATGAGGAGTCAGAGAGTCACGTCGCAGAAACTGACCGTTACGGTATGCATCTTTCTTCAGGGTTGGATTGGAAGTTGTTTGTGCGGCCATCAGTGCAGCGAAGGCTTGTCGCGGGATGACACCACGAGTTGGCAAGGGCACATATGCAGGCACACTGCCAACCTGTTCAATTCAACATCGGGCCTGCATCTGATCTCTGCCCCTTGCTCTGCTGTCCTCGTGTTCTGTTCCACGTTCGACTTGAACAACTTGTAGTTGTCGAAATCGATCCTGTAGACGCTGCCGCGATTCTCGGCATAGTCTCCAAGAGAGGTTCCACCATGCACCGCTTCTTCCGAACTTGCCCCACAAGTTAAACAATTGCCACCAAGCCGCTTCAGGAAAGGATCGCAAGCCTTCCGGCCAAGCTGTGCAAGAGAAGACTGAAGACATGCGACGGTAGTCAAGACATGCTGCAGCCACGAAGCCCTGCCCACTCGCAGAGTCACACATACCTCCCAAGGCTTACTCGCCACTGCTTTCCCAAGGCCCACCTCAGGGGCGTTCAGGCCTTCGCAAGCAAACTCATAGAGCTGCACCTTGGAAAGTTTTAGGTTCGCTTTGTGCTGCGATCTCGCATGAATGCCTTCATTGAAGGGCAGGCGCTTGTCTCATGTTCAAAGGTTGGCAATGTTGAATTTCATGCAGTCTCACGAGCGACTCTTTGCAGAACCCCCCACTCCCTCCCTCCTGCTGCAAGCAAAGCAAACCCTCGAATCCTGCCGCACAGTGCTTTTGTCCCGCTTGCAGGTCTCGGACCGGTCCCGATGAAACCTAGAACAGTTTCGAGTTTCGGGTTCGGGCCGCTGCGATGCTTTGCTGGGTCAGTCATGCCCCAAAACCACCAAGCTGCCAATAACCCTAAACCCTCAACCCTTTTGCAACGAGCTTGGCTATGCTCCCGCCCGGTTTGGCTGTCCCAAACCCTAAACCCTAAACCCTAAACCCTAAACAACAGGAAGCGGGTCGATAAGCGCGGCTCATGCCGAAACCAGGCTCGCCTCGGTGCCTTCGGCTACAGGTTCGCATCTGAGCTGCTCTACATTCTCGGTTCCTATTGCTGAGGTGCCTCTCTCAACATGTCAGAGGGTTAGGTCTTCTTAATACAGTGACCCCCTTTCGAAGCACGGCAATTTGGGGGAGCCAGTCGCGGCAACTTGTAGAGGGGATGAGATCCAATCAGAGGGGCTTCCACGCTCAAGGCTCGCACGAAGCTTAGGTCACTGTGAGGTGGTCTGCTCATAACAAGGACCCCATAAACCCGGTTCTTAGATTCTTGACTCCGCAATTCCCAGTTCCAGAAGTTTCTACTGATCCCTTTCGTATCTGCAGGTGCAGCAGACATGTGGCAAACTTAGCAAGAGTGCCTGGGTCGGGCTTTTGAACCCAGCCGCCCGCATCACAACCTGAAACGCGCAGGAATGCAGGGAGGTTTGGGGTCCTTCTGGTCATGTCTCTTGGGGTCCAGAGCGACTAAGGCTTCTAAGGGCATTGGTAGGAAACAAACCAAACCTGAAGACGTGACATGATGCACCATGCACTCAGATACCACCCTACAGTGTCAGCCCCTTAAGAAGCCCTTAAACTTCAACGGCTCCAGAGCACCAGTGCCAGGCACCACAGTGCTGATGCAGAGGGCTGGTGCAGGACACGAAGTCCCAACGATCGAGAAATGCAATGCTTAGTCGCTGGGCTGAGACATGAGAAGCCCAAAATAGGCAGCCCTGCACAATTCCTCAAGCAAGCAGCCCCAGTCCGTGCAGTTTGCGAAGCGGGGCCAAGCCACCAGAGGACCCGACCTTGCGGATCTCTGAGGACTTTGGGAAGTTTATAATGGGTTCTTTGATGCAGCGCGAACGTGTAGCCACTACCTGTACGTTTCGGAGGTTCTACATCCCGGCGTGTACACAGGTATTGAGTTGTCAATTGCTCCGCAGTCAGTGGTGCCAGGACACAGATGCTTTTGACACTTTGGTGTCTGCGTGGAACTGGGCACCGCCAGGGCTACAGCGTGCGAACATGGATCCTGAATTCTGGGCATGTGGCGGAACGTAGATGCCATATCGCACGCCGTCGAAGTAGTTGTTATATCGCAGAGGAGGGCAGTCCTTGTGTAGAGAGGTCTCGCTGCAAGGCAGTGGCTGTGCAAGTTTCCTCGCGTCCCCCGACAATGGAATTCTCCGGGCTTGGACGCTTAGCCCCTGGAGTTTTATCGGCATCATGCGGGTGAAGGCTAGAGTCGCGTCTCACACCAGAGCAAACCAAAAACGCAAGGCGGGAGAGCAGATCGGAAGACGTCCACTCACATGCGGCCGAAGCTCTGGATCCTCTGGTAACCAACACCTCGGAAGAACGGAGACAAAACAACATCCGGGCGCCTCTGTTTCTACAACTACCGTTTCGTGTGGCGTGCCGCTATCTTGCAAGCACGAGACCTTCTCACGATCTGCTAGATCACGCGACAGCTGCAAACCCGACATCACCTGAACCCTCGTGATCCCTCCTTTGGTCTTCAGTCTGCCAGATGCTGGCCGAATGGCGGCAGGGCCCGCTCCTGTGCATATGCTGACATGTGGAATGTGTCATTGAGCAGGGCTTTCACCGGCCTTTGCTTGGTCGCTGTGCGTTTTGCCTTTCTGGGTGAGATTTAGGGGTGATTTCAAGTCGTGTCGTACCTCAAAATCCACACCTGACAAGCAAAGGTTGCCCGTCGGACAATACCTTGAGGAATTATTGCGTCTGCCAGGGGCATCTCCGGCCTGGAACATGCGAACCACGTGCGGACCTTGGCAGGGGACAAAGCAAGTTCATTCAGCACCCACGCGACATACCTAATTCCAATTCCTGCAGAATGAGCAAAAGCCCTGCTGATGCTGAAAGTGGCTGAAGCTCATTATCGCTCCGAAGTGCCCACAAGGTGTTACACAATGCTCCTTTCGACTTTGCATACGAAGGAATGTCCCAGACAGGGATGACCCCAGCAATGCTGTGAATCCAGGGCAAGGTCTCAACCTCCTTCTGTTGCCGTTAGGCTGGTAGAGTTAGAGTCGTTCGCGACTATCGGTTAAGGGGGCAATGTATACGGACATCGTGGTCCGGTCTTCAAGCATTTTTTGTCTGACAGCTGCGAGGTTCTCTGAGGGGCAGACCGCAGGTGAACTGAGCCCCCTCCTCCAACTGAAGCTCCTTCCAGGGATGAGTCCACTTGCCGACCACTGCGACACAACGTGCGATGGCGAGAAACAACCAAACTCAAATTCCTGAGAACCTTCGAGCCGTTCGTCCTGCTTGGGGCAGTCGCGGGCAGTCACTGCCTGCATTTGCTTAGCTGGGCTTGCTTGCGACATTGGATCCCGGCCGTGCTAAGTGAAGGCATGTTCAGGAAGTCAGTATCAGCACCCATCCGAACATCGCAGGACTTGAGTCATCAAATCAAAGACTACCTTACTACCTTGCGGACAAACAGACACGTGCAAAACAAATGGGTGCCGTTACTTCCACATCTGGCACGGACCTGCTGAGCATGCATGGCCCTTCAGCCCCTGGCAAATCACACCCTGGCAATCACAAAAAACCTCGTCAACACATATTCGGCAGAGCATTCTCAAACCCTGTGCACCTATGTTCGCACACGTGTCTGAATCTGCCACTCCCACAGTTGAAGCAGAGTACCAGTCCCAAGCCGACAGTAGCCCAATGCGAGGTTTGATATTTGCACCGACGCAGGCATACACTGCATACGCTAAATGCCCGCACCATCGGCCCTCACCTTCAGCCAGTTTTGCTGCACAGTCCCAGAACCCCTAAAAGCCGACCCTTGCACCAGGGCTCTGTGCCTTCAAGGCAGCCAGCGCAGTCACGGGTCCCATCCACCTTCTTGGCTTTGGACATAAGCTGTCCACCCCATCGTCTCCTAAACAGCTCCGGTGACCCCTCAACACCTCAGTGTATCGAACCAACCTAGAACACAAAGTCTGGAAGTAGAGTCAGACCATCGGACATGCCCACAGACAGGCGCACTCTGAGGTCGTCCCAAAGCGTTCTGCCACAGGCTCGCCCCTGCGTTGTCGGGCTCAGCACGTCTACTTTTTCTACGTAGTGAGCTTCTGGCTACTCATCAAGCACATAACCCATGGATGTAGGGGCAAGCTAGACGATGAGGATCATGTTCTGGGCAATTAGCTCATTGGTTCAGTTGAAGAGCACTTGACTTGGTTCGAAGTGCCACAGCTCACTATCTGTGCTGAGTCATGGCCTAGCACGCTTCCCACACTTCTTCCAAGCCTGTACCACGCCGCAAGCTGCTTCAACATCTCCTGCCAAGCTCTTGCCAGGGAGCTTATGAGAACAATCCTTTTGGCAGACATGGAAATTCGGGCATACTCGCGCTAAGGGTCAGTGCTTGTTCTCCATCCTTCCCTACATCTACAAGGGGGGTTGAGCGCCCGGAGCCGCCATTTTCTGGGAATGCTTGTTCGCGACGGTCGGAGTTCATGTTTCGAGAGATTTGATTTTGGATGTGCCGACTGCACTTCCAGCAAACCTAGGCATCGTGCGATAAACTCTGTCGGGGCCAGCTTTTGCATCATCGGCTTTCGTGGCGTCAGACACCGCGCAACAGTCTGTGCTGTGCTCGCGACTGTGTCTGCGATGGCATGTACATTCAAAGCCCTCGGCCACTACAATCTGGCCCGAGCCTGCATGAAGGAGCTGTTTGCCACCGTGCCCATCATTGCATTGAGGACGCTGCCGTCCTGTTGACAGATATCGCTTCAAGTAGTCGTGTGCCTAGCTGATGGTAGTGGTTACACGTGCCCTTGGGCATCTTTACGGATCGTTCAGGTTGGACATGTTAGACAAGCCCATGTGGTCCATGTGGCTAGGTTGACTTGCTGGGGCTTCGGCCCTAACCCACTCCTTGCTGACAGCGCGACAAGCATGGAATCACTTTTCGTGGGCTTGCCGTCCCACCTCGGAGAAGCTAGCCAAGAAGGTTGTGGCCTTTGCTGAAGCAAGGAAGGCTTGTGTGAGGATGCCCACAGTTGTGCGCTGAGTCGCTAGGCTGCTCCAGCCCAAACTTCGCATGTTGTAGTATGCAGATCACATTACAATACTGGCTGGAGAGTTGCATACACCAGTGTCCCGTAGGTGAGCCATGAAGTTAGTTGCGCTGCATGCTACCACCTACCATGCAAATTCAAGTAGAAACAACTCGTCACCTACCCATGCAAATTCAAGCAGAAACAACTCGGAAAGGCCACAAAAAATGAAGAATGGAGTCCACAGAGAGAGAGAGAGAACGCGCGAGAGAGAGAGAGAGAAGTGAGGGGTAGCGAGTGAGAGAGAGAGAGAGATAGACAACAGAGTCAATTGGCAAGAGACTGAGCGGTTCCCCACCAAAAGTCCAATAATAGTAATACTATTCAAATGGGGCTTTTGGCCCTTGTCCAAAAGACTGTACAATACCAAAAGAGAACTCATGAAATGCACGCAAGAGAAAAGACCACAGAACCCTTAAAGAGAGAGAGAGAGAGAGGGAAAGAGAGAGAGAGAGAGAGTGAGTCAGAGAGAGAGAGAGAGTGAGGGAGGATCCCAGACGCCCGAATCGAACAAGTACATTGCTTCCCACACGCCAAAGCCCTTTTTCAGAATGAGCAAAGCCACCTCGCCGGCCAAATCTTCGAAGGGCCACTTCATCTCCTCGGGGGTCTTTCTCTTGGTTGAGAACCATCATTCCGTTGGCCAAGATCAATGACAAGAGTCTAACGCGTGCAGTCGCTGTTCAATCCCTCGGAAGCTTTGGACGGCCCAGTGAGGAACTTTCAACTCCACCCCTCCTTCAGGCTGCGACAAACTCAAGTCCCTTAGCCGCGGCTGCTTCCGTACTGAAGCACCGAGATGCCACGTCCAGGTCCGTGTAGAAGCCGCCCTCGCGGGCCAGCACCGCGGCGCGGCAGACGTCACTTCGGTAGCTGCCCCTGAGAGTCGTCAAGGCCGGGCAAACTCAAGGGGGGGCGGCGGGGGAGGGCGGGGGATCCAACATAAAGACGTGTGTTCTATCCTTTTCGAGCTTTGGGTTGTGAACGTTCGAAGGGCAGTCAAAGGTGAGGGTCGCTATTGCGGGGGTTGCAGAGGCGTCAGTGTAGCAATCACGCCGGTTCGTGGGCGTGGGCACGCAAGAAGAGAGCCCCCCCCACACCTCTTCTCGTTCGTGAAGCGGTCTGGCAGCTCTGTGTGGTTGTAATGTTCCAACAAGTATCCTTGGCTTCATGGCACCATCTTCTGTTGTCGGATCACGAGTTTGGAAGCGGCTTCAGGGCTGAGAGCACGGTCCACACACCCTGACAGAGAGCTCATAGTTTCCAGACTGAAATGGGCACAAAGTTCCCGAAAACTCGTCTTCCATTTAAAGTTCACTTGCCCAGCCAGCAATGCGCATGATTACGCCTATGATTGCTCTTCCTCTTTGCGGCACGGGTTCATGTATGTATTTTCTAACCTCATTTTTTGGCGCAACTCTACTCAGAAATTCTTTCGACGTAGTGTCAAAAGGGGGAACGTTTCGCAAACCATCTTCATGGGTTGACGATTTCCTTCTGTTTAATTGTCTGTTGCTCCTCTCGTAAGATCTGGAAGCCTTTTTTATGCCAATCTACATGAAGAGCAGGAGATCTCCAGGCGTGGGGCAGGTGGGAGCTTGTATGGGAGGGAAGGAAAGGCACATAAGGCGTACGCAAGGCTCTTTATGGAGAAACTGCCCACCTGAAAATCTCCTGGATACAGTAGCACCCCCTGATTAAGGAACATACCTTAATTTCAACTCAGCAAAAAAATAACAGCCTTTGTGGGGGCGCTACGCTCTCCAAACCAACGCCGGAGGCCAAGCGGCGTTCGCACTCGGCGTCTCCCAGCCAGCGGACGCTGAACCATGGGTTCAAGGCTAACCTGGTGTTAGCCGGGTATTTGGGCCTTCTCTTTGGTAAGGGGCGGTTAGGGCGTCAATATGGGATGCCATCAAACCTGGTCTGTCGGATTCTCGCCAGCTGCTCGGACGAAAACCCAGGGCTGCAGATTGCAGAGTTAGGGCTCTCCGACTAAAAGTTGTGCATCGGGTCTTGATGTCGACGTAGACCCTCTCTACATCTACCATCATAGAAAGTATGCACTTTCTGCCTCCTCCTCGAAATACCACAACTCAGAACAAGCTCGGCCATGGGGCGTGTGCCGCACATTTCGCTGCACAGGGATGGGCAGAGTGGCGATACTTCCGTCCTGATATGCCGGCATGGTCCACGAATGGTCTACAGCGATACAGGATGCGGTGCTGATTCTACCTTCGGTCAGCTTACGGTATGGAACATATGCAGAGCTTTGCCACTTGCCCGGTCTTTCCATCTTCACCATTATCAGTGGCAAGCGCTTGTCAGCAGCAGGAGAAGGAGTGAAGAGAGGGACAGAGAGAGACCAAACAACAACCTGTTGGCCAGTTGATATCTCGTGCCAGCCCAATCTCACGTGCTGGCACGCGCCATCAACAGCCAAAAGGGCAAAGTCAGACGCAGTGCCTCTCAGTTGCTGTCAGCCTCATGGCTAGCGCAGAGCTGCGGCTCTTCGTCGCACCGCGCTTCAAGTAGAGGCTCACCAAACAGAGGACACTGGGCACGACCAGTTTGCATGCTTCACTCGCTCGTGTTCGGTCACACGACTGGTCCCCCGATTGCCATGCCCGCAGGGATGGCATACTTAGGGTTTGGAGGAGCTGTACATCAGTAAGCAAGAGCATGAGGGGCTTTGCAGGCCCATACTCTCTGGCAAAGTCCTTCGAGGTCAGTACCAGCTGCTGAGGTATCCTCGGACATTTCTCGAGGTAGTGGTTTAAGCGGCTCACAGTGGTTTTTAGATCTGTCGGAATGCTGAACAGACAGAGTCAATATAGGCCTTTCCATTCTGTACGAAGGGCCTACCCCAGGCCCACAATTGAAGAGACGTTGCGCTATGCTGCCCATAGGCCGCGTCTTCTTCGGCGGTGCCCGGATGCGACCAAGCTTGACCTTACTTACAAGTGCTGGACCCTGGAGGGGAGGGGGTGTGGGTGGTGAGCTTGGAGGGGGGGGCGGGGGGATCAAGTATAGAGTCTGAAACTGCCAGAATGAGAACCCTTCATACCCTCAAGCCCGAAAACTTGCCGCGCCAGTCCCCCAAAACCACCCGAGCAGCAGTCAGCCGCCAAGCTGGGGGCCCCAGAAGCTCTTCCTGCTTGGGGGAAGCAGGGGGGGGCTCATGAAGGTTTGCGGTTGAGGAGGCAGTCTGTACTCTGTATACGGGCTGGTTTTGAAGAAAGGTGTGGGGGGGGGGGGGGGGGGGGGGTTTTCCCATGCTTCTCGGCTTTCGGCCATCTTTACAGCTTGGACAAGCCAGAGGTTCTGAGCCTTGGGCTTTAGGGAATGTTATCAACATCATGGCTTGGAGCGTTATTTTTGTAGTCGCTGGTGTGGGGTGTGCCCAGGCTTCGCACATTCGAGGACCGAACCACTGGATTTGAAGGTCAGGTTCCCGCAGCCGAACAGCTTTGCAACTCGAAGGGTGACACAACTTGTTGATTCATGGCAGGAAATGAGGGGCCTAAAATCCCTTGGACCGTACTACCTGCATGATCAAGAGTCGAAGAAGTTGCTCTCTGGGGGGTGGACGCTCTGGACGCTCTAAACGCTCAGAGCCCTCTCACAGATATCTTTCTGTCAAACGTCCCAAGAAAGGCGCTCGACACCCCGACCAAGGCTGCGGCTCGATCTAGCTGAAGCGTCACCAGCAGCAACCCTCGGGCGCGGCAGAAGCTCATACGGCTACTTTGGAGGCGCTTGGCGGACTCCGTAGACAGGGGTTGTTGTAAGTTAGGCCTTTTAGGCGGACACTCGCGACTAGAGTTATATAAGGACTTCTACAATTTGAGAAAGTATCTCCAAGACTCTAATTCTCTCTCTCTGCCGCTGCTTCCCAAGACTCAAATTAAGGGTAACTTTTTTTGCCAAAGCGGAGGGGGTCTTTCATCAGATAGGGCACGGGATATCACGCGGCCACCGGTCCAAGTCGGCTGCAACGACAACGTCACACCCACCCACACGTGCAAACACCAACGGCAACCTCTAAGCCCTCAAAACCCTCAAATGTATCAGTGCTCCTCTACCAAAGCCAGGCCGCCACAGGCAAAGATGCAGAGGAAGATGAATACCACGAAGCCACGGACCCCCACACTGCCCCTCCCAGAAAGGGCTTGGATGGGCCAAGGTTTGACGTGACAAGGAGATGAGTTGCTGGTGTCGTTTTGTTCTTCTGGCTTCGCTGGCGCGCTGGCGAAGCGCTCGCGGCAAATCGCATCGAACAGCAGCAAAATCGAACCGAAATATCGATGCCGATCGGGCCGAATCGGTCAGGACATGCTTAAGTTGATAGCCTGTAGCTATTTAGCATGCCGGCACAGGGCTTGATCTATGAAAGTCTACAGTAGCTGGTTGGAGGATGAAGAAGCCCTGACGTGAGTCTTGATACGGGCTGGCGCCTGACGGACGTCATCTAAGGACCGCAGGGGTCGGCACAGGCGGCACCATGGGCACAGCTCTGCTTTGGATCATGATGGACGTCTAGCGACCTCCCTGAAGGCCAGCCATGAGGTTCCCCGTTGCATACTGGTAGGGAGAGCTTGATCATGCTTGATCTGAAGGTGAAGGGTTGGCATCTCATGTCTGGGTGTGAAGCTACACTACACTGCACTGTCATGCGCCAGGGGGCTGGGGCTTTTTGCGGGGTGTGTGTGTGGGCGCACACCATGGCTCAAACCCTGCTTGAAAAATCGCAGCACAGCGTGTGCATGAATCACCGCGGCAAAACCCCAAGCCCTGGCCGACTTCACGCGAACAAAAGCCGGGACTGCACGATGCATCGTGAGCCATGGTGACTGTCGTCCCTGGGCCCTGGCCCACTCCCTGAACTCAGGGTCCCTGCCCGAAAGGTCTTGCCAATCTCTCGCGTAGCCGCCATGGCTTCATGGGGAGAGTTGGTGCCATATACGGGGGTTTGGCGTAGGGTTGGCGTCCTTGGCACAACGGCGAGGCGGGTGTGGTCGATTCGAGGTGCGAAGTTCCTATCAAGCTGCTGTCCACACTTATGTTCGAGGAGCCGTCGCCGCCTCCGTCTCCGGACAGCCTTATGCGTACAATCGTGAACTGTGGCTGTCTGCCCCTCTCAGCATGACGCGAAGCTTGAAGGAAAGAAGGCGAGGGCATGCAGAGCGTGGAAGCAGATTGCAGTTTTGCCTGTCAGCCATCAGGCCTAAGCAAAGCCCAGCAAAGACAATAAAGGAAAAGTGTGAAAGGCTCGAACGGCACAACTCAACACACAAAAGACAAACTCGTGTGGGGCTCACCGAAATGCGTAGCGCCAGCGGATCCTGCAAGGGCTGATGGGTCTCTAGGGCATCCTTGAATGATCAAACCTTGTTTGCCTGTTCTCATCTACAACGCCTCCAGAGCAAGTCCATGAGTCTAACATGAGCCAGTCACATTTCTCAGATCAAGCAGATGTCGGCCGGCGTCCTCTGTTCCCCTCCCGCTGAAGAACAACAATGCTCCCCTGAAAGAGGGACCTCAATACCAGGCCTATGTTTGTAAGGACGGGTCTGTATTAGTATTGAGGAACCCCTAACCCCTAACCCAAAACCCAAAACCCAAAACCCTAAACCCTAAACCCTACAGGAGTGGAGTATGATAACGCAGCCTCCGGAGCCTCCTCCGCATTTGCAGCCCGCGAAGCACCTGGGCACTCGTCGCGACACGAGGTGAGACAGTGCCCCTGACGCCTGATGTGCAACTCCTTCGCACGATGCACCCGAAACCTTGTGGGAACTGAGTTTAACAGTTTTTCCCACCCGTTTCGCAAGCGTTTACAGATTTTAACAGTAGGGTGGGTGCGGGGAGGGGCGGGGCATTTGGGCCATCAAGCCCCTGTCAAGGCACAAAGATGTACGCCTCAGCTGGTGAGAACGGAATTTGACAGGCTTTGCGCTGGGGTCTGGGCTGTGCGTCAGCAGACACCACCTGCATGAGAGATTGAGGCTTCGATGGGGAATATTGGGCTCAGGGAGGGGGTTAGGTTTATCAAGTAGCTTACAGGGCTTGCATAGCAGCTGCTCATCCAACAGTCGAACAGCGTGGCCTTCCGAAGGGCAAAGCTTTTTCAGTTTAAGGCGCGTTCTTGAGACAGACGCGTGGTGCAGAACCCCTGCTGGGCAGCGTGCAGCGCAGCGTTGGATGTCTGCTGCACCTGGTCTTGGGCTAGAGGCCAAGCTTCCACCACTACGGTTTACTCAGCGTTGGGCAACGCAAATCTAGGGCTACAATGCTTTCGTGACTTTCGTGGTGGCTTTGCGAGTTCGGCCTGCCCTCCATCCACTCCCAAACTCACAAGCAGGAAAAGCCGCCCTCACGAAAGCCTGCTTGAAAACTGCATTTGGGCACAAGGCCCCCGAAGACCGCAAAACCCGACGCCGCCGGGGCCGCCACCAAGGCCAAGCACCAGCCCAGCTCCTCTTCGCCCAAGCCTCACGACGTTTTTTCTGGCCGAGTGTAGTACAGCAATGGAAATCCTAACAGAAGCAGGTGGACTGGACTACCAATCTTAGCAAGATGGCATCTACATTTGTGGACATGCCACACACAGTAGCAAGTGCACGCGCCCACGATGTATCACCATAAGCCCATCTCAGCTCATTTGACGTCACTTGCCATATCTTCGTCCTCCTCTTCCGATCCATAAGCCTCGAAGCCCTTAGACCGTAGACCGGGAAGAACATGAGACCTGGAAAGCCATCCAACTCATGTTGACAACTCAGCATAACTAAGCCATCCCATACAGAACTCGGAAAGACCCCAACCGCTCCGGCCCGCACCGCTTGACTTGGCTGCGGCTGCCACGGCTTCAACCTGGGCAGCTCCAGGCTCCAGGTGGGCGCAGGGAGTTCAGCCACCGGAAGGGGGGTCTCAATGCAAGTGATGTGTCCCCATGTCAGATTCAGACGTAGAGATAGTTAGAATAGAGTTGAGGGATGTTAAGCGTTCAGTCGCTTCTGCAGCTTTGTGCAAGCTCAAGACTTAGGCTTTGCTCTACTATCCCCCGCCCTTCTCTTGTTCGCTGCATGGTGGCCGCTCTGCACGCGGGGGTGGGGCAGGTTAAGGCGGCCGCCTCCCCCTCGTGGCCTCGAAACTCGTGGTTTGAGAGGTTCGGTTCGGTTATAAATACTTTATGGGGACCACGGGGCTCCCAACCCAGGGTGTGGGAGACTTAAGGAGATTTAAGGCTTCGAGGGTTCAGCCACAGCGGGGGAGGATCCGCGCGCCTTCCTTTGCAAGAGAGACCTGCAGTGAGGCCTCGAGGCGCAGGATTCTGCGTAGCTGTGATTCTCAAGCCTGGCCCACTGTTCGATCTGCGATTCTGGTCCATGGTATGTGGATACCTCTCTACAATTCTGCAAGCCTATAATTATTACAATTGCTGGAGTTAGCCCTGCGATGCCCTGCGTGTAGCCCCCGGGTAGTTCCCAGCGTCAAGTGCAAAGCAATCCCGCAAGTGAAGGGTTCCTTATCTCCGGGAAACGCGTTCTAAGCCATGCTGGACACAGGCATGCGCCGCTTTCCTAGTTGCCCATGTGGCTGTTTAATGGGCTCTGAATCAAAAAAAGGCAGGAGTTGAGTAGCGGGACTTGTAGCCCTTTTGCAGCAGGCTTGCAAAAGGGACTTGTAGCCCTACATCCGAAACAGATGGCCAAAGCTCGGCGAAACAGCGAATTTCGAATTGTCGGGGCTGCAGCCCCCTGCTGCGCAACACGTGGTTGTTCCAAGATGATCGGGAACAAGACTTGGGTCATCTCTACATTTGATGATCAAGCTACCGTAAGGGGTTGCATGCGAAGAAATCGCGGTGCACAGCATGGAAGCAATTGCCCGGAGTCTGTGCAGAACTCTCGGCTTGCAGGAGGAACCTCCTTGGCGGAGGAACGCGTGCTTGGGGAGTTCAGCTGCCAGGAGAATTAGGTGCTTGGTGTTGCTCACTCTGCTCGCAGATGGTGCGAGTCTGTCGGATCAGGCTTGGGGGGCATGCCCAGGCGCTAAGTGAGAATGGCTCATAACCCTGATAACAGCAGTCGCCTTACAGTTCTTTCGCTGGACCCCAAGGCCCCAAGGGCCACGATTTTTCAGGCTCCTCCCACTCTTTGAGAGAAAGAAGGCTCCAAATCACAATGCACGTGTGTCTGGGTCATGCTTGCAAGGGCTTCAACTACAAAGGTGAGGTCAGGCGAGCCCCGGATTATCCTACCTTGAAGCCTGCCCCTGTGACGATGGCACGGCTCGCCTACGGCCCCGCTGTCAGAGGGGCTTGGGCGCCTTGGAGATGTGTGGCAGGGTTGATCCCAAAGCTCATCCTCAGCTGGGCAGATCGCGGAAAGGCCCTTCCTTGAGGTCCCTACACATCCTCAAAATCCCACATAGGAAGCCCTTGAAAAAGAACATCGCTTGGGGGATTTTTTTGGAGGGGTTTGGCCATGACTCAGCAGGCAGAGGATGCCCATAAGCAAGTTCCAGAGGCCGGCCACGAAGGTGAGGCAGACGAAGCACCTCTCGGCTGCTTCTAACTTCTTGCGGTCCAGTTTGGTAATTGGGGGGGGGGGGGGGAGGGCCAATAACAAGAGGGGGCCTGTTATGGGAATGGAGCAGTACCCTATGGATGCCAGGTTGCTGCGTCACTGCGAGGGTGCCGATGAACCTGAGTGGAGACACTTGCGGTTTTACAAGAAAGGTATGTAGTTGCACAGAGAGCCACAAAAAGCGTCCAGGCACACAGAATATAATGGAGCTGGGCGCCCGACACATAAAAGAAGCCTCGCCCCCTCAGCTCTGTCAGGAAGTTCGCGCGGTTGAAAACCTCCATCTGGTAACCTGAGATCTGGGAGCTGACTGGCTGCCTTACGACAGCTCTTCTCTGGACTCTATTGGACTCTGCAAAACCGACTCAAGCCAGGAGGACGTGGCAAGAAATCTGCCTGTGATGGGGCTTGCGCACGTCACACCCTCAGACATTAGACGACTCTGTGCAACTGTGCCTCACACTTCTGCTCAACGCAGACAAGCAGCCTTCCACCCATGGGGAAAATCGTCCAATGAACTTGAGCTTGCGCATGCTCTCTACATCGGCCTTCGCAGGCACGCAAAGCATCACATGTCTCATGCAGAGATTGGGGCTTGGGGCTTGGAGTTTTCTATGCTCTAAAAGGCTCAAGCAGGAGACAAGCCCTGAAACGAAACCAACGGCCCTGGATGAGCTTAGAATCACAAAGAGCCCCATCCAGTCCAACTTGCAAAACCTGTCCAGGTGCCTCCAGCAGGAATGTAACGATTCCAAAGGCTACCAGGTAGGCGTTCCTCGGTATCTTGATGTGACTTTACGGTTGGCACGAGCTTGCAGGTTGAGGCCCGAAGAAGCAAAGCCCGTGCGTGTCACGGAAATGTATGCATTCTGTGAGAAGCGGGCGGCCTCCTCTCCATGCAGAATTAAACCACACCCACGCGGAGCTACCAATCCACACACGTCCTTTCGCATTGCCAAGGATCAGCACATAGCCGAAAGGAGACGTAAGGCCTTGAACGAAATCAGGACGGAAGAGACTTCTTCAGACTCAGACTGTGTGCCACTGGGCTTGTATCAGACTTCGCGAACCAAACCCAGTGAGTTCAGACGAGCTGCCATAGCCAAAGTTGAGCAGGCCCAAGAAACCGATGAGCGTGGTCGCGAGACCGCCTCCACAGGAGGCAGTGAATAGCGCCCTCAATACCGCCATCACAAGGCTGCCAGCCGCAGAACCACTTGCACCCCCCCTCCCGTCCGCCTAGAAAGCAAAGCACCGAGATGCCAGCAGGGCCCTCCTCGATGTACTTACCCAGCTCCTGTCTTCTGGAAAGGTATAAGTTCGATCAGTCATTCCTCGCGCGAACTCTCAGCAGAAGTCTCGAAAGCACCCCCCTCAACCTCACCCCCCCCCCCCCCATATCACCTCCGCGGCCATTGCGCCGGCCACCCGGGCGGCCTCGAAGCCCTCCTGGGCAAGTCATCCGATTCTCTGGGCTGTTGCAATCAGAATCCAGGACTCTTTGAAAAAAGGAACCAGGGATGATCTGATCCCAGAAGTCCCCAGGCCCTTGACCCAAACCTCACAACCGGATCGTAGCTAAATTGACCAAAATGAGAGTCGGACGATTCTCTTTTCACCACCTTCAAGATCTTTCAGCTCCATGGGCAGCTTCTTCTGTTTAACAAAACGAGAGTCGGAATGGGGGTCTTTAAACACATTGAACTGCACTTCGTAATCTCATTCGAGATGAGTCTTCCGGAGATTGGCGGTTCGGAGGGAACCCATTATTTGTTGCGCAGGAGCATGGATCTTTTTTTATTGGGTTGAACCCTGAGCTTCAAACCCGCAGCTCATCTCCCGAAACCTTTCCCCCTAACCCCCGCCACACCATCCTGTGCTTTGGTGTAGGCGGCTTCCTGCACGGGATGCTACACTGCTGGGGTGCCGAAAGACATAGCATCGGGCGTTAAGTCCGGCAAGCTTGGGGCATCAGAGTGCAGTACCCGTTTGCCAACCACTCCGGCATTCCCGCCTTGAGCTGCTGCTGCACTGTGGGATCCTGCCTCAGGGCAAAAACAGATTAGTTTCGAGCGGCAGTTTGGATGGCGGATGAAGACATGACCCCGCCCAAAGGATCGCTGAGTCGCTGAAGACCGACCCTCAACCCATGTCATCGAAGCCTGAAAACAACCGATGGTGCCAGAGAAAGAGTGGGTTTGGCAAGGGCAAGTTGCAGAGCCGCTTCTGCCACCTGCTGTGTGAAGCCGCCACCTGCCAACAGCCAAAGCTGCTAGAGTTGAGCCATGTCTATCCCCAAGCCAGGGCATGGCAATCTCACCAGGGAGCCTCCTCCATAGCCGGCGGATGTGGCAGGACCACCTTCCCACTTGAAGCTTCTGCGTGTCACTTGCCGATAATGACCCTCAAGACTTTAAAAGAGCACTTTGGGATGTAATGTACTGCACTTCAGGGAAGTGCCGGCTTGAGCTTGCAACAAGACAGCACACATGTCGCATTTGTCTGCCGAAGCGTGACTTTGTTCCACAATGCTCTCGGCTGGGACTTTTCCAGGCCTCCACCGAATCCTGCAGGAGGCGAGGAGGACTGGGCTCCTTGTCTTGCCAAGGGCGAGCGATGCTTGCAGCTAAAGGTGTCAGCCTTCCATGACCAAAGTTCGGTGAAGCCGCGAGGAGGGCAGGTCAAATTACTGCAGTAAACTGCACACTGCGACTGCTCATGTGGGTAGCTCAGGGTTGAAGGCCACGAGATGAAAATGTTGGTGGGGAATCGCACTGCAGCTCGGGCGTGTTTCTGGTCTTGCGCCAAGTTTCCCCCAGATAAGTCCACTTTCGCCCCTGACGCAGGGGAGGGTCGAGGAACAAGCGAAACATTCTCCATTCTCAATACACTTGCGTGTTCAAATAGCAAGTCCAGTTGTACGTCAGCACTGCGACTGCAATAAAAGCCAGCTCTACATCTGCGGTAGAGGATCTTCCGCCCTTGCTGCATACAGTTTGGACCTGCAGGAGCCTTCAAATTCATCGCAAGGCACACGGAGTGCGCACGTTGGCCCATACCCTGCCCCGCCTGACATGACGACTCGCTGCCACAGCCAAAATCAAGAAGACCAGGCACTACCGAGCCAGAAAGCTTACGGCAAGCAACATGTGTGTACATGTGTGTTAAAAGGTCGAACACTGCCCACGAAAAATGCAGGTACAACATCCATACACTGAGGCCTATGCGTAACTCCAGCAGACAAGATGCAAAAGTGCAACGGCGCCTTTTTGCTGCACCGTGCCCCGACGCGAGCGCGAGGGCGGAAAACTGCCCCCCCCCCCCCCCCCCCCCCCCGCCTCCCCAAACAGGTGAGGTCGCATCTTTCAAAGATGGAACCTCCCTGCACTAACTGATGCTCTTGAGCATTACATGTAGTCCAAGCCAAAGAGTCTCTTGCGAATCTGTTCGACGATAGGCATCTGGACGGCCATTACCTTGTGACATGACAGGGGCCCATTTGCGCTGGACCCATATGATTTGCCCTTGGACCCATGATGCAATAATTGTACAACAATACATCAACATGATATCACAAAGTCTGCAAAAATACTAAAAAATCATAACAATCTAAGAACATAACAAGATGATCACAGAAAAAACCGAATCAGCATTTGCCGAACGGCTGGCACCTGGCGCGCCGCCGCCGGCGCGAACCCGCGGTAGAAGCCGCGAGGGCCCTCCTGGCAAAGTTTGTTACGTCTAGATACATATACATACACACACACACATATTTATTTATATATATACATATACATATATATATATGTATACATATATGATATGTGCGTGTGTGCGTGTAAACTCTACAGATGTACGTATGTTATATTACTACTGTTTGCTTTAAAATAAAAAAACACTCTTCCCTTTAAGGGTAATAAGGGGATTACTTATTTCCTTTTTGGGGTTCTTAAGCAAATAGTAGATTAGAGTTTTGGGGATTCTCTGGGTGCACTTCTCCTCCTGCATAGCTAGGGACAGGAGGAGCTTTGGGGTTTCGACGTCGGCGGCTGAATGAGGGCTGATTGGGTCTAGCGAAGTGCCTCCTTCAAACTGGACTAGAAGCTGCGCGGGGGGCTCGTGCCATGCCAAGGCGAAATGTGTAAAGGTCCCTGTGAAGTTGTACGAGACGAGTGATAGATGCTGACTCGAGAAACAGAGTGCATCAACAGCACTTGGCGTCCTCACGCAGTATGCAGGCGGCACAGTGTAGGGGATGCCGAAACACACCCTGCCCACACCTCAGACAGGAGCAAAGCTAGAGGCTTTTTGGCTTGCATTGTGGTCTCCTTGCTTCATCAGCTACACATGGAGCACAGAGAAGGCGACGATGCCTGTGGTCCGGATTAGATCAAGCAAAACTCGAGCCGGAGATTGGTACGCCTCGCCTGCCCTGCGTGCGCAAATGGGACCACCACTCTTATGTTTCCAGCTGCATCCACACCCCCATGAGCTACTCCTCTGGCAGGGTCCACGGAAGTAGCAAACCCTTAATAACTGGTGCAAAAGGTCCGAGTGGCTGCACACGGGTCTTGACAACATCTGCAGGCATGCAGGCGATCTGGGCCACGAAACCTCGCTCCGTACGCTTTCTATACAACGGGAATCGCACTCCCAGAGTACTGGTCAGGCAATTCCGACGTGACCAGCACTGACAAGCAACAAAGCGCATAGCTCATCGAACCCCAGCATCAACTAAGAGGGCGTGGAGAGCAGCTCCTTCAAGCTCTGTACCTATCGAGCCTCCACCATGGACAGTATCATCTAGCATTACTTCGTGAGTTCTCGGATGTTCTTGGTCTTCGGGCCTGAGAGGCAGGAACTGGCCAGATGCAGTTTCGGGCCATCTAGCCAGCCGGCGTGCACAGCCATCTGCTTGCACCTTGCTTGGGAATCCAGCTCTTAGAAGTATCTTCAAAAAGACACTGCGATCAGAGGATGAAGTGCTCAAGCACCAAGAGAACAGATTCGAGGCTGCTACAGCTGTGGCTTCAAGGGTGCACAAAAACTCGCGCAGAAGCATCACACCCACTGTGGACTCGTAGGAAGTGCGCCTGTAGGAGGGCCATGTCCACTCTGTGTGTGTCAGCAATCCCCTGCCTCCCAAGTCAAAGTTCTGGCTCCAAGGCACTGGTCATACGTAGTCAGCTGCGCACTCGACAGCAGCGATGCGCGAGCCACATTGGCCGAGACGCCACGCCAGAGGCCTCCGAGACCTGCGAAGCTCGGAGCTAGGTTTGGGTTTTTCTCCACGCTGCCCTCTGAAAGCAGGGTACAGCAACGCATTCGCCGGGGCATTTTCCAGATTTTGGGCCCCTCATCAGGCTCCTTTTCAGAAGGAGCCCTGGTCAAGAAGATAGACGAACGCAAAGGGCCTCAAATAGGAACGACCCGCTCGTATGAGGCTAAAGTCTCGGCGAATCCCCTGCCTTCTTGCTGAAAGATGTCCACCTTGGACAGCAAGGCTCCCTCCCCACAAGAGTAGGAGTGAGGGCTACGAGGCTCAACAAACAGCATTGAGGCAAGACAGCAAGACCCGACCCCACGAGCAGGGCCCGTGACAAATGCTCAGGGACGTTCTAAGACCTCTCGACCATAAACCACTCCGAACCCAGGCCCTCAAGCCCTACACACAACAACGTCGGCCACTTCAAGAACGTTACGTTCACGCAGAGTTCTCGGGATCTGCCCTGCTGAAGCCAACCAAGCTTCAAATGCTCGCGGGGTGTGGGCGTGGCGTGGAGGATGGCCAGCTCGGAGCCCGGTGGCGTACACCTGAGGCACTGCAGGGACCGGGAGGGTTTCGGGTGTCTGCTCTCGGATTTAGGGATGGAAAGCTCTCACGCGCTCGGGCAAATCTGAAACCTGTGCCTGCAGCACAGCAGCCCATCACAAAAGAATCAACCACTCCATATCGTCGTGCTGCCCTGGGCAAAAACGCATTCTGTCCCAGGACCTTTGGACCCTTGGATTGCCGAAACTTACAAGGCACCAAGTGAGTAAGAGCTTTTGCATGACTACGCCGAGCCGAAGAAGTTCCTGTGGTTGGCAGATACAGTTGCTTTGATCTCGGCACACCGGCAGGGCGAGGCTTCAAAGGCTTTTGCTTCTGCTGACCGGTGCGATCCAAGGGCCCCGTTCCGGAGAAGCCCCGCTTCGCCCTGAGACATCAGGTCTGGCTCAAGCTTCCATCAGTGGCACGTCTAAGATGTAGCAAAACATCGGATGCCCAAGAACCCCTGTACTCTGCATTGCTGTGTAACTGGACTGCACGTGACAGCAAGAAGTACAGGCGAAGGAACATGACCAGACTTGTCATAGAGGTCTCTTTCTTGAAGTGGGTCCCAGAACATGAGCAGCTATGGCACGTCGCCGCTTTCTGATCTGAGCTCCACTTCATGACATCACTGTGAAAGAAACCTCAATTTTCTACCATATGCTAAGGAAAAGACCACACCCCCAACCCTCAAGCCTCTTCCTTCTGTTTCCTTACATCGCACGCGCCTGAAGGCGCACGCGGATCAAATCGACGGGGTTCGCAATTGCGGCCCCAAGGCTGCCGGTAGTTGCCCCTCAGGTTGAAGGACTGCGCGTGGAACGTTTCGTTTCTTAATCTCTGTTGGGGCGGGGCAGGCTCCGGGGTGCTTGAAAGTTGACTCCCCCCATCCCCAGCCATATTGTAAAAGAAAACATGCGCGCCAAGGTGCCGGAGCAAATTTTGACGGCAAGGTTGTCATCCCCAAGTCCAGCCGATTGGTACAAGCGCCTGGCAGAGAGGATGCTTTCTCAAAGGGCAGAGCATAGCAGAGCCCTACTTCTCTTTCTCTGCGCATCACTGGCTGCGTTCGGGGCGCTTGATGCTCGGATAGAGCCCAAGGCGAAGGCCTGTTTGCGTGAAGGCCCTCCTGAGCCACTGCCAGAGCTCCAGGCCACGCAAAACTCTCAGAAAAGAACACGGGAAAAAACTTAGGAGCCTGCCTTACTAAGGTGGGCGCATTGTGGTGGAGCACAGATTGGCGTAGATTCTATACTCATCCGGCTACTCCCGAGCACCGCTGTATGCCCTCGTCTGCCCAAGCGTCATCCACGTGGCCACGAGTCCAGGAAGCCATAGGCCCAGCCTTCATGTCGACATGACGGAACATGACGGGGCATGATCGGCCCTAGCCCTGAGGCTGTGGATAAAGGGCTCTCGTGTTGCCAAGGCCGCATTCCACGTGGCATGAATTTGCGATCACGGGCGCAACTTCTGTTGAGGGAAGCCCCTTGCTGGGCCCGCAATTGCCTGAGAATCAACTTCTCTACGCAGACCAGGAGCAAGCCCTCCTCTTGGAAGATGCGCAGCGCGCATTGGCGAAGGTCGCGGTAAAGCACTTTGTCCTTGTCCACCTCCACTCCGAGGAACAATTATTGAGGTTCACATGGCTCATCACATCAACATATCACGTAGGCTCAATGCGCCCCATGTTATATATCCAACAAACAATGCAGTTTACAGTATGTCCGCCCATCGGACTTCTCTCTGTGCCGCCTGCAACCTCACAGTAATCATGGCCAGAGGGTTGAAAATGGTGTCCTGCTCCAAGGGCACGAAGGGAGGGAGGGAGAAGAGATATAGAGAGAGAGAGAGAGAGAGGGAGAGAGAGGGAGAAGGAGAGGGAGAGTGAAGGGGAGAGAGAGAGAGAGAGGAAGAAGGGCCCCTGATAAGTCCAGACGTTCTCGAGTTCTCGGGCCAAGCCACGGCCCCTTCAATCCGCGAACATTGACTTTCTGCTGAGAACTCTCTCTCACACGCGGCTCCGTCACTGCAGCGCCCAGCCCTGCAGCAGCTACATCGCCCAAGAAAGCCATGGCTAAGGCGGGCAAGACTCAGCTCTCAGCCGCTGTAGACGCCGGATGGGTGGTGGGCTCATAAAGGCATGTCGCAAGCCTGCGTTCCGTCACGCTCTACCGCTGCCTTCCACGGACGTCTCAAGGTAATTGAGGTACACAGGATGCTCAAGAAGGATGCTGAAGAAGGCTGTGTGGGTTTTCAGCATCCTTTGGCTTTGGCGTGCTATTGCTGAGAAACAGCTAGGCAGACGCATTCTCAAGATTCGCCGAAACCCGATGACACGATGGGTGACACCACTGCAAATTCCAAGCACAAGTTGCGAATCATGTCGTCAACCGTTTTGGGCCCCCGTTGTGAAGAATCTGGGCTTGTAGCTGGTGGCCAGGTGCTGCAACGCATGCAGCCCAGAAACAAAAGAGCCTCTTTCTCAACCCTTCCCGCCCACACCTCTGGAAGCATCTGTGCGACCCCGCATGTTTCCGTTTTCCACTGTACAGGTGAACGCACAGACATCATTGAAACATTTTGAAACTCGGATATCCAGATGTGATGTCAGGAAAGGCGCTGGCTGCTCCGTGAGGAGCATGTTGCTGTGCACGACCTAGTTCCACTCCTCGATGAATAAGTCAATGGCGCGGTCGACTCCTTCCTTCTCAATGTCGTCGCGTAGCTTCTCCAAGGTCTGCGCCAGCCCTTCGTCAATCTCCTCGTTGTGGTCAGATGCAGAGCTCCCTCTCGTGGCCACTGGCTGCGAGAGTCCGCGGAGGACATCGACAAACTGCGGGAAAGCCGCAGCTGACATGAAGCGTGCTACCTCATTTCTAAAGCTGCATTTGCCCTGGGCTTACGTGGCCTTCCTTGTCGAGAGAAACTGGCAGGCTAGACGAGTCAAGAAGGGAATGAGAGTGGATGCCAACTCTAACCAACCCTCCAATGAGGAGAAAAACCTCTAAAAAACTGAAGGAAGACATCCAAAAAATCCAAGGTGCTGCTATGAGCTGCAGCAAGCACTGCTTTGACTGCGGAAACTTTTCGATCTGGTCGAGTAATTGCTTGCCGCCTTCAAGCATTTCGACCTGGTCCAGACGGTCCAGCACCGCCTTTTCACCCCCAACCTCCGCCACTGCAGTACTACCTTGTGTCCAGATGAGTTCGGGCTTAGGGCGGAAGTGCCAGGCAGCCCTAGCTCAGATGCTTACACATGGGTGTGGCAGCTGCAGGGCGACGTCACGCCGAAACAACAGCTAGCCTAGTGGAAATGCAGTGTGTTCAGCCGGGGTTGTTGGGTCTAATACTGGGGGAAACATGGGAAACCATCCTGTTATGGCTTCTCGGCCCAAGAAGCTGCCGGAAGGTATCGACGTGGATGTGCGGTACCTGTTCGATGGCTCTGTGATCCAAGGCAGCACTACGCAGGACGTCTTGTGCTTCCAAGGTCGAGGCGCAAGAGATCAAACGAAACACCCCGGGAAAAGTCCCTAAATACCCGCACCCGAACAGCTTTTGCAGAGGTTTCCTAGCACGGCAGAGTGCAAGTCGCTGCTGAGCAGTCTCTCCCCTCCCCCACTTCTGAAAACTACACGTCCGTTCCAGTTGATTGTAAACACAATAGGAAAAAGCGCCGCACACTCATTGTTTAAACTGGTAATCTCGTTGCAGATAAGATGCCCTTGATCGCCTAGCTCTCCGGTCGTCCGGGCCATCGTGCCCGCTGGAAGCTCCGCCGAATGATGGGCCTTGGCGCGCTGTGGGGTTCTCCGTGCCGGAAAGTCGGCTTAGATTGCATGGGATGCTTTGGGAGCACTTGGCAAACATCTATTCCATGATGCTCCCAGCAAAGCGCAGGCTGATGGTCCCCAAAGCTTAAGTTTTGGGGTCCCCGCAACAAAACACGACCCCCCAATCCCCCGCCCCCTCTTCTGCATCTTCTTCAAGGGTCTGTCAGCGCCGTCCAATCTTGGCCTGCCTGCCTGGATCCTCCAAAACCAGACCTCTCAAGAATCAAAATTGCAAATCCGAGGGCGACGTCGCGAAGCCTGTTTTTATCAAGATGCACTCAGCCCCCTCGCCAAACCCTAAGCGCAACATTCAACGGAGTCACAGACTTGGTTGAAGCTTCAACTGAGCACTTGTCGCCGGCGAGGATTTCCTTCAGAGCGCTCTCATTGCTTGCTCAGACACCAGCCTCAAACATGTGCGGGTTTATTGGGGTCCTCTTAGGGTTCCCCAATTTTAGCAAACCCCATATGCCACACCCGACACTACACTGTGTGAAGCTTATCAGTCTCGAGCGCGATGCTCCAGGCTCCATCTCATAACGGCTCAAGGACAAACCACACATAGGCCCCATGCAGTGCCACGCAACTCCACACCCGCAGTGGCGTCCCAGGCGTCTCAGGTGTCCTAGTCCCACTCTGTGCATTCCGCGCCTCCCAGAGGTGGATCTCCAGGTCTCGTGGGCCTTGGCATCTGGATGCCTCGTCACCTGCACATCCGTTGATTCGAGGCTTTGAGCCTTATACAGCCTGGCTTCATGGAAGATTGTTGCACATAGAAAAAGGCAGATCAGATTCCGAGCCAGGATTTTGTTCCGGGTTTGCCAGTGCCTGCGATGACCCAAGTACTCAAGCGAAAGATTGGCCTCGAAGGGCACGCAGGACAAGGTCACGTAGGTCTGGCTCTGCAGCCAGGGAGGAGATCCTCAGCTGCGGTCATTTCGTGGCTCCCTGTCATAAACGACCCCTCTTATCTCTCGGGTACTACGGGTACCCCGCAAAAGGGCACGAAAAAGGGCACCATGATTTAGAGACCCGACCATGTCATGTGGTGGTGGCAGTAGGGTCGACTACAGCATCAGTGGATGGATGCTGAGCCTTGTCGCCACAGCTGACCGCTCCGGCCGGTCAGCGGACGCATGTGCAGAATGACTGCAACGGTTGTCTGCTTGCATAAGGGCGTCACCAGCGCCAGGTCCATGAAGCTTGCAGTGTCGGCCCACAGCAACCCTCCATCCATCTCCCGCTTCGAGAGATTGTGAAGGAGTCCTTTCAAGACTTTCAAGGTCACGAAATGCTCTGATGGCCATGAATAGCAGTGCTGCAAGCCCTCTCCAACCCGCATACTTCAGGCTTCATAGCTGCGATTCAACTCGCACCTTCTTACTCTGTACCTGTGACAGGCGCCGGTGAGCAACCCAGCAAAACAAGATAAAACAAGTACGTATAACTCCAGTCTTCAGAACCCAAGCGCCTGTGAGCTCCGCATCCAACTCCTTAAACGCTGAGCTCTGCTTCCAAAATGGCCACGTGGGCTCGGCAACGACTTGCAGGTCCGAAGTGCCCCTGCGCCCGGGAGCGGACTGCTGCTTGTTCAGTTTTGGGGTGCTATTCCTTGCCTCCCCATTGCTGAACTGCCTTTCACTTGGCAGACAGCCAAGGTTTCTGCTTTCGGCTTGGGTCAGTCTTCTTTAGCGAATGATGCTCACACAAGCGTATCCCAAACCGGAGGTCTCACACCTACTGGCACGCGAAACACGTTGCCACAGGCCTTAGCCATTCGCCATCCTCCATCTCTCCTTCCCTGCAAACAATGCGGAGGCGAAAGTCGGATGAAGCACTGCCCGACTCAAAGTTGCCTTCATCGATCCACTTCCTGAGCTCTGTGGAAGATAAGGGGCCCCCGAAGTTGCGAACTCTTGCAAGCGGCCAAAGTCAGCGTGAATGGGACATGGGACAGTCGCTCAAAAGCATTCAAGAACAAGAAGAGGATCTGGGCATACAAGAAGAGGCAAAAAGCTGCAAAACTTTTAAGACCACCACCTGCTCAAATAGGACAGGTTGCGCCATCAAAGCTTTGAGCCCGCGTACCTGTGCATGCTCAAAGCAGCATCCCGAGAGAGTGTCGGCAGTGGAGGCTTGACTTTGGGATTTCGGGACGACTTATTCAGCCACACTGCGCCAACATGAGCACCCAGGACCTAGAAAATCGACGCAAAGCAGGCGCGTGGTTCTGCTTCCAAGGGACATTGAGCCAGCAAGAGTTCACAGGAGACTTCAGCCCAGAACGAATGCTCTCGACCATATCGACCTGACTGGTTGAGACGGCCGTAGAAAGAACACAAGCAGACTCTAACAAGCTTGATGCAATCACCTGCCCCAAGCAACTGACCCAATCTGAGCTCTAGAATTTCCCCATGCTTGCAACCCAGTGGCAAGGTTGTCAGCGCGAGGCAAGCTCGATTGGAAGACAGGCTTCCGTGCAAAGGCAAGAGAGGACTGCTCCTGGGAAATCAGGCGGGTGCTGTGAGGGTGACCCCTCCGCATCAGCCCGCCCCACTAGCTCTCTCAGGCTTGCAACAAACAGCGAGCATCCTCCTGTCACCTCAGCCTGTTGCATCAACAGTATACTAGCAGGAGGAACAGCCGTACGAGTAGGCAACCAACATACTACCTGACGGTTTAAGGCATGTCCTGAGGCCCTCTTGACTTGACGCTGACAGAGTTGAGGGTTCGGCAGGGGGGAGGCCCTTGTATAGCTGAACAGATCAATAGCCCTAAGTAAGGTTTCACGCGAACTGCAGTCACATTGTGAGACTGCAGAAAGGGTCAGAGGTATATGGTGTACTGTTAATCAATCACACTTAGCCAGGCTTTGGGTTTCAGGGTAGCGAAGCGAAAGAAGCCAGCAAAGAGCACTCACCAATACCCTGCATCCCATCAGCGTCCTTGCTCTGCAAGTACGCATGCAGTTCGCCACAGAAAGCCTGCTTCTGATGAACCAAAAGAGGTCTGGATAAGATCAGGACGATGAGCAGACAGCCTGTCCCAAAGTGCGCCATGTCAACAGATATGTTGAGGATCTCCGCCAGACGAGTCACTTCCTCAAAAAATGCGTCCTGCTCCTCAAAGCTGAGCGTTCCCACAGAGCCTCCTATCTTTACGCTCTCGCGTATCCCAGAGGATGCCCCACCAAGCGAAGTGGGGTATGAAACTTTGCGGTGGGCCTGGGCCATCTTTCTCAGATACTTGCGGGTGGCGTTGCTAACTTCGGGTGTGAGTTCCGCGAGGTCCCTGTTGCACAAGGCCGTGAGAAAGGAGCGCACCGACTCTTTCGGAATCTTCCCCCAGCTGTTGACCTCCTCCTGTGGAACGCGTCTTTCCTGCAATCTCTCATTCTCGACCTTGTACTTCTCCACAGCTTCCTTGACTGACAATAACGACTCCTCCTTCAGAACTGCCAGCTGCAAGCTCAGGTCGAACACCCAGTCTGACGAGCCCTGCATATGTGAGAACAAAATTTCTGAAGTCAACGGATACTCTTGTTCCTCTTTGGTTGGGTTTTTTGACAAGCAGTTATGCGAAATGCTACTGCGGGGGAATTTCCGCCCTGAAACCATGTAAGGACTAACTACGAGTTGTACCCGATACCACTGCCTTCAGCAGGCCCTGTCCTACAAGTGTTTCTTGCTTTAATCTACAGAGAAGAACGTATTGCTCGTTCACACCAAGGGCCTTCACGACGTCGGCCAGCGCTGCCAGCCCGGCCCGCGCTGATGCATAGTTGGAGATTTCACGGCTGACCAACTCCACAAGGTGCTGTCGCATCAAGACCGCCTTCTCCAAGAAAAAGAGCACAGCATCCGTCATGATGGGCCTTCGAGGTACAGCAGCAGTTCCAAAAAGTGTGACATCTCTTGTCGGGTCTTCCAATAGCTCTGGATGCACCTCGCCCAATGAGACATACCTTACCTCGTCCTTGAGCTTGCGAAGTAGGCTTTGCAAGCTGTCGGGGTGTGCACGCAGGAGGCTGGCCAGAACGCAACCAAGGAACGGCGTGTCCATGACTTCGTGGCGCTTGGGACATGCATAGAACCTAAGTGTCTCTTGGGTGGGGGGGGGTACGACAGTACCATGAGTTATAAAGCTTGCTACATGTCTTGAACAACCGCTAGGATGTCGGCGAGATTCTTCCAATGGGTGTCGTTGCTGCTATACACTGGTGCTGCTACAGGCTCCGGTTGGCCAAAAAGTCTGCTGTATGCACAATCTGTGCGACAGCTGGAGAATATCCAGCAAATGTCCAAAAACCGCGTGTCGCTGCCCTCCTTGGAGACCTGGCGCGCTACCTCATCCTCGAGCAAGATGCAGTTGTTCCACTTGAGGCCTGGAGAAGGGACAATCCAAGTGTGGTTGCGATTCTTCTCGTCGCAGTAGCTGTGCCCCATGTAGACCACCAACAGCTTGGAACAACGCTTTAAAGAGTCGACGGCTTTCTGAATCGCTTCCTTGACTTCGTCATATGTCGCATTGGCAAGAGAATACACATCTTCTCTTTCGCACAGTCCCGAATCTAGCACAGCCTGCGTCACTTCAGCATGCTCTTGTTCGACATCTTGCAGGCTCTCCAATCTTCCCCCCTCGTCATAATTCCAAATGCCGATGACAATGCACACCCAGTGTGATCTCACAGCTGCCGTCGTCATTCTGGTGGGGCGTTGGTGCGGGGTTGGAGGGCGCAAGCATGATCAAACATAAACGTTCGGCTCGAACAGGGGTGGTATGAGATACTGAGAAACTGCACAGTGTACATGAATCCACATGCGTCTCCCAGAGCTGTAGAAGGTAAAGGCTAAGATGAGGTAACGGTAAGGCTCCTTCTGTATGCCACTCTCTCCTTCTTGGTTGCACGTAGTACTTCGGAGGCAAAAGCGGCAGCGCAGTTTCCGCAGCTCATACACAAAACTTATGAGACCCGTGCTCTCTCTAGACTGCATCTTCAAAGGCCCACAGCCATGGCACATCAGCCACGCCTCCCGTGCCCTGCACTGATTTCGGTTTTAACGATGTTAGTACCTTATTGGGGTCCTTATTGGGGGGGTCCTACTATTTGGGGGTCTATATTCGGGGTCCCTTACTATCGTAAATCCCCACAAAGAGGCTGGGACGTTGCCCACGAGCCGTCGCAGCAAGGGCCATCCTCAGAGCTTGGAATGTCGGGTGCTACCACGCTGGGGCCATGCAGGCTTTGAGGATCCACGCCTAGGTGCCTCAACCACCTACGAATTTATGCAATAACTGCCAGAGCCTCAAATCCACAGTGAATGGTTCGGGCCTTATAGCATAGAGGCAGGGCGTGTGCCCTAGAGCGACACGTTCTGAAGAGAACGGTTTAGCCGCAAACCTGCGTAGGGTTGACAGCCCCTGACGTGCCTGATCGGAACTCGCCCCCAGGCAATCCCAGGCAGCTAACGAAGGCTAGCCGACAAAAAACCGCCCCAATGACTTCAGCAACTCCAAAACGAGCACTTCTGGAGCGCAGCATCAGAACCTTGCCAGCAGCAGGCAGCTTGGTACCAGGCTCTTCTCTTCCATGGGATCACCTTTAGCCTGGCATCACTCGCTGGCCGAGCAAACTCTGGAGGGCATCATCGGGGCATGAAGGGCTAAAGCCTCTGACTAGCGGCACAGGCAGGACTCAATCATGCCCGGCAGTCGTCTGAGATTCCCTCTGCGTCTCTCTCTCTCGCTGTCTCTCTCCGGCTCGCTCGCCTTCTTTGAGAAACGTGTCTTCCATTGTTCAAGTTGCAAGTGTCTCAGAGTGATCACTTTGATCACGGCCGTGCACTAGGGGCCCAATCCGATTGCTGACTGGCCCACAGAGGGGGGGAAGGCCTGCTCGGGCATTCGATGCAGGTTCCCTTACATGTCTGAAACCACTCCTGAAGCCTATTTGGGGGTTTACGAAAAAAACAGACACCCCAAATAGTAGGATCTCCTAAAAAAAAAAAGACCCCAATAAGGTACCCCTAATTTAGGAACCCCCCATTTAGCCAGGGACTTAAGGCAATGCTGGGCAAGCTTGCCAGGACCCATCACCACCAACACCTGTGATTGAGCAACTTCTTCATAGCGGATTTCTCTTGCTCCAGTACCCTTCAAATGCTTCCTCTGACTGAACGCCACATCTTTAAGGCTTCAGGCGCCTGCTGAACCGCTGAACAGTTCTCTTCAATGAAACCCTTTAAGAATCGTCCCTGGGCCCTGAACCCAGAAGCCTAGTCACCCGTGTATCGTCGCCCAAGTCAGACTTAACGGCTCCGCCGTCCAACTAGAGGGCATCCAGAAGGCCGAAGGCAAAGCTGCCACGAGCGGCTGTCGTTGTGGCGAGCGCGCGTGCTAGACTGGAAGGCCTTCTTACAACAGGGAAATGTTTGCAGCATGGGACACGACGTCTTACCCATTTCACATGAAGTACTATTTTCCTTTGACACTCCTAGCTGCACAAGAGTGGCTCTTTGCTTTGCAGTCGTCCTCCTCGTGGTATGGCTCTCCCAGAGTGAAACTGGACAGTTGCGGAGCCCAGGCAGAAGCTGGTGTCGATGAAAACACCCCAACACTAAGTTGAAGCCCAGTGTCCGTACTCTTCTACTTCCGACTTCTCTCAAACTGCATAGGCCGGCACAGATTCAGAGTGTTGGGCTGTGCCCCCAGCTCCGCTCACATCTCTCGGCTCGCACGCACATCCGGCCATTGCGCGGAGGGTGGGCAGAAATTGCGCTAATGGCTGCAGCCCTACGGAACAAGAAGTCGTAAGGCTTCCAGGAGGGGCTGGTGGATCATGAGCTGCGGGCTTGGGGCTCAGCATCCCTTGAGCCCTTGAACTCCTCAACCTTTGGGACGTTGGTGTTGTGTCTTCTGGGGGCTGCTTTAAAACAGCTTTGCAAGGATATGCTTCGAATAGGTTCTGATGTCAAGGCCTGCAGCCACTGCAACTGGAGTCGAATTGGAAACGATGGGTACTGCTCTAGTGTGCGACAGCCAAGGGCCACATAGCGAACTTCTGGCTTTGAAGCTTGGCAAGGCCAGGGACCGTTCAGCAGTCGCACGTTCACCGCATGATCTGCCCCGGCCGCACATGGAAGATGGCAACTCGACTTGTCAAAGTTGTCACAACACGCTCAAGCTCATCCTTCCCTGTATGCAGCCAGGAAAAGAGGTCCTGGCACTTGCGCGCATGTTGCGGAAGCTGACGGTCAAGACAGTCAAGACTGTTAGGATCATCTTCGTGTCACTTCGCTTGTGTCCCCTAGACGTCCAGCCGAGTGCTCCAAACAGACCAATCTCCACCAGTGCTATGCATACTCTCCACCAGTCTTTTGGATTCTTTTCTAAGTCTCCGCTTACACCCTTCCACTCTCGGGAACCCTAAGCCTTTAAGCACAGCGGCTCCCACAAGCGTTTGTAACCTTGAGTTTGCAAGAGGTTGGTCAACTTCGTCAGCTTCCCAGGGTGCTGCGCTGCAAGTTTGCAGTCAATCAAACCTTAGTAGGTGCGTAGGCCTCTTTAACTGTTGGGCAGCCCGCATGGTTCAGGAACTATATATACTATTCCTCGATCTATATATAAAAGTTCTCAGAACTGTATACAAATGTTCCAGCAGATGATTCGAAATCGTTCCAGATAGTCCGGAGCCGCTCGGAACCGTCTGGACTATACATGAACCCGACGTTTATAAATAGTTCGGAACGGTTCCGAGCGGTTCCGGGCGACTTATAACCACTGTGGGCCTATTGTTGCGGCTTTGATTTGAGCGATGGTCGGCGATGGTGTCTAACAACACGGTTACAAACAGTCCAGAACGGTTCCGAGCGGTTCCGGACGATTTATAAATAGTTCGGCCAGTTTTATAACTAGTCCGGGGGAGCTTTATATATAGTCCGGACGCATCAACAGACCCAAGCCCATAAAGAGGCCCATGCACCCACTAAATCAAACCCTGAACGCAGAGTTCGCAAAGAGCCGCGGTGGGGGCTGAAGGCGTGCCACTGTTGCTGCTGGATGGGCTATTCTCTATGGACTCGGCTTTCAGCCTCCCTTGGCTTACTGGTTCTTCACAAGGGGATGAGAAGTACCCCCTATGCAGAACCAATAAGCCTGGGAACTTCAGAAAAATGCGACTTCCGTCAAGGAGTGCGAGTCAAACATTTTGCTGGGGTCTCGCCTGTTCACTTCATCAGTCTGAGATTGGATTGATCTCGTTCCATTGGTGATGATAAGTCCTAGCCCATGCCAATGATGAACCTGCCATAGTTACCCGTGTATTCCCCTCTACCCACTCCACCCGCCGCCCGAAACCCTAAAAAAGCATCCGCCAACCCCGAAACCGGCAACGCATCGGGCATAGGAAGTGAATTCTCCCCCCCCCACCCCCAAGACCCTAAACCTCGACCCTTGAAGGACTAGTTGTCTAAGTCTGAGGTGTGCCCGGTATTCGCGGCCCCAGTGCCAAGGGTGCATAAGCCGGGAAAGGGTCGTTGCCGTTTCAGCTTCGAGTTGTGCTCGTCACTATGTCACTCATCTAAGCCCATGCCATTGTACCTACATTGCCTCTGACCAGAGCCACAAAGGCCGATTCATTGGAATTCTGGACTTGAGACCCCCTGGATCTCATGGACACCTTCACGCTGCTACCAGTATCTAAGGACTCTGTCATTTGCGTGGGGCACGGCCACCTCCTCGGACCCTTTCCGGACAGACTCCGCCGAAGCGAGGCTTAGCCAAGCTCATTGTCATCGCTGAGGGAAAAGTCGATCTCCGAGGGCTCACAATAGGTCTCGCCCTGCACATGTTGAAAGGCTCAGAACGTTTGAAGCTCGGAGGGTCGAGGGTTCCGGGTTTGGGTTTGCTTTGGCAGTGCCCCCTCGCGCGACAGCCTCCAGGAGGATCCCCGGGCTGAAGCACAGCAACCCCCTGAAACCTGTACTGCACTGTTCTTCCCAGAAATGCCCACCCCCCCCCCCCCCCCCCCCCCCCCCGCACCTTTGGCACAACAGGTGATTCCAGCTCTCGGCCCATGATCTTGTCAAACCTTGGCGGGGAACTTCTCCGAACAAGGAGAGTTTATCTGAAAGACCGTCAAGGCTGAACAGCCCTCCAGGAGTCCAGGAGCATCCCCAAGCGACCTGATCGTACAAAGCTAACGCGCCTCAACCCCAAACCTCCTCCAATACCGCACAACCCGGCTAAGGAACAGGGTCGTGGAGTTGTGGCCCTGAGTGAAGAACTCCGAGCTCCTAATGGGCGGATCGAAGGGTGGTGAAGTTTTTTTGGGGTAGAGGATGCAGGGTCTGTGCTTTGGAGGCTTCGGGGTGCGTCTATTTTGTATAGGGAGAGGAAGACTTAGTGCGCCACAGGGAGGGCGAGTATTGATAGCAACACACACACACACACAAAACAACGCTAGCCTCCAGAAGCGGCAAGCCTCCCCAAAACATGCAGCCACCGGCTTCCCAGAAAAGCCCTGTCAGGAGCCCCCGTTGCTGCCGTGGCGTCCTGATGTCCTCCCAACCATTGAGGCCTGCATTTGAACATCCGGATACATCAGGGTCGACACAGAGAAGTTTGCAAGTGCTGCACACTGCACTGTCAAGTTCGAGAAGCTGCGAGACCCCTGGCCAGCGGACCCTACCTGACCGAGTGCTTGCCGGGAGCCCCGGCCTGCTCCCAGCCGCTTCTTCGGCTGCCGGTTCAGCATGCCCTGTATCACCGCCTTGCACTGCGCATCCTGCGAGCTTCAAAGAAGGAAACCTAAACTCGACACAAGCCAAGACCAGTTGCCGGGTCAACGTAGGGACATGAAAGCATGCTCAGCAAGTAGCTGCTTAGCTCCCGTAAGCCTCCTGGGCACCTTCGGCCCGGCGATGAAGTTTCAGGGGTGTCTAACTCTTATTCATAACATGCCAGCCATTCAACCGCTGCATCACTCGGCCTTGCTCCTGCAGAACCCATCTTTGCTATGGTTGTCTCCGTCTCACAACTCGGACAAGCCAGGCGAGGTTCTCGAACCAGGCGGGCATCAGCTAGATCCATCTGACCATCACAGTTAGTCCGACCTCTCCGTGAGGGCATCAGGGTTTCGGGAGCTATCAACCCTGAACAGCCAACTTCAACACTCAACAAGGGCGGCACCACAGTGCTGAATACGCGTCCTTGAACCGACCAGGAAACTCCAGCGGGTCCTTGAGCCTCAGAATGAATTCTCTCGTGCGTCTGGGTCTCAGGGTTGGGAGGCTTGGGGCCAGTCAACCATCGAATAGGTCTGCCTTGGTTTCCTATTCATAAGGCAAGAGCATTCCAGGAGTGTCTCTTCTAGGAAACAGATGACAGGGAGCTTCTGCAAGCCTGTAGGGTACATATTTGGAAGCCCACATGGCATAGGCTTACAGAGGCAGGACGCACAGTCGCGCTTGAAGCTTGATCCGATTCCCACCCCGAGTTCGAGCCTAAGCCGGAACCTGCTTGACAATGGGAGTGGGGGTGGTTGACAGTGTCTAGAGTTGAAGCCTTCGGGCTGAGGTCGAGGGTTCCATAGATTTCTCTGCTTTAAAAAAGGGAATTGCGAATCATTCGGGACACGATCCTGTACCCGGCAAGCCGAAGTCCCAAAGAATGTCTGCAAAATGCCAAGTCACACTGCAGTGCAAACTTCTGTGGGATCGTCAAGTTCGTCCGCAAAAGGCAAGTAGCCTGGGCTGCAGTCTGAATGTTCGCGTAGGTTTCAGGCCCCCGCCCCTCCTTATCTCGCTGCGATTTTCGAAGCCCAGACAGGCCAAGAGGCCGCAAACAAACTCGAAGAGGATGACACCGAGTGACCACAAGTCGACCTTCGACAGGACTCAGGGACCTAAAGCATATTCATTACCATTGTGAATAATGTTATAAATATATATGTAGAATGTAGAATATGAATTATACATACATGTATATATATATATATGTAGACTTTATAGAGACACACACACATACATACATACATACATACATACATACATACATACATACATACATACATACATACATACATACATACATACATACATACATACATACATACATACATACATACACACACATACATACATACGTACATACATACATACATGCATGCATGCATGCATGCATACATACATCATACATAGTATATGGCCCAGGTGATCTGTGGGACTCTTCTAGATTAAATCTGTGTCCCTTCTCCAGGCTATGTCAGAAGTCCCCAAGCCACGTAGAACTCAGAACAACCCCCATATCTTTTTGGCCCGAGGATGCTCTTACGTGCCTCGATTCCATCTGATATCTGGACGCACAGCAGTTGGGTAGGTCCAAGCTCGATTGGATTTGGGGCATTGATGAAAAATGGTTCCTGGGCCTTCGTATCCATGCAAGCGCTATAAAACCGAGATGGCACCAGAGAGGACTAAGTCCCCTAAAGGGTTCTAACCCCAAGAAGATCCCAGTGCTTGTTGTGTCAATGACAATACGCAGATCGGCGCCTCTGTGCCGTAGCCGTGTCCTCGCATGATCTCTGGAGCCATGTAGTGGGGAGTCCCGATCCTGTTGGTAGCCGGTCACATGGCCGATGTACTGCCATTCCATTGCCATCCCAAGTAACAAACATGTTTCAATGCCCATGGTAACCGCAGAGAAGGCTGCCATCCGAGCCCAACCCACTCCTAAGATCGGCCAAGTGGCATGGTGAAAGTCCGGGTCTTTCCCTCCTCCAGCTTCTTTGCAATGCCAAAGTCGATGAGCTTGAGGTATCCTGATGCACTCAGGCGGAGAAGGAAGGCGAGCAAGGAAACTGTGATTCTTCCAGCTGCTCGCCACGAGCTTCGACTTGCATCGACTCCCAAGACTCCCAAGAATGTTGCCCAACAGAACATGCTCAGCGAATCCCGAGCGTTGAAAACGTCCATCCTGCCTTGTGCATCAAGCATGACGTTCTCGGGCTTCAGGTCCTTTGAGATGGCCCGTGCTGTTTAAGGCGTTCAAGCAAAGGGCTGGCTTCCTACTCGGCCTGGCGCTTCTTCTGGCCATTACACAAGGCTTGCTCCAACAAAGGGGTTAGAGTCTAGTTAGAGCGGTTAGGGCGGTTAGGGCCGAGGGTTCTTGGAGCTTGGGATGAAGGCCAAGACACTCGGTACACAATGTTCTTCTCACAAAGTTCCTGGCCATTTTGGCGTGTCACTAGGGCTGCTGGCACCTCTGAGTCTCTACGGCCACAGTCTTGCCCAGCTGTGCTACAATTGCAGCTTAGCGGGCAAAACACACCATTGTCCTGAGCTTCTGAAAAGCCCGTCCTCCCTCCCCCCCCCCCCCCCCCGCACCCCAGTTCGCCCCAGCACGTTCCGAAAGCACTTGCGCGTATGAAGGCCGCGTGCCTCGAGCACAATGACCAAGCAGCCTGTGTAGAACTGCGCCTGGGACCTGCCAGGGATGAGGGCTTCTGGGGCACTTTTCCATGGCTCCAGGGCCGTAGATGCTTAAGTGGTCTAATGAGTCTGTCGGGGGGTTTCGCGCCTACGGACTCTATAGGGGCTTCATCTTGATTGGGCTGCGCAAGCCGCAGTACTGCAATGTAAGGCCTCGAGAGCACTGTGGGAATCTCACGGATGGCACCATGGAGCTCTCCACCAGTAATCAGCTCAGTGAGGATGTAGACCTGGGGCACAGACTTCCCAAGCTTCGTGGCTCAAGAACCCTTCAGTGTCCCACCTTTTGTCCGTCCACCTCTTTTAAAAGATGCTGCCGATTTGTGTGAGCTTGATCTACAAGCAAGGGGGTCCGGTGGGTGATCAGTACGCTACTGTAGTTAGCTACAGCGCAGCGCGCCGCCTTGTGCTACGTTGCTCGCAAAACCGCAAAAAGGCTGCACCACTTGATGCGAAGCTTAGCTGCGCTCTTGCTCGTCTCGAACGTCTGCACGAGTCTCCTTGACAGAGTAACTTTGGGTTACGAAGCGGGACTATCCCTGGCAGCTTGGCCTCGAAGCTTCCTCACCCTTAGGGGCCTTGAGATGCTAGCAGCTAGCATGTTTCACAGCCCAGCCACACACTCACGGCACAAGCTCGAACACTACCCCCATAAGTCCGAACTCGGCCCGGGCAAGTACCCTTAAAACTCGCTGGGGCGCATGATGAAGGGATGCTCTTGAGCTTTGAGAAGCTCACACTCACCTGCAGTCTTCGCATGGCGGACACGTTCGGCAAAACGAACCCGAAAGCGCTGTGCTTCAGAAACTCCAGGTCTGGTCTGCACGGCTCACATGACTACGCAGCTTCTTCGACAAAACTGACAGGAGGCCTGAACCTCGCAACGTGCCGCCAAGGGGCGCTTCACCTCGACCGGGATCTTCCCGCCGTTCTTCCTGACTCGCTTGAGCGCATACCTGGGTTGCGCTCCCAAGAAGTGATGCCCTGCGCTGACTCATCCTGGCTCACAAGCATACCTACGTCCTCCACAGTGCGGGGCTCAAGCGCCTTCAGATTGACGAGGGCCCTGCAGCTCTGGATAATGCAAGCAAGATGCCTCATTCCTGTCGCAGGGCGGTAAGTGTTTTGTTTCAGTTTCATGACAGCTCCGGTCAGAGCGCCGGCAGAATGTCTGCACATTACCCAGAACCCCGTGTTCGCCTGTCTTCTTGTTCATCACCAGGCGCACCACCCCGGCCGCTCCAGCTCCGATCACCTTCACGGTCTTCAGGTCCTCCGCAGGTCTCTTGTTCCTCTTTTTTTCGGCACGGCGCGGTTTGAGAAGCTTAGGGTCTGAAGGGTTGCGGGAGGGCGGCATCGGTGTGCGGTGGTTTGGTGTTTAAGTTTGCCGCCTGCCCTCGACTCTGCCGCAGGCGAGGTGCTTGTATATGATGTCCATCTGCAAGGCTACACGCCAATCCCGACAACGACCGCTACATTTCAACGGCAACTCCCCCCCTCGAGGCAGCTGCAAGCTGCCGCTGGGCTGGAGGTTTTGGAGAGTTTAGACAGGCGACACTTTGGCAAACTCCCAAACCCCCAAACCTCCCTGCCCCAAGGCCCACTGCGAAGGCCTAAGGCGACCAGGACAATTGCCTTGTACCCAGACCTGGCCTTCATGCCGAAGTTGGTGTCTTGCCTCAGTTGAAGAAGCTATGTGCATGTGCGAACTGGGAGGGGGGGTGGGGGTGGGGCGGGGGGGTGGGGGGGCATGTCAGGCTCGATGAGTTCCTGATGTCAGGTCTTCTTCGGCTCCCCCACAGGACTCTCGGGCTACGCAAACAGTTCGGCAGGCTCCGCATAGACACTTACGCTCCCGATCTCCTTTTTCCCATCGCCAAGAGGACAAACTCCCCCGAGAGGCTTGAAATCAGCAGACAAATTGCCAGGGGAACCTGCTTCATTGGCCTTCATCTGGGCTGCTGCAGAGGGACTCCGCTCAAATCTGAGGATCACCCACTGGTCAACTAAACGTTTCGTCTGTGACCCTCTCGATCGAGCGTAGACCTCACAAGGACCCAGTCATTTGTTATCCAGCCGGCTGCGGGGGTTGCCCCGTCCCAGATCCAAACCTGGTGACGCGGATGGCAGTCCCCAAACGGGACGCCAAGCTCCCTAGTTCTTTTTCCCTACTGTGCAATGGCCTTGATTCCCGAGCCCTTTCTTCATCCATGGGCAAAGCCACAGCACGGCTGTTGGCGGGCAGGTTTAATATCTAGCAGCTATGAAAGACCATCCTCCTTCAAAGGCCTCTGATCTGTGGCTAGCATAAGAGCTACGGGTCAGGTCTGCTAAACAGTCCGCGATGGAGGATGATGCCAACTAGCTGTAGCACATCAGGAGCTCTCAATTCGACCTTCACCAGAGGTCATCTACGCTCTTAGGGCTACAGAGGCGGCGTAAGACCCATCTGGTGGATCGTTGAGGTCCGGTCGGTCAGTTGAAGAAAAGGCTTTCCGCGCAATGTTCAAGGAAACCTCCGCTGCTTTATTCGACTGTGCAATCAGCCATCCAGCATGGCCCATGGCAGCAGCCTCGAAATGAGCGGATATTGAACATGCTGACCCTGTGCTTCATGACTAGACTCCCCATGGCACAAAAATCTGCCAGTGGTGGCGAGGAAGTGTCACCACGGATGTACAGTAACAAGGTTCTAACATATCAAGCTATACCCAGCGCGCACGAAGCCGCCTTCATCTTCTTCCGTCCAGGTTGGCCTACTGCTGCTTGTAATTGTTTCAAGAATTCAAAATGATCGGATCGCCTCCCCACCCACCCGGGCCGGACACCCCGAGTAAAGTGGGGAGACAACTAGCACACAGAAGGCGGGCTCTTGGGCAGCTGAGGTGAAAAGAAAGGGAACGCCTTATCGGCTAGTGTGTAGCAGCAAGCCGACACAGCTCATGCAGTTTCAACGTATTTCGCGGCAGGTTTGTTCAACCTCACCCTTGGAAGATGTCAACTGCCTCCGCTGCCTCAGCTGCACATTGCAAACACCAATTGCAGCTGCCCTTAGGCCCTGCACCAACACAAGGCATCACTACCACCGAGATCCTGAAAGGCCTATCCCTCTACAGATTCCCTTGCCTCAGGAAGCACCACGCACAACTCCTCCGACAGGATCTTGCCCAAGCCGGGTACGTCGAAGATCAAGTCGGGGGCAACATCCTGAGCACACATTACCCCGTACTGTAGAGCTTCTCAGCCCAATGAAGCCCATGTGGGACTGCAAACCTCCGAGGGCAGTCCTCTAAAAAACAAGTTTGCTGGGGGTAGGGGGAGGTCCTCTTGATGATAACTGTTCAGCAGGGGCCTGTTTTGATCCGGTGAGGGCGACCATGCGTAGCACATTAGCTCGGACTGCCCGTGCCCTGGCAGGCCTTCGTGAAGAGGCCAGCACCCTGTGCCAGCGCGTCCTTCTTCCAGCCTTGGCCCACATTCTCTTGAACTGAACCTTTTGGGCCCTAAATACCCCTGGCATCCTGAACCTCAAGTCCAATGAGTGGACCGAGCGGCCCTTTTCCACAACCGCACGCAAGGCCTTGAAGTCCAGCTCGCGGACATTGGCCGCGCCCTCCTCCCGTGGTCCAAAGGTTGGGGTACTCCCTTTTTTGAGCAATATGGGCTCGGGGTGTAACCCGCTTAAGGAGACTTCTCCCGTCATTCCCGGGAGACACGCATGTGTGAACCATCACGCATCTGTGCTTACGGACAAGAAAGTATACCACGATCTTGGTTGACCAGTATGCTGCTCATCAAAAGAAGGAGATGTACCCCGTATGGGCCTCGGGACACGCAATGAAGGTTCCCGTTATTTCGCACTTCTTTGCTTGGAATGGGTACCCCCGTGTCCGCGGGCAGACGGTATGCGAGGACCAGGGAGCATTTGTGCACCCCTTCTCCCTTCCGTCTCCTTTCTCACTACCCTTCCCCAACTGCTCCCCCCTTTCAGCGGCAGAATCTAGACACGCGAGAAATTCTCGCGCACCTCGGCTTTCTCTGCAAACGAAACACTGGCGAGATTCTTGGCACTTCAGGGATACTCGGCGACAAGTGGGGTGCACTCGGGATGGGCAGCACGGACCTGCATGGGCCAAGAGACCCAGTTGAAATCTAACGACCCCACAGCGAGGGTGGGGCAAAACCCTGAACCACCATTATTCTTGCTCTGCCCAGTTAATTACACCCTAATGTTGCACCCGGTTTAGTATTGGCCCCCGCTTTAAAGACAAACTGGCCGAATTATTCAGGACACCCCGACTGTTTGGGAGTCCCTCTTTAAAGACAAATCGTCCGGGCGCCGTAAGAAAATTCCACGTGCCGCGCCTTTAAAAAAGATAGCCGGGCATCACTGCCCCTTTTGAACTTATCTAAGCTACCCCCGATTAAAATCATATGAACCCCCGGGGCCGTGTAATCAGGATCCCATCCGCGCCTCGACTGTCCAGGGGGGGGGGGGGGCCCCCCACACTAAACCGGGTGCAACATTAAGTCCCCTATGCATCCAGGCCCTGTTGCATTTTAAACCCTTCAACAAACCCTTTTGAGCCCCTTCAGCCTGCACGGCGAAGCACAGGATCTCGGAGACCTCAGCAGCCTGCTCCCCGGCCGGTGGCACGCCCAGGGCCTGGTTCAGAAGCTGCAGTTTAAGTTGGCGCTCCAGGCCTCGGGATTTTGGCCTTCCATAGGGCGCTTCGGGCCGGCCGGGGTTTTGGACGCTCGCCCTCGCACACGCAAGGTCCCTGAGTCATTGCGTCAAGAAACAACGCGAAGAGTCTCGTCAATCTCTATTGTGGGCTGGGGTTTAGGAAGGGGTTGAGGCATCGGCCTTCCTTGACTCCCGTTGGACAAGTGAGGCTTCTACGTGTCATGGAAAACCTTGCTTTGCGGCAATCCCTCCAGAAAAGCGCCCTTTGTTGCACTCCGAAAACTGGCGATTCCACTACTTCCACTACAATTATGTCAGCACGAACAGTACATGAGGCACTCGAGCACCTACGCAGGACTGAAGCGATGGAGTCCCAGGTTCCAGCACCATCTCCAGTACTTTGGGCACGGGGCGTAAAAGGACTCCGGAGGTGCGGACATTGTGGACGTGTACGCCGCCTTCATTCGGTCGACAGCCTCGTCAATGCATCCACTGTGGCGGAGCTCGACCAACGCCTCCCGAAGGTAAACGCGGCTTCTCGATTTTCGCACCGGCTTCAGCTTCAGAGTGCGGCGTTTTTGCATCCGTTTTTAGTACGTAACGAGCCCCCCTTACCACGGGCTTGTACAAGGAAGGCCACCCTAGGCCCTGATTTGAGCGTTCTGCCAAGTGACAAACAGGGCCTTCCATCCAAAAGCCCCGCAACATCCACGGATGAAAGAGAACCCACAGCGGCCTTCTTGGTGCCCTCACGGAACTTCTCCTGGTCAAACGCCGGCGCCGGTGCAGGCACGGACGCCACTTTGCGAATGAGGCGTTCCTGGACGAAAAGGCTTTGTTAGGGTTGGGGGTCAGGGTTGAGAGTGGGTGAGAGGACCATGGGGTTCGCAAAATCTCTCATTGCCGTCTCTCTCTCTCAAGTCTGTACAGGCACGGGGTCCTCCACCTTGCGGCCAGCCGCGCTATCTGCCACCTCTTGCTTTTTGCCAAGGACTTTTCTAGAGGGTCTGTTTTGGAGTGCTGTTGAAAGGAATCCAGTATCAGAATGCTTGGAGTACAATAAGGCCGCTTCCCCCCAAGTTGCGGCTTCCCCCCCCCCCCCCACCTGAGCCAGCGTCATGGCCCTCTCGATCTTCTTGGGGCGCTTGTCCACCCAACGAGCAGCTCGAAGGTCCAACAGATCCTTCCACGGGGCTGTGCGCGGCTTACTACGGTCCAGGAGGTCTTCAGTCGGGCGCTGAAGTCTCTGATCTCGCCTTTGTGGGTTTAGGACTGCCCTTCCCTACAGGTGCACCTCTGCATGCTGTATGCACTGGGCAGACGCATCTTAGAGGTGCGTTTGGTTCGAGGGACTGTGTGTGGAGGGTCTCCACAAACTGAGAGCAGGGGCTTAAGATAGGAGCCTGCAGGCCAAAAGGCCTAGGCTTTTAGAGGCAGCGAAAAAAAAAACACGCCTTCAGAAGAAAACGCTCGCGAGCGGGGCAAGTCTTAGCCTTGATGATGGTGGAGATCCTGAGAGGCGCAAGGAGCTGTTCCAGAAGGGACAGGCAGATGTTCAGACTGCGCTCTAGCTTTGCCCGTGATCTCCTCGCCGCACCCTCTCGTGCGCAGCTTGCGATGCCACAAGAAGAGCTGCAAGGTGCTACGATAATAAGGTTTAGAATGCAAGGTTCACCTAAAACGCGCCCTCTCAACCCTAACACGTGCCCGAGGCTTGGCAAGCCAAGGTTCTGATCGAAGACGGCCTTCAAGGCCGTGTGATGTGGCCACTCCTGTGCCCAGCCCGCTGTAAAACCCAAAGCTGGCCGTCCCCAAACTAAAAAAAATCGAGACATCTTCCCCCTAAACCCTAAAGACCCTCAGGACCCTAAAGATTCGGAAGACCCTAAGAAGACCCTAAAGACCCCAAAACCCTAAAGATTCCCTGAAGATTCCCTGAAGATTCGGAAGAAGTGCCTTGTTGTCGGCCGTGGGGCCCAGAACTGTCAGCATGGCAGCGACCGACTCAAGGGCCTTCAGCGGCCCAACTCAGCGCAGTATGCCGCCCGAAAAGAAACCCAAGAAGGGTTTGGGGTTTAGGGTTTACGGTTTAGGGTTTAGGGCTCAGGGTTTAGGGCTTTTTGTTGTCGGTTTAGGGTTCGGGGTATCTTTGCACCCTTGCTGACCTCTCGGACACACTGCAGGGAAATGGCTAGGAGGAACTAGAATCCTCACGCTTCAAGCGGCATCTCTTCAGTTGACTTCTACGCATCAACAGTCCTGCAGTGTAAGGGTTTAGGGTTCAGGGGTTTAGGAAACCCTTAGACCTTAGGGTTAGTTGGGGGAGCCTGGAGGTGTCAGCAGAAGTGGAATGCCCTTAAGGCCCGACCAAGTTTCGGAGTTCGGGGTTTCGCGGCCTCGGGTTTAGGGTGTAGGGTTGAGGGTCGTGGTTGGGAGCAGGTGCTCTAGGCTTGGGGGGGGGGGGGGCCCTATCGAACATCCTTCTCCATCTACGCAGTGGCCTCTGGAGTAGGATTCGAAAGGAGCTCCTGGTGGGGTGCCACGTCTCGGCTCGTTCTCCCCCCACCCCTGATATGTTCTTTTTTTTTCGCGGCATCAGGAGTGCAAAGTTCGTTTTCAGCAGCATTCTCTGCAAACTCGCATTGACCCTTGAAGTTAGGATGGAGGAGCATCTGCCTGAAACCGAACGCCGTGGAACCCCCCTGCCCAGACGCGGCGTCCTCGAGGATGGCAATGCCGACCTTACGGAGGGCGACCAAGGAATCTGGGGCTATTCCTAAACCAAAGAAACCCTTAACCCTCAACCCAAACCCCTTCTTTCGGGCATTCTGGGGATCATGAGTGCACACTCCCTCGAACTGTTTGGACAGGCGGCTCTGCTGGCCAGCATCCCACGCGAGAGCAGGCCACCCACGAGGCGGATGTTCCCCAGCATGCTTGTCTTATAACGCACCTGGTGGTGGCACCATGCACGACATCGCGGAACTCCCCCAAACGAGGAACCCCTGAAACAAAGAGCCGCCGACTTGGGTCATGAGAGCAAGAGCCACAGAATGTGGATCAACCCTGCATTATTCTAGAAATGCCTACACACAGTTGGTGTCTGTATTTGTCATAGCTAGCGCCAGGGTTGTCGTTCCTAACAGTAGCCAGTTATGGCCGCCCAGCTGCCTCGGCCGCCGTGCGTTCCTGGCATCAAAGTGTCTCAGGAAAGTCCCAACCAAAAGCATTTTGTCGTAGGAAAAATCGAGCTGCCCTTCGCCGAAGGCTACAACCCAAGATCTGATGCTGATGTTGCACCAGTCGAGGTCTGTAACTTCAAGACTGACTGCTGCAGTCCTCTGCCGGGAGAAGTTCCAGCCCCTCCGGCGGGGAGAGCAGGCGCTCAAATGACAACCTGGATCATAAGCCATTGTGATGGCCCAGGGAATGGATTTTGTCACACAGCTTCAGCATGATCATCAGGTTGGGGTTTATCGGCGCCGTCCACAAGATTTGCTAGCGCCGGCATCCCGAAGGACGATGCGAGCAAGAGACTGGCACTCATCCAGCAGCAATCTCTTGAAGGTCATCTTGCGGCCGTCCACCTGACAAGCAGGCATCCAACATCCCGATGTTTGGGGCGAAGCCCGGCTCTTAAGCCTTGTAACTTGGAACCTGACAACGGATTCTCAGCTTGAGGAATGACCCGTGCCCTGGAGAAATGCAACGAAAACAACCTCGACTGCAGAAGAACCAATGGCAAGATCAAGATGACACCCCGCTGCTCCGACAACTGAGATGGGATAAGCTGCTCTTTCCAGTGGACATCAATGCGATGGCGACAAGGGTGGGCTCACACGACAAGTTTTAGAACCGACGGCAAAACATCTGAATTTTGCAGCTGAGAAAGTCATCTACAGGCATGTTCTTGAAGGCTGCTCTTTGGACAATAATGAGCACTAGACCCTGAATCTAAGCTTCCCCATTGTTGGCTCAGCCTTGCCAGAGCAATCCTCGAAGGGGTGCGCGGTGAAGTGCTCGTGCAATAGCACGCAGAGGTCCTCAGCTCTGCATTATTCAAGCAACATTCCTCTCTGGCACAAGAGCCAACTCGGCGGGTCTCACAGAAAGCGCTACCGCTACGGTACAGGACATGACCTTGTGAGCCTTACAGCCAAATGCAGATCCAGTGTCGGCATACATGTCGATAAAGTGATGCTGTGTTGTGGCCTCAGCCCACACCGTCGACGTGGGTTGACTGTAGTACATCGGACCGAAACATGAACATTCACGTGCAACCCATACGGAGACGTGCGGAAGCCCGAGCCGTAGAATTTCAACGGCCTGCAACTGACCTGATCCTTGAAACAGACATTGAGATGCCACCATTCGCCACAAGTGACTTCTTGCGGGCCTCCACACCCTTTGCAAAGTCGACAGGAACTCCGGAGGTTGTCAAACCCTTGTCAAACCCTCTTCCGCCTTCTCAAAGACCTCGTGGATCAACACCTCCACATCGGTCGACGTACGTAGGCCGCCTGTAGCTGCGAGCCATGCCCTACTTTGCCCTACTCCCTCCGCCCTTCGAACCTTCGACTCGCGTGAGGTGCAATCGGGTGAGACAAAGTCCCAGGCCTCTTGCAGTTCAACCAGGGATCTGTGCTGCCAAGGTACACTCCAGAAGTTGCTGCGAGAGGCTCGCAAACTTCTCAAGAGTGAGCTTGTTCCTTGGAAAGCACGAGCCGTGTGCAAAACACTACTACCGTGTCTTGAAGCCGAAGAGCGCCTCCCTTCCGGCAAACAACCACCAAGCACACAGACCTAGGCAAGAATCAGCCTAGGCAGCCAAGACTCAAGATACATTTGATGGTCCGCGCAACTTGCGAACAAGGGTCTTGGGACACCTCTCGTGGGATGCAGAACTAGGCCCCCTGTTCGGCGAAGCCCCTTGCTACATCCCTGCAACGCAGCTACCCGTCATCCACTCACATCTGCCCAAACCCTCACGCCCCCCCGCCGCCCCCTCCCCCCCTCCCACCTCCGATTGCTTTAGCTTGCGCTGCTGGGCAGCCCAGGAATTCTCAGAGACTTCCAGCTTGCCCTTTGAGGCCTCCGATGAAGTCAAACATGGGGAAGCCGACCAATTTTGAGCTACACGGATGGTCCCTTGCCTTGCTCTTGTCGGAGCCTTTGGCCTTCGGAGTCTTTGCTGCAGGCGCTGTCTCCTGCGGCGTGCTTCAAGAAAATTCAGCTCCATCCAGGTTTCGGGGAATGCCATCGGCACTTCCGCAATCCGTGCCTTGACGGCAGTGGGGGTCGCTTCAAAGATCTGCGTACGGTAGAGGATCACGGGCTCCTGCGGGGCTCACGTGTGCCGATGAAGCCGGGCGGTTTGCTGGGTCTGCTGGGTTTGCAGCTGGGTTTGCCGCTTTGTTGCGACTGGCGTACTTGCTTGACGGGATTGACTCTTCCGTCTGAGTAAAGTTTGAGGACATATGAGGAGTGAGGGTACAGGAGGAGCCTCAAGAAATTACGCTAAACGCTGTGCAAATCTCACATCTGAATCACATGAAGATGATCCTCCTTTGACTTCAGCATGGTCTCGCGCCAGATCAACATCTGCCTTTGCTTGAGCCCGTCCATTCACGGCAAACGCTGGTTACCAAATTTGACCGAGGCGTGAAACTGTATGACTGTAGCAGCCAACAACACCTACAGGAGCATAAGGGTCGAGTCTCTCCTCTGCTTCAGAAATTTCAGCCCTCCCAATTGACATGATGCCGAGCGTCTTCAGGCTGAACACGGTCGAAGGATCAGTATCCGCGTCTTCACTCAAAGGGCCAAGCTCCTCCTCTTCCTGGTGCGCGGGACATTTATGTCGAAGGTATGGTCCTGGTGCCTTCGACGAACCCCTGCCTTCAAGAGTGCGCAACTGGGGGGCCAGGGCGCATAAGTTGCGCAGCGAAGAACAGCATCACCCTCGCAGTGGTTGAGATCCCAGATCCGAGACCTAGTTGGGCCTTGCAAGCCTTGCTACCATCGAAATGAGCCATCCCCACACCCACATGCAGAAAGATCCGATACTCTATGCATAGGAATCATAGGAACATTCCTTGGGCAGGACTCCTGAACAGGCAACTACATACAACTACATCGGGGCACACTGCAGGTCTTTGGGTGGTCCTACGTTCAAGATCCATGCTATCCGGAGCTGGCAAGGCCCCCGCAGCACACGATGTCATGGCCCCAAAAACCAAACAAGTCGCATTTTGGGGGGAATGGGCGGCTCATCCCTCAATCGGGAAGTCCATGTTAGGGCTTCGAGGGTGAAGGGTCCGAGCGCGTCGGAGCCTTAGGGATCACCCCCTTCCTTGGCTGAACTTCGAAGCCTTCTCAAAGGGTCTTCGCCAGGGCACGGGTTCCGAGGATGCCGAGCTGATGGAGTGCGCGGCCTCCGAAGTGGTGTCCTCATTTTTCAACCGCTGCGAAGTTCTCTACACATGAAGACTGGTGCAAAGGAGCAAGCCCAGATTCCACAAGGGTTCAGGCATGTGCCAAAGAGGACTGTAGGGCTAGGGCTCCTTAACCGAAACCTTCCATCCCTTCGCATGGAAGAGATGCACCTTCAGAAGGTCCACCGCTTCGTCAGCCGCGGAGGGCGACGGCTCCTCCGCGGGTTCCGCATCCTGAGGAGAAGAGGCCATGGAAGCTGCTTTCCAGGGGCTGCTACCAAACATAGCAGATGATACCTAGCCCCACAAAAACTACATGGAGGGAGGGTCAGGCGAGGCCCTCTTTAAGACAAGTTTTCCAGCCCCGGGGTTTTGGGCGGAAGAGGGGGAGGGTTACCGGGTGCAACATCAACATATAATCAAAGTCTCTTGCCAAACATGTCCCGGCCCGCGCTTGGGGCTCAAGCCTCCTTGTCCCTTTCAGGGTGGCAGACCACATACGAAGACCATCTGAACCGTCTTCTGCCCACATGGTCACAGGGGCCAGCCAACAACATGGAACATGAGTGATCACTCTTGCGGACCAAAGTGGGCCCCATAACCCAAACCAACCTGGCCAGCATCATGGGATCGTGCTCTGGGCTTAGGGATCAGATGTTCCACCGCCAAGCTGATCCGATTGCACCACGATGCAAAAACGAGGATCTGGTTGGGATTAGGGCTTGCGCGAGCCAGGCGGCGAGGATTCTGTGATGCTTAATTTTGGCTTCTCGCATAGCTTCGCCCAGCTAGGCAAACCGAACAGGTCCCTGAGATATCTTGAAACCTGGACACATCTTCGGAGTCCTCGGAGCTCTCAGCATCGCTGGAGGTCTCAAGTGCAGCCGGGACCTTCTTCTCCGACCTCAGTCGGTTCACATCTCCAGTTCACCTCTCGCAAGCCAAGATTCCCAATGCCTCACTGGGCCAGGCGACATAGGCTTTGCTACAATCTCCGCGTCGGAGTCCTCATCAGGCGACTCAGTCAGGGTGCAGAAGGGGGTTTCAAGGCTTCGGACTCAGGAGTTTAGAGAGTGAATCATCCAGCGAAGGTCCTCACTGTTGAGGGTTGTCGCCGCCCAGCTGAGCTTTGGGGTTAGGGCTTTTACATCCACACTCGGCCTTCACTTACCATTCCGAGCAGCTGCAAGCTTGTGCTACTTCTAAAAAGTTCGTTTGGAACCAGAACCAGGGTTCAAGACATCAGCTGTAAACACTTGGCACAACAGGCGATTGTCAAGGACTCCCTCAGCTGTCAACCATCTTCCCAGCCCGTACGTGCTTACGGGCAAAAGCTGCCAAACGCGTTTCACCTATTGTCAGATTCGTGAGATCCAAACCGGCACCCCTGGACAGCGAACCGGTGTCCGAGTCGGACAGGTCGGAAAAGTCGTCGAGGTTAATGGCGGCCTTCGATTCCAGCTGAGGACGTGGCTAGGGTGCGACGGCCCGCATGCATGAAGCAACTGACCACCTAAAAAGGACTCTATGTCAATGTAAAATAATCTGGACTATATGTCAATGTTGAATAATCTGGACTACATACCGAACAATTAGCCGCGGGACTGCCCGTGGGTTGCGGGCCCGGCCATTGCAGGTGTTCTTGGAGTAGTTGCCGTAGTTGCCGTTGGCGTAATGACCGGTCCCATATTGGCCCTGGCTGTAGCTGTTGCCAGTGTAGGCAGCATTGCCATAAGCACCATTCTGGTAGCAGTCGTAGGAGTACCCCGCGTTCGCGTAGTAGCTGCTCATGCCGCCTTGCTGCATTTGCTCCTGGCCAGGATATTGATACGTGGCGGAGGAGGAGTAATACTGATTCTGCATGAACTGCGCTGGAGCAGGCCCGTTGGGCTGGAACTCCGGCGCGAAGGAAGAGAGCGTAGATGGATTCGCAAACATGTCCGGAAGTTTCTTGGAGAGGCAAAGATCAGGCGCAGGAGACTGTTTGCACAGTTCGAGCGCCTTGCTACAGATATGTATCGGAATTTGGGGTGACAATGGTATGTCCAAGCCAAATGCTGCGGCGTGTTGATGAAGCATATCCTGCCATATCCTGCCTGACCTACTTCGAACCGAACCGTCAGAAAGGATGCTCTTCTATCTCTCTTGCTGATACCATTGGTCCCTAGTTTCCAATTTTTAACATACCACGCAAGGCTGAGTGTGAAGCCACAAATTGACAAAGGCGCGGAGTAGTGCACGTAAGAAACTTCTAGGTCATGAAGCCTCCACCAGATGCGAGCATACACGAGGCAGGCGAAACGACCCTCTGCTTGCAGGAGTGGTTGCAGGCGGATCCGGTGCATCAGCTCCTGCTGCATCTTGCCTCAAACACTGAAGGCTATGTCGAGAAACTGCAGGCATAGGCCCGGCAATGTGGAGATGTTCACAATCCGGAACAAGGAACTTCCGCCAAAAGGGGAGCAATTTTGAACACACTGAGGGTGGCCCTGAAGCAGAAACAACGACAGTGGGTGAGCCGATGCAGCAAGGGTGCCAGCCACAATGGACGAGAACGTGGACTTCCTGCAGGCGGCGCAAGAGCTGCGATGACACAACGCCAAAACAACTGCGCGGCAAACCCTGATCGAAAGCATGGCTGATTGAAAAGCCTACCTGCCCTCGAAATGAGCAAAAAGGACATGAGCTGCAACCCTGACATACCTTTTTGGTCTAAGCAGTGATGCTGCCGAAGCACTCGATGGACCATAGCTCCGCTTCCGGAGAGGAGACCTTGCCCCGCGCTCCAGGGAAACATGGGAGGATTTGGGGGAGGATTTGGGGGAGAATTTGGGGGAGGATTTGGGGGAGGATTAGGGGCGGGACGGGGGGGGAAGCAAGGGAAGCGATCGGGTCTGGGGTAGAGCCGCTTTCAGGGAAGGGGCATCTCACGTCCTGCTGGAGTTTTTCTGAGCCGCTGGCTTGGAGAGTGGACTCTTACTGCACACTTGAAACACAAGCCGGTATCTAAGCTTTAGTTTAGGGTTTCGGGGTAAAGCCCAAGCCCCTGAGATTCTGCTGCAACCTGGCGTCTTGGATCCACGGCTAAGACACACTCAGTGCCCCAGGGGGCTTTCAATGAACATTCTTCAACAGCGTTTGTCAGCTGCGGGCTCAAGTACCGCATGCAACGGTATCTTACTGATTGGCGAACACAGGCGCACCCAACAAAGGAGACCCGGATGTACCTTTAAACAAAGCCCTAAAGAAAGGCCTCCACGGTAGCTGTGCGGGGCTCGTCGAAAAGCAGAGCACGCTCACCAAAGTAGGAGTTCTTCGTCATGGTGCCTCAGTGTTCGGGTTTCAGTCTGCCCGCAGTCTTGCAAGGCTTGACGTCTTACCCTTTGGTTTAAGCACCTTTCCTTATGCCGCACCTACCTATCGTGACGAAGCCGACTCGCATTCACTCGCACCCGGGAAGGTTTCTACTGCGTACCTCAAACCGCAGACTGCAGTCTCGTTCAACTTCTTCAAACTCATAGCAACCGTTACTGGAATGTCGGCCCCGCCAGCACGATCTGTTACCTCTCAAATCTACACAAAGTCAAGGAACGGATGAACTTCCCATCGATCTCCACATTGACATCTCCGCTGGCAATGACGAAGAAGGAGGCACCAACTTCACCCTGCTTGATGACGTGAGCACCTGGGGTCAAGTTGGACTACATGTTCGTCGACTCCCTTCAAAGAGTTCGCACAGGACTCAAAAAAAGGCCGCACAACCCGCACGTGCTGACGACTGTCAGACTTAGCCGGGGACCTTTGCGGTAGCGCTGCAGCACGAACGACTGAACCAGCCTTAGTAGCTTCAGAAACGGAATTTACTATCAACAGCCTCGTGCCAAGCAGCATTGCGTGTTTTTTTAAAGGCACATGGGAAGTTGCACATGTATGACGCCCTGCAATGATGGAAACGCTTGTCACACGATCTTCACTGATCCACCTGGGCACGTGATCTGGCAAGAAATCAACAATCTGACACCCAGGTGACTTGTTGATCTGCTCGCTCGAGAGGTGGCGGAAGATGTGCACCTTGACAAGCCATGAACTGCTTTAGCGGGCCTGCTGAACTGTGCGGGTCGACTCGGGCAGGGCACTTCATGCATGGGGTTTGAGATGGCTCTAAAAGCCTTCTTGGGGCACAAGGAATCGGCGCCATGCCGGGGTCTGGTCAGCCCTTCAATTCAAAGAAATCTGTCCTATCCTTCTTGCAACCACTGCTTCTCCACACCCTACTGCTCCCGCACCCGGCGCCTTCTTGGCGACGATCAGCTTCCGAGTGAGATCCGAAGCCTGGACAGCACTTGCCCGTCGATTCTTCAATTGTGGATCTCTTGCTTGCACTCATTGGCACCGGCCATGACAAAGATCATAGTAGCTGCAACGGCTTTGATGTCGTTGAGCTGAGTGTGCCAAGTGGTCCACACATGCACGTGCAACGACAAGTTTGGCGCGTGGGTCGCCTTCTTAGAAATCCCTCTGAAGACGTGTCACACGAGCATTGGCGACGTGTTGACATCAGATGCTGGACCTCCTCAGCATTGCCGATTGCCGCCAGACCAAGCTCCTTCAGCGCGCCCAAGAGACCTTCCTGGCCGAGCTGACAGCTGACATCAGCTGACTCCGAGGGATTTTGGGAGCTGTGTGCTGGGCTTGCGCGCTTTGGGGGCATGCCTCAGGGCTCTCCGAGTGTGGGGCTAGGCACAAGATTTGGGGCCCTGATTCAAAGCTTTTCTCATACTTCCCCATATCTGAGCCTTGGTCAGGTAGCCGACGCGTGCGCCATTCCTCAGAGCTGCCAAGAGCTCGCTCCAGGCCCAAAGTCAAAGCAACACTTGACTCAGTAGCAAAAAAACACACTCTCCGAGGGGAGGGGGGGGAGGAACCTGGTACATGCCCTATAAACCCGAAATATATTAAAGAATTCTTTCAAGCGTTTTTCGCCGGAGAAGCGTAGCTTTTGGAACCTAAAAACCTTGCTAATTCTTAAGCTTTTGGGTCATAGAGTTTATACTTAGAGAAGGGACATGCGCGGGGAGATAGAGAAGATATGGGAATAAAAAGAGTCCTGAGACGCGCTGGCGATGTTTACAAGGAGCCCATCAGCCTGCCGACAAGATGCGCTCCAGCCACGAAGCTCCTGTGGGCCACTGCTGGTCAAGTCTGTCATGTCAGAACACGTCGGAATGCAGCATCCCAAAGTTGCGCCCCATGCTACCGCAAAAACGTACCACGAAGACGAAAGCAGGTCCTGATCTCCGACTTGGCCTGGCAGAGGACGATATGTTACACTGGGGTGATGCTGTAGCGGCTTTTTCGGAAAGACTGCCTCAGCCTCTGAGATAAACAGTTCAGGTGTGTTTCCTCTCCATCCCGATCTCGGGCAAGCCCGTGTTGTTATGATTCATTCCAGCAGTTCAAAACTCTTACAAATACGGATTCGGGCCAGGCAAATAGGTTCGAAGTGTTCAAACAGTGCTCATGACAGGCATCCCCCGGATGCCGAAGGTCCCCGTCCGTTGCACCTCTGAGGCAGCGTTGCTCTCAAGCAGCCCGCCGTCCTCACGAAAAGAACAAGCAAGTCGGGGTCAGGGCGCAGCTTTGGGCCACCTAGCACCACAGATCTGAGATCCATCAGATGCTAGCAACCATGGCCTCAAGCCACTGAGCACGCTCCAACGTCACCTCCGGAACAGGGTGAGTGTTGCTGCTCCTCTGCTTCAGCTGCATGCACCTCTCTCCCGCCCCCTCGTCTACCAACCCTGAAGCCCAGACTCCGCATCTCCAAAACAATTCCAAACAGTTGAGTGCAGGTTCTTTTGTCCGCAATCCGCAAAGAGCACAATCGACTCTCTGGAAGCAGATCTTGTAAACAGGGGTAACAAGGCCAAATAGACCCACCCCCCAAGGAAGCACTGTAAAGCGGGCCAGGCATCCGGGCTCTCCGCACGAACCCCCTTGTTAGCTGCTAGCTGCACCGGCACCACAGCCATTCCAGTCGGCAGCAGGCAGCGGGCTCATGATGATAACATCATTCTCGGAGCTGATCGCATGCTTTGCACCTCTCTCCCATGTCAGTCACAGTCCATGACAAAGTTCCAGGATTCAGCAAAGACTGCGTTGGGATGCCCAACAATGTCATGCTTCGATCTGCACTCTGGCACTCAGCGTCCAGGGCTTGCTGAGTGTCGTGGCCGATGGTCAATGCTCGGAGCTGCACCCAGGCAAGTGAAAGCAGGCGCTTGTCGCAGAGGCATTTCCGATGGTCACCTGACATCTCACCGCCATCCAGGAGGAGCTACTTGCAGACCAACGCTCGGGTCCTCCAAGGGCTGTGCGGTATCAGGACATGAGTTGCACAAATCTGCCGATATGGAACGCTTGTTTTAGCTGTGACAAAACTGTTGTCGTATATACAACTATGTAGCCATAGAAGTACACAGCATCTGCACATATATATATATATATATATATATATATGTATACATGTATGTGTGTGTATGTGTATATGCACAGATCTCAAGCCGCAAATAACCTCGCCGGAGCCTCGCCCCAGATTTTCTTGCCACCGGCACTGCCATTCGAGGTTGGTCCGGGGTGAGCAAGTGTGAATATATATATATATATACACACATATTGTATATATATATATGTGTGTATATATATATACAACTAACCGAAACCAGCTCCGTATAGCAACAACTGCTCCTCCACCAGGTGTTGTAGATCTGCTGGAGCTCCGGCTGCGGGTTGGGGCACTGGCTCCTCAGCGGCCGCGAAGGCTGAGAGGTTCTTCTGGTGAGGGTTTCGGGCCTCGACTTACCCGGGTTAAGGGATTCATGAAAGCCCCGGGATTTATCAACCGAATCTACGGTTCAGAGTGCTAGGGTTTGGCTCAAAGGTCGAGGCTCAGTCCTTAATTGTTTGGGAGACTGTTGATGTTGGGGTCTTAAGTGCTAATGGGCTTAGGACCAAACACTTCCAAGCATCTGCAGCATGGAAGATGGGTTGTAGTTCCAGGGCTTCCAGTCGGCGATGAAGTGGATGAGCTGACGTCATAGGGGGCATACTGTGGGGTCGGAAGGGCTTTCGGGTAAGGCGTGTTGAGCAGCCGTTGTAGGGCTGGGGTGCTTAGTTGCAGAAAGCCCTCACCACAACACCTGATCCTCCCCGCACGACGGAAACAAGGGCCTAGGTGGTCGACCGAGGTGCCGCAGCATGTTGGAGCACCCATCGCGCAGATTGTCCGAAATGCTTCTGCCAATACCTGTCATCGTGGAGCTCAGATCAGGACCTCCCATTCAGCAGAACCGAGATTCAATCTCCCACAAGTTTCAACACTGCCTTGCTATGTTCTCAGGTCCACGGCCCATGCTCCACGGTAACTTGAAGACCGGGGCCTGTGAAATCACCCTTGAATAGGTTCGGGAAGGCCCCAGCTACCACTCCCCACCGGCACCTGTAGGTGGGGTCTTTGCCGCAGAACTCGCTGATGAGCATCGCGTAGAACCCCGGCAAGAGGGAGATCGTGTTTTCTGGGTGTCAAGAAAGCCAAGGCACCGAAAGCCAGCTGCAAATGCAAAAAAAGGGATACTTCGAGGAAACAGCAAACAGCTCCAAGGCTCTGAAATGGCGGTTGACCCAGTCCATCTCTGAATTGTCACGCAGATTGATGTTGGTATCGAGGACACCTTCGGGGAGTTGGGAGAGGCCACCAAAGCAGAGCCGTGGCAGACAGGAACCAACCGATGCTGATGCGAAAACTCCGCATCCGCAACGGCAACATGTATCCAAATACTTCAAAAGCTGATCATTATGCCTACGCAGGTGCTGCACCATACTCTGTGATGCAGTCTGGTCGCCATAACAGCACGATCGGCAGTAAAGTCTACATTTAGCATGACCCAGAATCCTCAACCTACTTGTTGCCCCCAGGCGCCGGTAAAATCTCGGTCGTAGAAGACGCGACGAGGGTCGATGATCACCGGCCCCCCGGTCATGGCAGAATGCCCCTGCCAGTAAGCCTCGGAGACAGGTTATGGTCTACTCGGTTTCAAGCAACGAGAAGGCCCAGCCCATACGCTGGCTAGGGAGTGCTTGAATGTACAGGCTTTCAGGCAGGTACCAAAATTGTTGTGTGAGGTGAGGCAAAGGGCAATCGGAGTCGCGATCTCCACCGGAAAGTTCGCCAAATCGAACCTCGCCATGCTGAAATGCGCTAAGACTCTAGGAAGTGTGCCATCAATGCGCACCGCGAAATTCCTTTGGGCAAGCTGTCCAAACTTTCCTTCAAAGTAGCCAACTAATTCTCGTTCGGGAAGGCAGGAATGGTATGACACTGGGTAGAACCCAAGGTAGGGAGGAAACTCACTAGCTCCAAGTAGTTATGGCCAGCTGGAGAGCAAGTTGTCCAGGCTGCCGATGGGGAAGCTGTCTGCGTCCATGTAGATGATGCGGTCGTACTGATACAGACTGGCCTGAAGCCCGTCTGGAGGGCGGCTATAGCTCCCGTCTCCAGAACGGGCTTTGTGAACGATACTCGTGTGGGGGGCAAGGACATGGCTACACACGCAGAACGCGAGGAATTCCCCAGCATGCTTGAAAACTCGAACCGGCTGGGAGGAAAGAAAACAAAGGCGCTGCTCCAGAAAAATGGAAGCTCCGTATATCTCACGGTTCACTTCCGAAACCTCCCGGAGCTTCGCAGCTTGGGAACATAATTTGCCAAGTGGCGACTCGAAGCTTCAGAAACGACTGCAACCATTGCCACTTGCCCCGGCTGACAGCCGCCTGCACCTCTACAACACTGCCGCGATTTATGCCAGGAAGATCACACCCCAAACCCCTGTTCCCTCATGAAGCCCCAAAACCCCTCAGCATCCCTTCTAGGGCCTTGATGAGCTTCACGCCCATCTTCTCGAATCGCTCTGGGCGCGGTACCTCCTCGAAGTGGACGGCAATCATGTCTGCATTCGGCCTCAGGCCGTTCCTTGGCTCCAAAGTGCAAGCTGTGCCACGGAGGGTTTTGGGGTTGGCTGCAGGGCAAGGTCTGTGGGCTAAGCGTGCAGGCAGCAATGCGCGCAGGGCATAGTTATGTTTCGGCTCCTTATGTACATACTTAGGCTTGAGTTTTGTTCCGGTTTAAGAGTTGGTCAGACTAGGCTGCTCTTGTATATCCCTTTGATCAATTCAAAAGCTCTTCTCTATCAGGCACAGGCGCTGCTTGATAAACCACGCATTAACCAGGATTGCACATGCATAGTCCTCAAATTGCCTGGGCTCGCCGGCCAGGTACCAAGCATAGGCCACTCGACCAGTTGGTTGAGGTGGTTTCCCTACCGGCACCACAACACTCTCGTTCCAGTCGTCCGTGCCCCAGCTTGCCCCTGAGAAGAGGGACTTCACGGAAGGGGGTGCCTGGATGGCTGGGGTTGTAGTTTCAGGCCGGACGGGCGTGGCCACACTGGTGGCTGAAAGGGTTGGCTCGTCCGTCCTGCCTTCGTTGCGCTTGACGAGTGACGCCGTTTGAGGGAGTGCATAGTTCATGGCCTCTCGACTCGGTGCATCGTCGGCAGAGACGACGCGCCGAATGGCTGGGTCCTCCGTCCTGCCTTCGCTGCCCTGGGCGGGTGACGATCTTGCATAGTTCATGGCTTCTCGACTCGGTGCATCGTCGGTAGAGGCGACGCGCCGAATGGCTGGGTCCTCCGTCCTGCCTTCGCTGCCCTGGGCGGGTGGCGATCTTCGCTGTCCCGTCTGAGCAAGTGCATAGTTCATGGCTTCTCGACTCGGTGCATCGTTGACGGCAGAGTCGACGCGCCAACGGGCTGGGTCCGTCCAGCCTTCGTCTGGTTGGGCGGGTGGCACTGCATCACGTTGGACAGATGGTGATCCTCGATGTCTGGTTTCAGGGTAGTGCCGTTTCATGGCTTCCAGAATCTGTGCCTCATTGGCAGCAGAGACGACGCGCTGAAGAGAGCCGCGCTGAGGGGCTTTCAGTGTCTCCTCCGAAGTCATGGCCACCAGTACCAGTGCCGTCACGGAAAGACCAAACAAGAAGCGCAGCGCAGAGGAGAAAACCCCACGTGATGCCAAGCTCTGGGCAGCGCTGGAGGCATTTCGCATGACAGGGATCAAGCCGTGAAATCTGAAGCCACAAGCTAAACCAAGCTAGATCAAGCTAAATCAAGCTAGATCAAGCTAGATCAAGCTAGATCAAGCTAGCTGCTTGCTCTCTGTGCTCAAGTAACATCTGCCTCACTCACATCCCGATGGTCTGACGGTCTGGTGTTGGTTGCTGGTGCTTTCTGTTTCTTTCGGCATGTCCTCCACGTCCAAGCCCCAAAGCTGACCAGTGCTGTATGCCATGGGGCCAAATGGGCCATAGGGGCCATAGAGGGGCCAGAGGGGCCAGACGGGCCACAGGGGCCACGCCGTAGGGGCTCAGTAAGCACAATAAGGTGAAAGCAGGATCAAATCGCCAACCTTCTTTTCGACCGCATTCTTGTGTTCCAAACCCCATCTGCCCTGCTAGGTATCGGTTTTCATGGCGCAGCTACCGGGAGGGCGGTGGATCAAAAAAACTCCGAGAAAACCAAGTTGCTGAACTTCGGGACCAATCGGGGTCAACTCCTAATTTCGTGCCTTCTCTTCTTTGTGCGTCCCGCTGATCGTACCCTCCAAGACAATGACATAGCGCATGCCTGGCAGCAGTTGAAAAGCCGCCAGTGCCCAAAAAAGGGGAGAGGAACGAAGCATGGCTGGGACGTCAACGGACACGCCGAATGAACTCGAAGCGCATGGTTTGCCAGAACAAGGATACGCAAAGTCCGAATCTTCCATCTTTTGTCGCACAGGAGCAGAGACTAACTGCATTTCGTGTGCTGATATTTATGTCCCTACACATTTGACAAAGATGACTGCTGTGAGTCGGCCCAGATGCAGCAGCTATCAATAGCTATCACTCATGTACAGGGGCCGCACCTTCGGGCAACTGCGCGCCAGATTGGAGGTCCTTGACGACCTGAGTATACCAAGGGCTGCTCAAGGTGCAGAGTTGGGCCTGCCATACTTTCTCAAACAAACGCAAAGCTCTTGCGCCATAAGCTCTGAAAACCCTAACCCCCCCCCCCCAAGCTTTCCACCACTGATTTCGCAATGTCGTTCCTCTGCGTGGAAGAGAACTGCGACATCACAGGGCACATCCTCAGGAAAAGCATTGCTGCAAACCGAAGCACACACACACACACACAACGGCAAATGAAGGCTTACCGCAACTGGACCGTGCAAGAGATGCCCATGCTGCACTGGCAAGTGCAAAACTCAAGCTGCAGCTATGTCTGAGAACTCGATTCACTGAACTTTCCCTCCGTGGTAACACTGAGCTGCGCCTGTCTGCATGCAGCACCTCAATGCTACTAGTAAAGGCCGTATAAGATGCCGCAAAGGTTCCTGAGCCCCTTCTGTACCATGGCCCTCTCCAGGATGCCTCCCAGGTCATTGCCAAGCACCTCCTTCAAATCCTGCAAAGCTCAGGGGCGACTCCACTTGCCTCCCAAATAGCGTGGCGACACTGGCACAAACACTGTGTATGGCAGATTATGGCAGCTGCCAGCAGAGCAGGCATGGTCTACGGCAACTCTAGGCCCTGCAGCAAAGATTGTCCTTCACGCTGATGCAGAGCAGTTCTGTCCTTAACAGGCCGGACCGGGTCCGGTCAGACAAAACCAGCAACAACCTACAAGCCCAACTTGAAGAGCACAGGGTGTTGTGAAGAGTCAATGCCAAGACTGTGCTTCACTTCCATAAGAGATGCTCACATGGTGTGCCATGTGTACCTCGAACGTGCTGAACCCGGTACAGGACACTCCCCTCAGCCGCCCACTTGGCGTCCGCTAGGAGGGTGTGGTCCCAGCTCGGTCGCTGCTTCTGACCTTGTAGGTGTTCGGTGCTTGGGTTGGACTCGGGATTTCAGGATACTTCAGGTGTATGGACTAGGGGCTTCCAAGCCTTCCATGCAAACAAAGATGACCGCGAGCGTGAGAATCTCTGCACGTGCACGAGCGATTCTTCGGAGCAACGAACTACAGGGGTTCGTTTGGTGTGTGCTGGGTTTGCTGCATTTCAAAGCCCACATATTAAACTCTTAAACCAACAGCCTAGGCGTTCAGGGCTGCATTGGGCCGCGCTGCTCAGCAGCAACGCAGCACCGATGTACTCGCCAGAGGAGAGCTTCTGTGCCTGAACCACATGAGGCCTTCACTAGAAGCTACAAAGTGGCAGTGATGTTGGACTCTTATCGCGTTGACAAAATCCTCTCAGCTGCCAGCTGCTTGGAGCTTTCTTGTTAGGGTTTTCATTGCCCACTCCAATCCAACCAAACCTTTGGAATCGTCGCCATCCTCATCATGTCCTCATGTCCTCATGTCCGAGGGCGCCTCGACCCCGCCCTGAAACTTGCCATCTGCCTTCCTTGGCCACAGAGGGAAGGGAGGCACGCAGGGGCGGCTCAACAAAAACCTTTGCAATCTCGGGGTACAAATGTCGGCACGGACTAGTGATCAGCAATTAATCGTAAGCCTCTCACGCCAGCAGGACTGACCGAGCTTCGTTTTAAGTTTAGCACTGCGGACAGATTGTGAAAGCATTTGTCTGCACAACCTACTGTAGGGAGGCTTCATATCGGTATAGGTACTTTTGCTTTTGGATGGGGTTGCCTGGGTGCTTTGAACCGGATTTGGCACGGGAGAACTGACAGGGCATGGCTGCCAGGAGATGCTTAGATGCTTGCTGCTTGACGCGTCCTCGGAACTACGGAAAAAAGAGCGTTGGGGGGTGGCTGCATCCCCCTTGAAGACCACCTGTGCGTTTGAGGAGCACTTCGCCGCCGGACATCACTGATAGGCCCCCGCGCTTCACCTCGGCGACTCGATTGGATAGCGCAGGGCGAGAAAGCACACACATTCGAGCCGAGCGCGTCTCATCGCCCCAAGCCCCAAAGCTGATCCAAAGCCAATGTCGAATACCAGTCTGCAACACCATAATTCTAAACAGGGCACCTAACTTTTTCACCTGGTTTGCAGCGAGCAAGAAGCAACACAGCCAGGGAATCCTAGTTGGAGCAAAACCCCCATACAAGGCAACACAGCAAAGGCAACACAGCATGCCCCTCGCTGCAGCTCTCGTGGCGAAGTAGATCGCGGCCAAGGATTCCCCTTGCGTCGCCACACGCTGACCAGCCTAGCCGGAAAAAAACCGGACCAGAGAGGGGTTCCGGAGGGTTCTGGGCTGGGCAATTGTAAAGTCTAACGGCCTCACGGCGAACAGTCGGGTTGGCATCCCACAACTCACAGTCCAGGCGGGCGGGGCACGGGTCAGGTTATCTGAGGTTCATAGGGGGGTGCTGCGGAACCCACAAGCTTGGACAGTGGTGTGTAAGGTTCCGCTAGTTCAGGCTCGCGCTTATCCATCGCCCTCCCAGCCTCGAAAGCCTCGGAGAAAGCAGAGAGAGCGATCTGGTCCTGGAAGGCAGGGGTCCGCAATCCGCATAACGCAACAGTGCGGCCTTGAGGTAGCAGATGTGAGGGAGCTAGTGAAGGGAGCTCACATGTCCCTTCATTTCGGCACCTGCTCACCTCCACAACCAGCCCCAAAACAGGGCCACGTGGAAGCCTGTGGCCCCATTTTGCGGCAAGTCTGAGAGGCTACATCCCTCGGGCAAAGCTCCTTCTGTTTCTGGACCAGGCCATCGAAGATCTTGATGGACTCTAGGAACTTGAGGTTGTCAGCCTGTCCCAGATGCACTCACACTGGTTGAGCAGGGCCATGAACCAGTACCTGGTTTAAGGATGTGCCATTGAGGAGACAGACTCTTGGGCCTCATTCCTTCAGATCTTCGTTGAAACGCTTTGGGCTGAGGGTTCAGGCTCCCGTTCAGGCCGTGATGAAGGCATCAAGGGCGCGGCTGCTGTTTTAGTGCTTCCACTCCTTGTCTGGGTTCTTCGGGCTTCTCGTGTCTTCCGGGCAACTCGGAACCTCTCCGGACATTGTGGTTTCCAATCCCGAACGAGCACTCGCCATCACCATCCTGTGGCCTGGTGCCTTCTAGTTACGACCAAGGAGATATGCACTGCTAAAACATGCCCATTTTGGCAAGGCCTGGCGGTTGGCCGCATTCTGCGCCAGAACCTGCCGGTGCAACTCAGTGTCAAATTTCTTCGGCACTGTGGGCGCCATGCCCTACCCGCTCCAGCCCTCACCCCAGCAGCCAAGAAGAGCCAAGAAGGTGTATGAAGATGGTCTCGAGTCTTGCGGATCACCCCATGCACGAGACCTTAAGGCTCTGAGCCCTGCGATGGCTTTCGCAGACATCCTCACAGCGCCTGCTTGAAGTTGTTGCCATTCGCTCCCCAAACGCCCGCTTTGCTCAGCGCTTGCACAGTGGCTGTCCTGGCCAGTCGGCTCGAGTCGGTTTGTGGGCTTGAGGGCTTCAGGGGGCAAATCTCAGGGTTCAGGGCTCCGTGTCAGTTCTACAAGTAGTCGACGTCAACCCAGAAAAGCCGGGAAACTGCAGGGCGGAGGCGGCCTCGCTCCAGTAAGAGTCACGGCGCTTGTTTGTTTGCTGAACTGAAGGAGGAGATCAACTCGAGTGGCCCCATTTGAAAGTGCCTAGAAGAGAACACCTCTAAGTGCACAGCAGGGCAAACTCCAGTGGCAAATAGTTTAATTCCATGCAGAAGTATTGTGGGTGTAGCGGGAATTAGACAACCTCAAATTGCTGGGCGGCTGTTGATCACAAGGAGGATGCTTCTACTTTCCGACGCCTACCGCAATGCAAAGGAGTGCAAGGCAGCTCTCCTTGGACAGTTGTACAGCAACGCCAGGCCTGGCAGCAAGCTTGCGGTCAACACGAGGGAAGTCCTAGCCACCCCTCCCCTCTTACCCGAGTCTCACCTGTCAATCAAGCTGGGCCCCGGCCCTCACACTTGACAACTTGTGCCGTCACACAGTGTAACCTTCCCTGACAGCCACCCACAAATCTGAGACAACGTGAAGGTCGACAACAACAAAAAACTAGCCGTCAGACATCTGCCTTGCCTGCACAGCAGAGGCACAGACCACAGATACCTAATGGTTGCAAGCAGATTTTAAAACAGAAGAGCATCTGCCAGCCTCCAAACGCCTTTCCCTCTTTGAGGGTGTTCACCACGTTACCTAAGATGTCCAAAACAAGCCAGCAGAGTCGAGGCAACTGCCCCTTACAGGCATCCTGAAGTTTCCCCGCCCCAGAGAAGCCAAGTGCTCTTACATGAAGGGCGAAGGGCAGAGGAAGCCTGATATACATACAACTGGTATATGTATACCTACCGCATACGCCATACATACCATACAGAGAGAGAGAGAGAGAGATCACATGTATACCGAACACATATACATATGCATTATATATATATATATATATATACACATATATATATATATATGTGTACCAGACAGGTGGGAATCACTGTGCCGAGTTGCCGTTCACGGAGACCTCCAGGGTGCCTGTGTCAGTGACGAAGAAAGTGGTACCCATCTTCCCCTGCTCCACGATGAGACCTCAGAGCGGTTTAAGTTCAGGAGTAAAGTGGTTGGACCGTCAGGAAGCGGGGGGGGCTTGGAGGCGTTCTTGGAGCTCATGAAGTTGAGCTTCGCCGGTTGGTTTCAAGACACGTCTCGCCGACTTGCGGCAGACGAGTTGACAAGTCTAGAAGCCGCTGTTGCTGTCACAATCTCGTCGGATGTGGCAACGCCCATGTCTAGACTGGTGCTTCTAACCCGCTTGCTTAAACTCATCCGAAGTCTTACACTCACGCGGGTCGACTCAAGATGGCTTGGGTCGATGAAGCTTTCCCATGCATCCAAGGCGCTGCCCTGCTCGAACCTCAGAAAGCAAAGGGAATCAGGTCATGGGCTTGCCCTCGAGGCCGAATCTCCCTCACGTGTTTTTGAGGTGCAAAGACGAGTGGCTCAAAATACTCCATTGTGGAGAGAATGGCCTCAACCTCAGCTCACGCATCACGGTTAATAGGCTAAGTGGATGACACATGGCAGGTGCACAAACTTGTGAACGAAACCGACCGCACTATGAGGAGCTAAGTTCTCAAATTTAACAACTTTGGCCCTGGCCCTGGAATAAGAAGCGGCTGTCAACATGAAAAGGTACCCAGCTGTCTGAAACTGAGCTGATCGCCTCTGACTCCTCCAAGATCGCACAAACGCGGTCCTGCTTCCGTGGGCGTGAGGCGTACGGCATACTTCCGGTTGGAGATTGGTTGGGCAAGCACCTACAAAAATCTATCAAGCAGGGCACCTGACTCGGTAAACTACTCAACCTCGGCGCCTGCTCTGAAGATCTTAGGCGCCCTTTCCGGCCACTGTAGGGCCGGCACCGCCCTCAACACAAGCCGCGAAGCCAAAGGAGCCTGCTTCATCGCGGACTTGATGAGCTCCTTAATGGCCTGCCACAGTGCTTGTCAGATCTCAGCGCTCAGAGCTGCAAAACATTGCACAGCCTAAGCTTGAGGTCACGGGCTCTGCAGACGCCGTGTCAAGGCCCGTGCCTTGTTCATGTCCTTTTTGATCTTGTATTGCGATAAGTACTCCTGCACTGCATCCCGCTTCATGCAGCATTCTGGTGTCTTGATTGTGGCTCGGGTTGGAAGATCAAGCATGAAGGAGAAATGGATAGAGACAGGTCAAGCACATTGTAGATCTGGCGTGTTTTTGCACATCGCCGGCCGTTGCCATCGCTTCCATTGCAGGACCATCAGGCCTGTGCACTTCGCGGACATCATACCAGGCAGCCACGCCAGCAACGAACGTGGCCAGGCTTACAGGGACCGCTGCTTTCCGCGTCCCTAGCGCCTAGTTGGTATATCTGCCAACCATCCACCTCTTTGGGCGACCAACTGCTCGGCATTCCTTGCCGCCCTAAGGTCCTCTCGGCTGAGTTCTCAGGAAGCTCCAGCAACACCAAAGCCTGACAACCTCAAAAAATGGTTTTTGTTGCAAAGACTCTGCCTTGCCACTTGCCAGAACCCCGAGGACTCCGACGGAGTCGGCTCACGCCGCGGTCGGCTCCGAACCTTTTTTCTTGCGGCCAGAGTGGAGGTGGCAGAAGTCCTGAGCGCCAGATGCATGAGATGCATGAAGCCACGCCACTAAGGCCATGAGAAGGGTTCGGGATCTGAATCTCAGAGGAATGGAGCTCCCGGCGCAGGCCACGCTGGGAAGACAGTGCAGTCAAGGGGCGCAAAGCCAGGACTTCTTGCAGCGTCCAGGCACCCGCTCGAACATGCAGGGCCTGGCAAGGCGGTAGGGACCGAGCGGGAAAAACAACACCCTCGTCATCATTATCATCACCTTCAGCATCGTCGGCATCAGCATCAGCGTCGTCATCATCATCGTCATCATCAGCATCAGCAGCAGCAGCAGCAGCAGCCGCAGCACGTGGGGATACTTAGCAAAACCACCGACTAAATCAGCCATCGTGTCTGGAAGGCCACTTTGGAGGGCCTAGGGATGCCTAGAGTGCCTAGAGCCTTCACCGGACCTGAATGCCAATATGAAGAACCAAAGCCAGACATCCCGATCGCTTGCCTGCAGGGCGCTCCAGTCTCGCAGCTGTGCACCAACGACCCGAATGAGCGTACCTGGTTGCGTCGAGAGGCTTGTGCATGGCGCTCCATGCATCAGCCTCTACAGTAACGAGATGACAGAGTCATGTTCTGTACGGGCTTTCCTCCCCGGCTGCCCAAGCGCAAAGTCGAAGAACTTCTTGTGCACAGTTCTGGCACATACACGCACCCGGTAGTGCTGAGCCATTCTGGCTGCCCATGCCCCTCCCCCCAATCACCCGACACTCAAAACCACCCAACAACGCTTCCACCTGATTTGAAGAGTTTCAGGCAACCTGCTAACCTACACTCAACACTCCCTTGCAGCCACGAGGGGCTTGGGCAGGCTCTGTCTTCGGTAGGCTGCGGCGCAGCCGAAGGATGTCTGACACCTTTGCATCAAACCCAGGCACGGCACATGACATCCTGGGCTTATGGGGGCTTCGATGCTCACACTCACACAATGCGGAAGGAAAGACAAGAAACATTGATTGGGGCCAGCTTTGGCCGGCGCATATTACGGCTGTCAAGTTCATGATCAAACACAAGAAGTGACCATAATCGCATCCAACCGGATCCTGGAATCGCGCCTCGTAACCTTGCGCAAAAAGAGTGCACCAAGCTGTCACATCAAGTCCAAAGCCAAAGAGCGAAACCCGTTGGCTCGGACCGGTTTGGATTGTGATGAACCTCCCCCCCACTCCCCACCTAAATCTGCAGCCGTCATGCCGCAACCATGTGCTGTCACATGCTGAAGAACGATTCACCGACTCCATGACGAGCCGTGATCCTGCCCTCGTGGAGCAGGAACCCCCAAATGCTGGTCAAGACTCCCTCCGCCCCTCAACCCCACTAAACCCACGCACGTTTCCGTCCCAGCAGCCGAGAGAACGGAGGACCGGCTCCGGATCGGGTGCTTCCCACCAGCTGTAGAGGTCTCGATCCAGAGCTCCTGTGCGGCTCCCCGGCCACGGGGCTGAAAGGCTCGAGGCTTACAGATGCTTGACTGATGGTGGCACTAAGGTTCAAGCCCTACTTTGGGGGCGCGCCAGAGGCTTCCTAAAGTTTGTACTGCGGGTTGCAAGGATTCAAGATGATTCAAGGCTGCGGCTGCCGCAACTTGGGAAGAGCTGATGGTAACGAATGTCCTCGAAGGTCAAGGGCTGGACAGCATGAATGGTCGGACCCACAATGATTTCCTGCATGCACGTAAGTGAGTGGTTCTGGCGCATGAAAACAGGTGCTACGGCGCTACTTAGAGACTCAACTTTAGGCCGTTGAGGCAGCACCCAAGCCAACCGACAACTGCTCCTCGTCCTCTGCTTCAAGCCCGAACTCTGCCTGGCAGCAGGGACGGACAAATTGCAAAAGCAAAGCACCCCCTACCTCAGGTCGATTTCAAATGCCTTCTCCCAGGCTCAGCCGGGGGTGGGTTCCGACGTGAGGGCATAATTTCGATGTCGTTCTTGGTATGTCTCCGAGCGAGACAAGTATGGCACACACACTGCTTCCCACGCAGTCGCGCGCCCGCTACATTCGATGTTTTCTTCTTCTTCTTCCGGGCATGGGGAAAGGGGGGGGTCCTCCCCAAACTCGACGGCTTCCCAGGCTGGGCCGGGGAAAACGTGCGGTTTACGCACCAGCGGTACATAGTCTGGGGGGCTGCGACCCCGCTGTTCAAATTTCTCGGCCAACTAACTATGGGGTTTCCCCGTCCACCACCAACTGGAGACCACCCCAATCACCGGATCGCACCAGGAACCCGCAACCCGCAAGGGAAGCAGGGAGGTTCTCAGTCGTGAAACACTCATCCTCACCTGCAAAGTCCATTTTCTTCTTCTTCCTCCTCCTCTTCTCCTCCTTCTTCTTTTGCTTCTGCTGCTGAAGGGCCCCCGGGGTTCCCCCCTCTCTCCTCTTCCTCTTCGAATCTACCCTAAATCTCTATCTGAAACGCAAGCAAACCTGACAACCGCACCTCGGTGTCCGTCGGAGTGGTCACCTCTGCAGCGATCTCCTCTGCAGCAGAAGGTGGGGGACGTCAGGGCAAAGAGATGGTTCTTGGACATTCCATCTCGGCTCAGAGATTGCCAGGCCACCTCACTAGCCAGACTGACTTGGGTATGTGGCGTCGTGTGCAGACCCTCTGAAACTCTACTCTGGAGGCTGATGGGCTTCCTTGGTTCGTTGAAGCCTCCCCTGCACCTTCCTTGGAGTTCCGCCGTTCCACAGTGGCCAGAAGATGTTGGATGGAACTTGTGTGGTTTGAATGTCCCGGCACACACCATTGCAGCAGCTCCTTCATGGTCTTCCGCGCAGGTCCTCCGAGGGGTGGGAGCTGACATGCCGACTCCGGCGCTTGAAAGAACCCAGGTGACAAACTTCACCCTGCAAGTAGGGCAACATGCAAAATCCATAATTACCAGCGGTTGCGGCACAAATCAGAAGGCTATGAAATAATTCATAGAAATCTGCAAACAATATCGAACAGGATCGTCAGGGCTCTGCAATGAACCTTGCCTGGAAGTCACTGGCATACATGTTCTCAACCCTAATCACTGCATGCAAGAGGCGTTCGGCTGCTGCGGCAGCCGTGGCGGCAGCCGTGGCGGCAGCCGTGGTGGCAGCCGTGGCGGAAGGCGTGGGAGCCGCAGTGGTAGAGGCGGAAGCAGAATGAGAAGCGGCCCGCTTTGACGAAGTCTGACAAAGTAGCTTCAAGGGCTTCAGGGTTTGCGGGCCAGTCAGGGTTTCGGCTGCTTCAGCGGAATCGATGGCGGCCACTCTTCGCTACGTCAATCTTCAACTTCAACCACCAAAACGAGCTGAAATGAGCTGAACTCCCAAAAGCTTCCCAAGCCAACCCCCACAAGCAAGAAGAAAGCAGGGCAGGGGCCTTCGAGCTCGGCTCCGTGGAGGAGCGCGACCTTGCGCAGGCCCGCCCATTCACATTTGCACAGGAGGTCAGCATACGTCAGCACTCCCAACGCGTTCGTGGCTGCCTTTGAAGCGCGCGCTGCCAGAACCATGACCCAAAATGCAGTTCGGCGTGAAGGTGAGACGCCCAAAAAGTCAGTTCAGGCAGCTTCTTTTTGGGGGGTGCGGGGGGGGGAGGGGCCTTCGGGTTTTGGGGGGCGGGAGTGTGGGGTAGTCAGCGTATAAGGTCTTGATGGGTTTTGGAGGCCCAAGGGCCACTGCGCGCCAGGAGGCTGGTTCTGCGGTGACTTCTGAGCCTGTTTCGACACCTGCCGGCTTCGGGCCTCCTGTGGATGAGCTCCGGTGAAGGAACTTTCATGCCTTCCGGGATGGTCGGGGCCGTTGTAAGGGGGTGTCCATAGGTTCATAATACGGTTTACCAGGGCTATGGGGACGGCTTGAAATCTCGAACCGTGCAACCCAGAAAAATCCGAAGCCCCGCTGTCCTCTGCTGCCTCTGGACGCAAGTTGGGAGAATGGCCTGGGTAAAGAGGTACCGGAATGTTCGAGGGCAGCGTCGATACTACCTTTTCAGTGCCTTTTTTTAACCCTAAGGCCCTAAGGTGGTTCTTGAGCAAGAGTCTGATGGGGTCACTGTGCGCTTACCAGGTTACCACTCCGGGCAACACCCAACATCTGCGGAGAGGACCTGTAGCATCTTTACATCATGGTCCCTTTCTCGAGCTCAAAGTGTTCCGTGGTGACCTTTTGGGGCTCTCTAAGTTTAGCGTAGCTTTGGGGCTTGGGAGGGCCGTAGGACTCGGCGATCCCGTTCGTTGCCTGGGTTGGGGCTTGAGTTCTGCAATACTAACGTTGAGTGGCCGGTTGTGTGGAAGCGCTGCGCCCGGAGCAGTTGCATCCTTAGCTGGCTGAGCTTGTCGAAACAAAAATACTCGCATAGGGGTCCGATGGGCTGGCACTCATCACATCCCCGGCCACTGAAGCCTAAGTAAAAGCTATCCCGCGACGAACAAATCCGGCAAGAGGAACACGGGAACAACCTCTGTCCTGCCTCATAAGGCCGTAGCAGTGAAACCTTGCATATGGAAGCACAGTTTGCGAGACTTGATAAGTGCGCTCGCTTCTTTGAAGTTTTGACCACAGCACCTTTCGATTCATGCCTGCAGGCTGTGAATCTATGAAGGATACGGTGGCTGCAAGGATTTCAGAAGCAGCACCGGCCCTGGGGCCTTTCAAAGCAACATTTCGGAACCTGAAGCCACCATTGAGGCAAGCATCTGCTGGTACTGGAACATCTGTTGCTTCTCGAACTCCTGCTGCATTTGTATCTGCTGCAGCCTCGGAGTCCACAAACCCGCCGCATCTGCAAGAGCCCGTATACGAGCTGCTTCCGCCAGAAAAAAGATTCCGAAACCCCCAAACGACTAAAATCCAAAACCCCCAACTCCCCAAACCCACTAACCCCCACTCCCCCCTCAACCTCCCCTCCCCTTCCCCCCCTCCCCCCCCCGCCTGTCTCAAGAAAAACAAACATACAGCACCAGGGCACTGCTGGAGCTGATGGAGCTGCTGCGCCATGTGCTGCAGCTGCAGCTCTTGCTGGGCGCTGAGCTCCAACCTTACACCACCCCCGCCCCCCTCCCCCCCCCACCCTCTCCTGCTGCGACCTGCTTTGTGCGCACCCTCTGCCCACCCCCTGAGAAACAAAAAGCCCCACAGGGAGTTTCGAGTGGAGGGGTTGGGGCTCCCACGTCGGTTAGCTGCAGGGTTTAGGGCTGATCGAAGTAACTAAGTCTTGTTTTGTCATTTTTTTCCTGCACAGCTGGGGCGAGTCCATGGTTCTGTCCTACCTGGCTGACCTCGGGATGCCCTGCAGGATTGAGGGCTAGGGATTGTAGAGTTTCGGGGGTAGAGGTTTGAAGTCTTCGGTTCAGGACCTTAGGGCCTTTGAGCCTTTTGGTGCCTTGCATCTGATGGCGGCAGGAGCCCATGTGGTGGAAGGCGCGAAGTCGGCATGTATCACGTTTATCATACATACATACATACATACATACATACATACATACATATACATATACATATACATATACATATACATATACATATACATATACATATACATATACATATACATATACATATACATATACATATACATATACATATACATATATACATATACATATACATACATACATACATACATACATACATACATACATACATACATACATACATACATACATACATACATACATACATACATACATACATACATACATACATACATACATACATACATACATACATACATACATACATACATACATACATACATACATACACATATATATATACACGTATACGCACATATTTCTCTACACAACAAATAAATACATATATATATATATGTATGTATATATGTATGTATGTATGTATCTATGTATGTATACACACATATCCCAGAAGCACCAAACTTCAAAGACGACAAGCCAAGCGGCGATTGCACGGAATCCTCCATGGTAAAAGAGCGCGTAAAGCCGTAGTTCGTCCTTTGTCAAAAGCATAAGGCTTAAGGTTAAGGACTTCCAGCTGGTTTGAGAGAAGTGTGTTGGGACAGTTTGAGGCAGTGGCATCATCATCATCCCCTGCAACCAAGCAGCGGCTGCGGCGCTGCTGCCCAGTCGGACTCCTCCGGGTCCGCGATGGTCACGGACCGTGTCGGGGCAGTGCGCATCTTGTCACGAAGAGTCGAGTGGTAGTTCTGTGGCAACGAATTCAGCCGCTGCTGTTGCTCTGGCAGAAGAAGCCTCTGTCGTGAGACCCGGCGAACGGTCCGCTCGGGAGGGTTAGGTGCCCCTTCCAGACCAGGGGGAGGTGCATTGATGGTCGGGGGAGGCGTCTCCTTCCGCGAGATTGAGGAGGAGGACGATGATGAGGAGGAGCGCGCGGATGCCGGCTCAGACTCCCAAACATCATCCACGAGTTGTAGCAGCTGTTTCACCGTATCTGGCAGAGAGCTGCAGAAAATGTGCCGATCCGCTGGGCCATCTGACGCACCATTCCTCCCTTCTCTGGTGGCCATCTAGATGCTAGAGGTCCTAGAGAGATCGTGCTGAAGTCGACAACCATTTTGAAACCGCAAGCGACTACAAGTCCCGCGCCAGCTCCAACATCCTCCTTCCAACTAGATTGCAAGGTAGAGACCGTGCACAGCACATGAAACACTATTGAGCCAAAAACAGCATCGCGAAGGACCAAAGCTGATGTCTGATGCATCTGTGCAACTTCTGTGCAGTTGCTGGGCGCCACCCTTCCAAGGAGTACAGTACCACAAGACTACGAAGACCTAGTACTCTCTTCTTGCAGCACAGACCATGGCCATGGGGTATCCTCGCTCTCATCGCCGCCCGCTACCTGCAGTAGAAGGGGCGATGCGACCGCTCCCAAGCAATGGCCAAGCGCTTTGCATCAAGAATGAAACAGTAAGTCCGTAAGGCAGGCTCAGCTCAAAATGCGCAGAAGCCTGCGTGGAATTTTCAGTCAACTCTGTCCTTCAGACCCCAACGTGCGGCCCTCCGTAAGCAGTCTTAAAGGAGCCGCAAACACCCATTGCCAGACTGGTGGCTGCTGCACCAATACGGGCTTTGTTACCTGGGCGGGAAGTTGTGGAATGGGACACACGACCCCATCCCTTCACTGCAGGGCTGAGCAAAGGAAAAGATATGCCAGGGAGCCTTTTCGTGCTTCACCGCGCTTCCGGTCGGTCTCCACATCCCCCTTAGCCGATGCTTGATCACATGACGGGAGCATGTTGCAACCTTCTCGTTGGCAAGGCAGCCCCTTCTAAGCCCATGATTCGGCGGAGCACGAAGTAAAATCACAACGCGGCACGGTTCGTTCAGGACCCTCGCTGCCCCTGCTCGTTCTGTCAGCTACAACAGCAGCTCAGGAACCAGTGGCACAAGCACTTTGTGGTCTGGGGGCGGAATGCCGACTCAAGATCTTGCTCAACAGCCACATCACCCTCAGCCCTACCCGGTCCTAACCCAAACTAACCCAGGTGACACCCCAGGAAGCGTAAAACCCGAGGCCAAACAAGCCAGGGCACCATGACCAAAGCTGCCTGCTCGTCATCGTCGGGAGGATTCGTCAGCGACCTGAGACAGGAGCAAGCACAGGCGGTGAGCTTTCTGGGGCTACGTTCGGGCTCTCGGTGCACTGAGCAGCTGGGTGGGCCACATCGCATCATGACATGGGTCCGAGAAAAAAAAGCGTTCGGCTTTTTAAAGTTTAGGCTTCGGACCCTCCACAGCTGGTCAACAGACGGCGCCAAGTCTCCATAGACTTGTTTAGGACTGAAAATTTCGACAGTGCGAACCCCACGCTGCCAATCCCTCAGCCCACTAGGATAGTTTTGCTGGTCTTGGGGGCTGGGATGGCTTCTCACTTCCATTCCTCAACTACGTAGTTGAAAAGACTTTTGAGGCGGAACAGCGGAGGCCAAGCTACTCCGTGGCATCACCCGGGTGCGATGGATACTGGCAACAACTGCTGCCTGCAGGGCACATCTCGTGGCATCGAAAGCTGAGAAAGAAAATGAATCTCGGACCAGGTTTGAGGCTGAACGCAGGCCTAAAGATTGACAGTTGAGGTTGGAGCGCGCGTGTCTACATATGTTGCTGGTTTGCTCGTGTGCCACATCGCATCGTCAAGAGCACCTGCCTGAAGTACCCATGGCTGCACCGGTATCGAGTGCCGGCCGAGGGCAATTGTCAACCAAAGCTAAGATTGGTGCAGAGATTGCAGGATGCAGGGTTGGCGACCTCTGCGGCCGGTTGGGATGAAAGCGGCAAACACTTAGAACTAAACCCCGGTTTGGAAAAACGCACAGGGATCGCTGGTAAGAGCTTGCGGCCTAGTCTGCAGGCGGGTGTAAGTCATGGAAAACTCAGACTACACGGCTTCTGCAGTCTGCCTGTTGAGCCCAAACACGGGTCGTTCGACAAGCTGCACAAGAGCCACAGGCATCATCATGGGCATGAACCAGGGTAGGGGATCTGACTGGCAAGCCTGATTTGGGCAATGACGATGCATCGGTCCAATTACGGCCGCAATGCCAAGCCCATATAGCAGATCAAAACCAAATAGCTTCCAGGCCCCGACATTTACGCACTACTAGTTTGCATTCACAGTCAGTGTGTGTGATACTGAGGGCGAGGGAAGGCAGGAAGCCTTTGAAAAACGCTGACACCCCGAATGCCTGACACACCATTTGTAGGAAGTCCCGAAGATTTTGCCCAACAAGGCGGACCCACCTAAGGATTCATTGCCCTCAGGCCCAGCAGCTCCAGCAGCTGTCAAAATCCGAAGACCCTCCATTGACAGATCCCGGCTTCTGAGCCAACGTGCCCATGGCACCTTCAAAGCCTCTGACAAAGCCCGCCTCGCGATTCAATTCTGGTCAGCAGGGCTACCCATACTATCGAAACATCGAAATGTCCCTCACCGGATTGAAGGTTTCACTGGCTCCAGCCATTCAGCTTGGAGGCTTCAGCTTGAGGCTGCTAGCTTAGACAAGGGTACCCTTGAGATACACCTTCGCACGCCCACCTTCAGGGCCCAAATGCTGAGCCCTGCCAACCCGTAAGGCCGTAACATCTCGAAGCGGAGCTCTTCCTTGAACCTGGGGCGCGGTGGAAGCGCGACTGACTCCAAATGATTACCAACCTGTGGTCCAAACGAGCCATCTCCAAAAGCCGTAAAACTGTCTTAAGCTATTTTAAGCCTAAAGGCCCCTTTCTGCCTTGCCCTTGTTCATCCGGGCCTCTTGACGACTGCTTGGTACAGACCCGCACAGAAACACTCCTGGCTTCCAAACCAATCCCGCACACCTGCTCTAACCACAACCCAAGTGCAAGTCCGAAAGCAACGACTCCCGCCCTTTAAAACCCCCATGAAAACTGCCCAGGATGCTGCAGGGATGTTGCGCCGAGGCCGCGGCTCCGTCACGGAACGCTGAACTACATCGGCCACGGGCCTTAAACGTGCCCCGAGGCATCTGCGAAGGCCCGAGGCCCCCCTTGCAAGGTCCAACATCTCAGACGGCTGCTTGGCCAAAGCCCGAAAGGATTCTGAGGACCATGCGACCCCGGGAGAGTATCTGCCTGTGGACAGGGCAAGGTGGGTCCGCGTTGGCTATCGAAAAACCAACCCCTTTGCATCCAAGACCCGAAAACTTCGCATCGTAAGGCTCCAGTGTCTGAGATGCCACAAACTCGCCCTTTCCAGCCCTGAAGGTCTGTGACCCCAACCTATTCTTTAGCAGGTCCAAGTCTGGTCTGCCGTCATGTTCATACCACCTGCCTAGCTGACGGTCGCTTAATCACGCACACTCTTCCAGGCAAGGCACGTGCTGATCCTCAGGGTTTAAGGCCTAGGGCCTAGGGCTTTGTATCACTCACGCTCAATTCCTCTTCAATTGTTCAAGCCTCCCCTTGCAGGCCTCAAACGAGCAGCGCTTGCAGCGGCAGGCGAACTCCCAGCGCTGGGATTGGCCTCTGCGCTGCATGTACAACAATACACTGAATCATGCTTGTATGAAAGATCCAAACAAAACACCTGCATCATGACTTGAAGTTCTGTCAGCCCTCTGGATCCAGTTAAAGCTCGACCTGAGACCCAGTCCGTGCCGCTCTGCCAGGTCTCCCTCCACATCGAAGTAGCGGTGACCTCGATGCAAACGATACTTTGGAGTGCTGGAAGCAGCTCACGAATCTTGAGAGTGAGGGTCCATGTCAGTACGGTCTGGGGGTGCCACATAACTCCTCGCCGGCATCCATGTCCCGCGTGGCTGTGAAGATCATGGCCTGCAGATTTTGTAGGGCGAACGCCTGATCCTTGGGTCTCGCTGGGATCAACTGGTCTGTTGCGAAAAGAAAGTGCTTAGAAAACGAGCCACTGACATTTTCACGACTCTGTGAACCGGAGCAAGATGTCCCGAGAAACGCAGAGGATCTGTTGTTCGCGCTTCAACCTCGATCTCCTAGTTCAGCTTGTCACTCGAGCCTTGTCCAGGAAGGTCAGGATGAGCTTCATGGTGGAACCGCCACGGCCATCGCAGCCTCAGCGCAAGGATCCTTCGATTGAGAGCAAGGCGATGGCGCGAGTTAGACGAGGGAGGGGCTCTACAGGACGGGCTGCTGTCCAGTACGGAACAGGTCTGGTAGGCCTCATGGGCCCCAGATGACGAGAGGTATTGAAAGCAACCTCGATGACCTGGAGTGTAAGGATTATATTGTAATCACGAGTCCGAAGATGAGTTTTGCGTGCTTGATGTGATAACAGTCATGCAAGAAGCAAGCAAATGGTGGGGGTGGCAACGATGCTCCGTCTGCGCTGTGCCACCTCCAAGTTCTGAGCTTAAAGGATCAGGAGAATATGAAGGCAAAAGGCCGCTGGCAGGCAAGATGGAAAGGCTATTGACTCTAGGGAAATTTCAAGGTCCTCCAAGAAAGCCATGTTCACATATTCGAGAACCATCAGAAAGCCATGCCATGGAATACTGATACAATAAACGCTCCGGCTTTTTTGGGAGATCTCTGTGACAACACGCATTCATGTCTAACACAGCATAATGGTGCATCGACTCCGGTCTTGTGGCCCACATGTGCAATGTGAAGTCAGCCAGTTCAGTATGTACTGCCACAATTAGAATGTGATAGTTGTAACTTACTGGTTCAAGACGAGCTGGTCAACACCAGAATGCCTGTGCCGCCTGATGGAAAAGCCTTCCTGTTGAACAAGTGTTTGTGATTTCAGTGATTTGATTCGCTTAACATCAATTCCCCGCTCGCATCTCCGCAATCTCCTCATACATTCGGATGACCCTGAATCTATTCCAACTGTTTACATGAACCTTCTGAAGGTGCAAAAAAAGTCCACTGTTCTTTACGTTCACCACGAAAAAACATCTCTAAAGCCAGCACCAATAATCGGCCTTTGGGTTACTCACACCGACAAAGGATTCTACTCGATTCAAACTCCAAGCTGAAGACAGTGGTTGAAGATGGAAGGCAGCCCATAGAGGGCGGCGGAGCCTTCCGAGAATGGGGAAACGATGGCTACGGCGGCTATGGTGGCTACTTTCGAATCCCGCCTTCCTCCAGCACGAAGACCTGAAGTCCGGCACAGGAACTGCAAGCGCCGAATCCCCCCCTTGAAGGTTTGGAAGAACAACTGCAGTCCAAAACAAAACGTTGACCGATTTTTGCGCGCTCCGTTGACCGATTTGAGTTCGCAGGTCTTGGACGTGCAGTTAAGACCCGCCCACTTGCAACGTGCTTGGTGCCAGCACATTGTGGTTCAAGATCTCCTGGAGCTGGAGGTCGCCCTCTGGAGCCTCAAAGACATGGAGGCTATGGGGCAGCTCTCTGGTCGGCAGGCCGGCTAAACATAGGGTTTAGGTTTAGGGTTTGGGGTTTGGGGTTCAGGGTTCAGGGTTCAGGGTTTAGGGTTTAGGGTTTAGGGTTTAGGGATGTTTAGGGTTTAGGCTCGAAGCAGCCACGCCTGCCCCTCCGGCAGAGGCTCGGGGACCTCATCGGGCATAGGGTACAGCGCCTCGCAGGCATCCCATCAAGCTTTGCTGGGGGCTCCACATGAATCTTCTACAAGCGGGCTTATCGAGACGACCACAGACCTGCAGATTTTCTGCGGAATGCCATTCCAGTCTTCAACGAAGCTCAACGGCAAACCCGAAAGAGCAGGTCCCGCCAGGCCTGCGCAAGCTCCTCGGGTGACAAGGCACGGCCTGTGCAATAGAGTGGATGCTGCAGGTGCCCGCTGTTCGGTGGGATCCTGTGATGAACTTTAGGCAACCGCCCACCACTCCTCGAAACCCTGCATGCTGAGATGAATTATGGGGATGCGTCGCCTGCCTGCGCCCCCACCATCTGCCAGGCATCGGAGCCGGCGCCTGGCGCGGCCAGAGACCCGGCCTCATTTCGTGCATTTGGGGGGCATTGCCTGGTACAAAACTCTTCGCCCCGAAACCAAAACCCCATGGTTTGGATGTGGCAAACCTTGCTTTTCCTGTTGCATCCGGCCTGTGCATCTCACCTGCTTTTCCTGCATCCTGTACTGTGGCACCCTGCCTGAGCCTGTCTTCCCCCCTCCTCTTGGACTTAGCCGCGCGCAACGCTGCTTGAGCGCTTCCACCAGTGCCGGCCCGTTCGCCGATGCCTCGAGGCACCAAGCCATGAGCGGCGACCGTGCCCCGCAGGTGCGGAGGAGAGCTTGTGCCCTGGATACAAAATATATTAATATATATATATATATATATATATATATATATATATATATATATATGTATATATACATATATATATATATATATATATATAATATATTAAGATATATTATATATTATATATTAATATATTAATATATATAAATATTATATTAATATATTAAATATATTATATATATTTATATTAATACATATTAATATATAATAATATTAATACATATTAATACATATTTAATACCATATTAATACATATTAATACATATTAATACATATTATACATATTAATACATTTAATATATTAATACATAATATTAATACATATTAATACCATATTAATACATATTAATACATATTAATACATATTAATACATATTAATATATTAATATATTAATATATTAATATATTAATATATTAATATATTAATATGTATTAATATGTATTAATATGTATTAATATGTATTAATATATATATATATATATACTATCTACGTCATATGTACTCGGTTGTACTCCTACTCCTGCAAAAAAGGTGCGGTTAGGACACCGACCGGCACAGAAAAGGCCAGAGACTTTCGAAATTGGAGCCCAAAGCCCAACGCCTGGCCTGCGCGATCGGCAAAGCCACCAGCAAAACTTCACCGGCCTCACTGACTTCAGAGCTGCACTGAAGAACCTGAAGAACCTCTAGCTCCGATTCTCGCTGAGCTGTGGGCGGACACGGGCCTGGATGTGAAGAGCCTGCAGACGGGGGAATCCATTTTTTGGTTTTGTAGTCGACACGCTTCCAGACACTTTCACTTTGAGGGTTGCCTGTTTTCGACGGACAAGTCGGAGAAGATTCAGTGGCTAGGGGTCAGGGATGACTGGCTGGCGGACCCTCGCTCGCCGCTTTTCCCGCCGTCCATCCACCGCCTGGACAAATCAGGGTACTCGAATCGAAACAGGTTTGCCGGGACTGGTGTGGACTGAGGGTTCGGGGCGCGAAGCTGCCAGGACATCACCCCAAACATGCTCTGGGCTTTGTCCCTCGTCTGCGTCAAAGCGTGAGGATGAAGTGAAACGAAAACCCGCCCAGCTTGAAGCATTGGGATCATTGGGTCAAGGCCGGTGACAGACCCTCATCTCTCTAGTGCCAGGGTCACGAAGTCGCGATAGTTCACCAGCTCCTCACTCAGATGCAAAAGAACGCAACAAGTACTTGCGACTTCGATGTGAACTTCGGCTTGTCAAACATGCTTGCAGCGTGCGATGTCGGCCCGCTTCTGAAGATACTAAGCTAATTGATGACACGACAAATGTGGTCAAGGGGGGGGTGTTCCTGATCCCTTGGGTGCCTAGGATCCACCCTTTCGGCACGGCCTCGCCGCTGGAACCAGCTTTCGTCCGGATCTCCCCCAGCCTGAGACACGTTCAGGGTAAGACTTTTCAAGCTTCCCACAAGGCCCGCTCGCAGAGTCTGCGACTCCTTGGGAGAGGGGTTCAGCGCCACGGCCGTGCTCAGGGCTAAGGGACTCTCAACCATCTCAACCTTTCTACGCTTCGGGGCTTCTGCGACTTCTCAGCCTGAACTCTGAACTCGACAACTGCTGCGGAGCCACGTCGCATCCAGCTCCTTGCTGTCCAGAGCCTCTCGGCACTCTAAGGATTATGGCTTCTCAACGTAAGGGATAATGGAGAAATCTTCAGGCGTTACAGGGGATGCTACAGGGAGTTCTCACTGAGGGCCTATGTAGGACTTGGATCTCAGCATATGGCATTGTGGCACTACTTCGAAGTCATTTTTGAATCTCCCGATCCGAATGTTACACCGTTCGACGGAGGGGCCGAGCAGTTCGCTAAAGAGCTCTGACTTCTATCGTACATTATCATACGACATGATGACGCCTTCCAACAATGCGACAGGAGCTTCTCCAGTACAGCCCTTAACCCGTTGCCCCTCCCGTTTCCGAACCTGCAAACCGAAGAACAAATACCAGCAGGAGGGGCAGGGTGCCTCGCCTCGCCCTGGCTCAGCAGCAGCCGGAACACGCGGGCAGGCACAAATCCCGTGCTCTCCTCGACAGTGCGTGAAGGGTTTCGGAGCTTAGAGATTGGGGCTTTGGCACGGGAGGCTGCACGGACGTGAGAAAGTCAGGCGCGCCAATCGTTGTGCTACACTTGGGGGCGCGAAGCTTTAGGACGTCAGACATTTATGCCTGTGTGTTTTTATGCTTCCATATCTCCTGAGACAAATGTAATAAGCCCTTGTTGCTCGCAGCACAGACTCCTGGTCAAAGGGAGCGAAGAAGGAGATCAAGTCTTCGAAAGACGGATCCTCTCGAAGTTGATGTCAACTCGAACATCATCGAGCGTCGCTCTTTACGAGACAGAAACAAAGTAGACAATGGTGGAGCGGCTTCTGAAATTGCTCACGGGGGCTGTTGTGGTAAAGGGCCCTGGCTTTACACGTCTGGAAGAGTTGCCTCAAGTGTACATCCGCTGCCCAACTCCCTTCCGCAACCCCTCAACACAACCCTAATGACGCCCCACACTGGCAGTTCGGAAAACCCGTTTGCGACGGGCTTCAACCCGCCCTGAACCCTCAACTGGCTTAAGCTCCCTGAACTTTGCTCAGGTGGCCTTGTAACCTGTCTGCTGGCACCAAGCCGCAAAGTCAGCGGCGCTGGCGCCCTGCTCCGCGGCCTGGTGAAAGAAGGGTCTGGGAGTTTTGGTGCGGGCTTGTGTCAGCTTCTGTATGGTCATGCTTCGACTCTCTCTATGGGTCCCACCTCCCGCTCAAGGTCTGCGCAAGGTTCCGGGATAATCGCACACAGCCATGGCTTCACAACCCAAGGGCCTCGGCATATCTCCTTAGCTCCGCCTGCGTTGGCGCATATCCTTGCTGCCGCATCCTCAGTATCAAACTAAGCCTGGCAAGAGGGGATCTGCGACCGGCACGTTGGAAGCCCCGGATGGGAATTAAAACTATGACCAAGCGTCAGCCGCCCAATGTCGGCTGGTCGAAGAGCTCCATGCTCCTGGGCATTGGGTGTAACTTTGCTCGTGAGAAAAGACTGACAACAGCCATCGCACCTGGCCTTTGTCCAGTCTTCGAAAGCTCGGAGTAGCACCTAGGCTTGCGGTTAGGCCTTCGGTTCTAAACTGCTTGACTGGAGGTTGTTCTATAAGCCATGACCCTGCAAGATCCCTTGCAGACTTGTTTTCTGTGCCAAATTCAAAAGCTTCCCAACAAGGGGCCCCACTACATTTGTCCATTCCTTTGTGGACTTGCTGATTGCTCCCAGTCCGCTACGCCTGCAATTATCCCAGGGTGCTGTTCCGGCTCAGGCTGGCACCCCGCTGGCCTCCACGGGCGGCAGCGCGCCTGCTGCGAGCCGTGGGCGAACCGTTCGGACTTACATTTGTGTTCTACGACTGGCCCCGGCCTCCCGCTTCGCGTGAGCTCGAAATCGAAGCCATGATCGTAGCTACGAGCAGCAGGGAGTCGTCGCCCGAGAAGTTCGACAAAGGCAGACACATTGTTGGGGGGTTTCTGCGTCACAGGTGAAAGGGCTGCCTGCGACTTGCATGACATGCCATCATGGGGCCCAGGCGATTGGAGGGCTGCGTCGTTAGAACTGGAAAAACAGCATCGGAGACAATGCAGCTTGCTAGCGGGCACCAGCTGCTTGAGGTATGCAAGGCATCGAAAAGACCTGAACCCTACTTATAATTGAAGGCTGGGCCCCGTGCACTTCGACTGGGCCGGCGAACTCAGCCACCTCGCCATGGCCATGGGGCCGTAGGCCACAGGCTGGGCAGGGCGAGCTCCAAAAGTCGACACCAGCAAGACGCAGCGAAGCCCCCAAAACAGCGCTCTTGGTTTGAGGTCTCGAGCTTGGGATTGCAGTCCTGTTTTGTGGTGGAATGTGGTGGATGTTCTGAGGCCCAGGACCCTTGGCATCGCGGCAGCCCAGGGCTCCCAGGCTGTAGGCACCGGGACTGGGCCGGGAGGGTCAGGGCGCCAGAACCTTGTGGCAGATGAACGGCTGAGGCCGTATCCTTGAAATGCCGGGAAATGTTTGGGATGTTCAGGCAGTCCATGCCCAGGCACGGCCCGCAGAGCAGCCCGCGATCCCCGCGACTCTGCGCAAGCAGCGCCTCGCGGGCAGCTCCGCCCCAAACCCAACTCCCTGAAACCCAATCCCTTTTTGCCCGGAAATACAGCACAACCAGCATCTCTTACATAGCCCAACCCAGGGCACGACACCTCGGCACGATCTCGCAGAGCCTCGCAAGCCGCCGTCTCCTGGAAGATCTCAAAAAGCCCTCAACAAGTATACTAGTGCTATCCAATCCTGCTACACATCAAATAATTCTATATCGAACCAGCACACTCCTTCCCACCATCAAGCCTTGGCTCAGAGAGTCAGCAAGCGAAAAGCCTTGGTGTCTGGTAGCTGTAACGATGCGATGGTGGTTCAACCTGTCCCCTGGAACTGCGAGACTGGAGGTCGCTTAAAAGCCCGAGGCACCTCATTTCTTAGAGTTTTCTTAAGGGGCACCTCCCGTGACCTCAGAGTACGCTCCGAACACAACCCCAGCATGCCACCGAAATCCCTTCCCGGTCCTCCAGTCGAGACCCATGTGCCGAGGTCGCCTTGGTCGTGCACTTAAGCGCACGCAGCTCTGACAAGGATCTCACGCAAACTCCGGGCTTCTGCTGCCCATCAGCCGGGTTTCAGGTTTAAGGCTGCACGGTGCAACGAGGTTGAGCCTAGTGGCGCGTCTCAGGATCTCCACAGCCTGGCATGTGGGCGCTCGAGATGACTTAAGTCTGGGTACCCCAAGACCTTCATCCATGTCTGATCCCTACTCCAAGCTACAAAGTCACCACGCTTCACACCCACATCCTACAAGGCTTGAACACAGAAGGGGCATGATCGGTGTTGAGTTCAACCAGGCTCTGGGTTGTGAGGATCTGGGCCTCCTCAAGGCGGCCGACAGCCGCCGCTGCGACCCCGGCAGTGGCCAGGGCCTGCCATTGCTGGAGAGTCGCTGGTCGTGAGCTTGTTTTTTATGAGGTGCCCTGGGCTTCAGCACGCGGAGCCTACTTTAGAGCGGCTGTTGCTCAAGCCACGGAGTGGAAGGCGGACAGTGTTCATTGAGCAGTCTGGACTGGAACCTCTGCCCCATCTGCCCTACCGTCAGACCATGCAAGCCGTTCTACCACGGAACCTGCGACCGGCCTCGGCACTTGGCTGGGATTGCAAGGGTTCGGAGGCTCGCCAGGCCAAGGCTGCCTAGGAGACGGTGGCACTCGCGGGGGCATTTCGGGGATGCAAAAAAGCTGCAGGGAAGTATGTCTTGATCCACTCTTCATCTCGATTCGCCCTGCTGGCCACGACCCTGACCTCATCCGAGGCAAGGTGACGCTGCGCTTGCTGCAGCCTCAAGCGGTAGGATGAATGCAGAAGCAGGGCTCAAAGCTTCGGCAAAAGCTCAGGGCGGCAATTTTACCTAACGGATGTATGGAAGGTGTAGACTGCGGAAACCATTCACGAGGTGACGCACGTGCTCGCTAGAATCCCACCATGCAGCATTAGCCACGCGTTACTCGTCAACGTACCCAGCATGTCAGTATCAGCTGAAGCCCAAGGCACGACGGCGAAGTTTTGCTCAGAAGCACCAAAAACAAAGGGCCTAGATGGTCCAGGAGTCTAGCTCTCCAGCCGTAGCCTGGAGCCCAAACCTTTGCAGTATCTTGTGCCGTCAGTGCGGGGTTCCGGCGGTGACGAACCCAGCAAGGACTGCCCTGCAGGCAACAACAGCCCAAGTGGGAATTTGCGATGTGCCATCTCGGGGCTTTGAGGCTGTTGAACGCAACGCTTGCACTGTGCAACTGCTTCGGGTTCGATCGCTGCCGTGGTCGTCAAAGATGTGCTTCTGACAAGAAGGTCTTCAAGCATGTTGACTCGTAGAGAAGTAAGTGGCCCAAAATCTCACGCAACTCTTGCGACAATCTACTGAACATACTGGCTCAGAGCATGACTGCATGAAAGTGACCCAATGCGACTGTTCCCTAGATGCCGTGCAGTACATCAGGTACATCAAGAACAAGTGCCGCAACGCGAGACCCAGCACGGCACCCGTTTCTCGCCGCGCAAAGCCTGCGCCGCGTTGCCTATTGGGCCCCTGTGCTTGAAAACCATGGCCTGGCTGCATCTCGCCGCCGCTCTTCGACAGGAAGAGGCAGCCAGAAATTGGAAGAAGGGGACTTGAAGGGGCTTGAATTTATCGAATCGGCTTGAAACACATCACTTGAAACGATCATGGTCGGCCGCAAGGGGCCAGTGGGGTTGCTCGGGCTCTTTCCGATCCCAGTTTGCACGCTTGTCCCGCCAATTCCGTCGCGCCCGGCAGTGAGGGCTGCGAGGGAGTTGGTTCTGCAAGCTGCTCCTTGAAGAGAAGAGCCAGATCCGGGCAAAGCTTTCCCACCTCCTCCACCAGTTCACAACTTACTCTTTCCACTCCCCTTCTTCTGTGCACCTCATTGACGTAGTTCTTCACCATAAACTCATTTAAATTCTCAACCTCTTTGAGCTGGGCTCTCGCTGCCTCCGCAGCTGCCTCCGCGGCCGCCCGCTCCTCGCGCAGCTGCCCCTGAGCCGTCTCCACGTCGGCACGCAGGGCCGCCATCTCCCGGCTGAGCTGTTCCTCTCTAGCTCCAACCTCCAATCTGTCCCTCAGCAGCTCCCGCAGCAGCACCAGCTCGTCGTGCCGTGCTTGAGCCTGCTGCTCCCGCACCATCGTCTTCTCGATCGTGGCATCCCGCTTCTTCAGCTCTTCTCGCAGCTCGGAGGCGGCCTCGCGCTCCTCCCGCAGCTGGCTGTGGGCCAACGCCAGCTCTTCATGCGCCAGGTTCAGCTCTGCTTGCTGGCGCTGGATCTTCTGTTTCAGGCTCTTCTTGGTCTCCTCGCTCCGCGTCCGGTCGCGGAGGAGCTCAGACAGCAGGTCCAGCTCAGTATGCCGCGCCGCTCGCAGCTCCTCCGACGTGCCTCCGAACGCCGGGTGCTTCGACGGCTGCCGCACTTCCCGCAGCTTCGTTGGCTCAGACTCCCCTTCGGGGACCATGCCAAGTGCCTCTGCCTTGCACGGCTGATCCACTGGATGCCGCGGCTCGCACAGCCAGCGAGCGGCGCGCGCGCAACGCGCCCACGAAGGCACGGCCATCGAGCACAGCCACAAGCCGCCAAGTTTGCAACTTGCAACCTACGAGAGACCCTACGAAACTCTCAAGGCCACACGAACCGTCTCCATTCCATATATTCTCTGGTTCTATGTAGACCGTCGTGCACGTGCGTGGTACATTCGATCGACAGTTACAAAGCCGCTAAAAGCCCAGGGCAGAGCTGGTGGAGTTCCCGGCAGAAGACATGACGTGAAAAAGCAATGAAATCCGTCCAAATCTTTGCGTTCGTATCTTAACGAGGCTTCCCTGCAGCGCTGACCAGCCAACATCCATCCGTTCTAGGGTCCTAAAGCCCAAGGCTCCAAACATCCGACCCCACATACACTTTGCTCAACCTCCGCCCCCCCCCCCCCCCCCCCCGAGCGCACCGAGGCGGCCCAGCGCTGCAAAGACTCCGGCCATGGGCGCATCGGCCACAAGAACAGAACCCTTCTCAAATTCTTCAAAGCGCTTTTTGGGGTGTGGGCCGGCGTTCACGGCTTCTCAAATCTCTCGTTTCTTGGCTGGAGAAGGCTTCGGACGGCTCAAGAGTGAGGTTCAAGGGCCTCTAAGGGTCGGGGATCAAGTCTTGCGTTGAAGGCATGGCGGCATGGCGGCATGGCTGTTTATCGGAGGGCTGCTTCTTCTCAGGGGGCTCCTAAGGCTGAAGACGAGCGGTTTCCGGCATGAACACGGGGCGTGATGGATATGTTTCAACCATCGGCTGCGACACTCACTTTCACAGGCCTCGGATCACATTCCGAGTTTGAAGCAAAGTACTCTGCCGCGTTTCTTGACGGCCTACAGAGCTGAAGCGCAAGAGAACACATCCCCTCCATCCTGAAGCAGGCAAAGGGATGCTTTTTTCGACCTCTCACCACCTCAGCGAGGGGCCGTTAGGACGGGTGACCTCTGGCGGATACCGGCCTGCTACGAGAACCAAACCCGCGGCCCCCAAGGCCCTAAGCACTTCCACCTTCAAGCTGAAACGCTACTCCCCACTTGCTTTGCTGATTCTCAAGCCCTGATGAAACCGGATTGTCTCATTCGGATTGTGCTTTCTGGTATGGCCATTGTTTTACTTTGTACGTGTTGTGGTCAACATGACTATGGTTTAAGCTCGGCCTTCTTTGATCCATCAAAAGCCCGTGCGAAACTGTACAAATGTGCCGGCAGCCTGCGTGAACTCCTTCACATGTTGGACGCATCGACCCATGAAACCTCTTAAGTCTTAAGCTTTCTCTGATGCAGGGATGTTCGGCAGGGCATTGCAACCATGCCCTTTGGAAAACACCCTTGTGTCCTGAATCGCAGGGCCGCGATCTTGTGAAGGAGTCACGGCAGAAGGTTGCGGAGTGCTAAAGAGCCGCACGAGTGTTCCCAAAGCACTGTCGAAGCTCAGGACTCAGGGGGCGCCCCCACCAAGGGGGGGAGGGGCGCCAGCGCCCGGGTCCTGGGCTTGCCAGTGCCCTTTTGCTGCGTCCGGCTTCGCCCCGCACAGTTCACGGCAAAACACATTCACAACGGCTGAGCACGTAGGTCAGCCGAGGAAGGCGTTGTGGCGCACGCTGCAATCCCACACCTTTTCGAGTGCGGTCCAAAGGTTTCAAGTCGCAGTCGACTGAAAAAACGGGCACGTCCCTGGGTGAAGCAATCAGTGTTTCACATACTGGGGGTACCCTCAATCAAGGTCCCTGCCGTCCCACTAAGGCTGCCAGGCGTCTTTTCGGGGGGTCTCGAGTGTTGCATTGTTGAGGCAACAACGCTTTGCTTGAGCTAAAAAAAGTCACATTATGGAGTCATAGCACCTCTCACATCTCATGACGATTCTGTCCGAAGATGTCCGACACAGGCTACGGACCTACGTTACAGTTAGCGCCTGGCAGCCCGCCACAAAACCCTGGCCTGACAACTGAAGCTAAGCCAGAGCCCCCTGGATGTGGAAAAACGATAGTCAAGGTTTCGGATCTGGGGTTTCGGAGGCCAGGGCCAGGTACCTGGCATCACACCACCCTTATTAACATCTAGAGGTCACCACACTGCCAACCGGACCCTTTGCATACCGACAGCACACCACCAAAAGAAATGTCGGCATAAATGAGTTCTTACGCTTGGGCATTGTTATCATCCTCTTCGCTACAGCTGTGGAGACTGTAGCCAAAACTAGCGCACGACGGCTGAGGTTGCATGCAGCGTGAGAAGGCGCCACCCCCTAAACCATGTCACCTTGACTGAGTGAGCTTAGGCCATAAGGAGCGAATAGCGAACGCCAGCTGGGCTCTGACCAAACCAGCGACTTACTGCTTGAACCGATGCCATAGACTGTATGCCTCTCACCGAAACCCAGAACGTGCCACCTTCATTGTTGGCCTGCAGTATTCGGCCCGCATCTGGATAAACATTCTCTGGGTTTGCGTGCTTCCGTCATGGACCTGCTTCCAGCGAAGGCGAACACATCGCATCAGTCAACCTCCAAACACGTAACCACCACAGAGCCATGGAACCCAACTGCTGGCTGTACGACAAAGCAGGCCCCTCGCGAAAACGAGCGCATTCGCATTCGCATCCTGCCCTCGAACTGGTGAAACGTGGGCAAGCAGTCCACGGATTCAGCGGTTAGCCGATTCGCTCCGGCACAACAAATGGCTGCCGAGCACTCAGCTCCCATGGGGCTTACGGGCCGACTTGTGGACGACCACACCTTACAAGGGTCAAATTAGTTCAGGTCACCAGCTGCCAGCGCTGTGGCAGGGTACTGCCGGAAACTGCCGAACATTAGCCCTCCTTCTTCAAAGTTGCGCAGCTTGGCTTCCGGATTCGTCCAGGATCATGCTCTGCATATTCTGGGGAAGGAAGGCGAATGTCATGGCAGACCTAAAAGTCACTTTGGCATGTTCAACGATCCTAGACAGGTCCTCTGCAGCGCGAGCTCGACAGGCATGATCCAAACATCAAGGCCCACAAAAGGAGCTAGGCCTGGGGCATAGAAACACAGAAGTAGCAACAGAAAACCCAAGATGCCGGTTATAGTTTTTCGAGCACACGCATACAGGCTTCCAAGGGGTCCGAATCGATGCGGTGGGCTGTCCGGCCTTGGCATGCTCCCTTCCAGAACCGACTTACTGTCCTCCCCACGAAGTCCTACGCTAAAGGGGTCCGAAGGTCAGGCTACTTGATTAACTTCCGGTGTCTTTGCTGATGCTTACTCAGCCGGTACTTGATGATGACTATCACGGCGAACGCGGCAAACATCTTAAACTTACGATTCTACGAGAAGCCCTGCAAGCGGCTCTTGAGTCCTCGCTTCACACCACAACCAGACGATGAAAGGAACTTGCCAATTGAGGTTGCTGCTCTCCAGCTGGTGTCTTTACCCCTTGTAAACAGAGCGGCGATGCCGCAGAATCCCAATGGCCGTGTGGAACTTCGTGCTGGTCTAAGTACGAAGTAGTACGAAGTACTTCCTGAACACCAGCCGGAGCCGTCAGGAGTCATGAGGCACTCCATGCCCCTCTCCTCCTCTGCCACGTAGAGGTCAACGGGTCCTAAACGGCCCCCTGAACCTCGCAAAATGCCTCCGGAGGACCTCTAAGTGGCAAAGGAGCGCTCCTGCAGTGGGCTCCTTGCCCTTTTCATTCGGGGAAGAAAGGGCCTGCTTCTTAGGGCTTCAGTATGTTCAGGGGAGGGTTTTGTAGGTTCAGAGGATGTTTCAGTGTCTGGCATGAGGGCCTTCAAAAGTTTCGGGGGGGCTTGTGGAGCCCAAGAGCGCAGCCAGCTGTTGGAAGATGTCCGGGCGCCCAGGGCGACCCACTTGGCGGGCATTCCAGGATTCCAGGACGCTTGGGCTTCCGGGGTTCAAGGAAGCAATCCCCAATCCATGAAACAATCTGGCGCCGATGGCCCTTTTTTGAACTAGGGCTCTGGGTGTGTCTTGGGGTGTCCGCTGCAGGTCCCGGAATGCCCCAGACTTGAGATCAAGGCTTGAAGGCCCGAGTGCGAACGACAGCATAAGCTGATCATGCCGTCGTCTGTGCCTTCCCGCCCACTGTGCCTTTGCATGGCCTAGCCTTGTAGGCGATGTGCGACATCGGCAGATAGCCACAAGGGTCTTCGAGCTGTCAGGACTTCACATGGAGCTCAGTACTGCCCAAGTTGTACCCGGCTTGGCTGCGAATGCTCAAAAAAAGGCTACTGTTAAAGCTCAGACAAAGCTCCAAAGAGCAGCATATGGCCAAGATCCTAGCAAGCTGGCGTTTGATTTTCCCTCCTTTGAAAGCTTACGGCCTGGCAGATTGAGGCAACTGTCGATGTCCTAAAGTGTGTCTTTGAACATGCCAACCCCCGCTGGTCCAAATACGGGCTCGGGTCAACCTTGCATGGCTCTCCCCAACTACTGAGTTGCTACCGAGAAACTGCTCATGGGGGGCCACTCAGGCCTCTGAGCATCAGCCCCTACTTGGACCGGAGGGACGTGAGACCTACTTGCACCAGCGTAATCGGCGTGTTGCGCCCTCAGGTGATCAACAAGAATGCTTCAAGAAGGCTTGACTGCGGGGTCGGGCTCATCAGGGCGATCTACGAGCTCACTGGTGCTGGAATTGTCTGCTGGTGCTGGTGAAGGCTTGGGCAAGCGAAGTTTCAGATGTTGATCAGACTTGTGCCTCGGTTAGCCTGCATCTTCAGCTGTGGTTGTCAGCACTGTTGCTGCGACGGCTCCTGAGGCACGCACAGAAATGCCGCAGGCATTTCAACCGCCTCCGGTTGAGGCAAGTGAATTCGTGGTTCCTTGGCTTCCCCCGGCCGCTCCATCACTATCAGTAAAGGCGGGTGGACACACCCTTTGCCCCTGGAGCCCTCTCTCCAAAGCCTACTTCAGCAAGAACCCTCGCTTCCCCGTGTCTCTAACATTTTGCCAGCAGTCTCTGGAGTCCTCCGGACTCATTGTTCCAGGCCGGTCATTGTCATGTCGTTGCACTCCTGAGGGAGGCGGGGGGGGTGAGGGGTGACGACGTTTTTTGTTTTGAGAAAAGCGGGAATCCACCATATCCTCGTCCATATTTTCTTATCCATTTTATCCATGAAGCTTCAAGTGGGCAAAACCCAAACCGTAGGCTATTGACCGATTGACCGAACCCTTCCCACGCCCCCTTGGTCTCCGGGACGGCCATGTGCTCAGGAGATCCAGGTGAGAAGCGGTTCCTGGTGCCACGAAGGGTGCTTGATGGTTCTTGGAGTGTGGCGCTGCTTGAGGGCTCGTTGTTCTCGTTTTCCATGCAATGTTAACAATGCATAGGGAATTAAGGCCTCGCGCTTTCTCTATAGGTGCACGACCCACCCTAACACCAATTGGAGCTGGGATACTCTGCGGGATACGGTGTTGGGACATCTGAAGTTCGGCACATGTGGGCCCTCTTGAGGTTCTCTGCGGGATGTCATGCGGGTGGAGAGCTCAGGGAGTCCGTGCCGGCCTCGGGCAATAACTGCCAGGATGGCTGGGAGGGTTTTCGGGAGGGCTTTCGGGAGAGCCTTCGAAAGAACAGGCCGTCCCGGGCGCAGGGGCGAGAGGCACTGCAAAAGCATTCCTCTGCAAGACACATGCCCGCTGCCTGAACTGGGGCGAGTGGAGTGGTGATGCAACACCAACGCGCCTTCGGCGACAGGATGCTGTGCTTATGACATTCAAGGGCCCTTCTCGACTTCGACAGTTGTTTTTTCACGGCAAGTGGGCCCAGAGATGCCCAGAGCTTCAGGCTCAACAGTTTCACATCCCAGCGGAGCGGGGAGTCGGCGCACCCGATCAGCGTCCGCCGAACTGCATCTGCCGACCGCGCCTGTGTAGCAAGGGTCAACAAGCTTCAGGACGTCTGCAAGGGACAGCGCCCAGATCAGGGCTGTCTCCGCCTGCGGCTTCGGAGCATGGACGAGCACAAACCTGAGCGAGTGCACGGGATGCTCTTTCCGAGTGCCGGACTTCCTGACTTCCTCCAACACATGTCCACACAGCATCACACAGCTCACGCTTGGGCTCTGGCTGTGGCTGGCCATTGTTGAGACTGCCCGTAGCGAAGACGGGCATGAACTTCCACTCGCTGCCTGGCACACTGCGATGCTGAACCTCAAAAGAAACCAACTAACCTTCGAGTGGCGTCTTGCCTAGGATGCTGAAGCCTACCCTCAGGCACGTTGGATCCCACTGCTGACACCCAAGCCCATGCCTAACATAAATCCAGTTGGCCTCTGGGGCGAGTGCCGGGGTAGCCCGGCGTGTCCCCTGCACCGAAACACGTGCTTCTCAAAATGAGGCTCTGAAGGTGCCTTTGTGCAATAGGACCCTGTGCGAGAGCGAAAATAGGGAATTTGGAGCAAGGCCAGAACTTGCCTCTGGGAACAGGTTTCGTGCTTTCAAATGTCGAACCCCGACATTTAATCACCTCACACCCGTGCTGCTGAACTGGCAGCCACTCACCAACCCGGAACTCGACACTCTGGGGACCAAGAGTACCCTCAAATTGGCCGCAACGTGCTACAGTTGCTTGCAGCTCATCACACGTTTAAGCACGGACAAAGCTCCTGGCGTGCCGTGTCACAAGCATGTGGTCGCTCACGCATGTGGTCGCTGACGCGCACATGAAAGCATGAATGGCACTGCGCCACTCTGCGAACTGGAAACATCACGAACTCCTGATGGCTTCCCGTGGCACGCCGTGACAAATCCTCCCTAAACCAAACCCTCTTACATCTGGGCTCTAGACCCACCTGAGCTGCTAACCCTGAACCTCCCACAGCCCTCGCCTGGCGATGAAGGGCTGGCGCAGGTCGGACTGGGAATTGGATCCTGCAGAGAGGGGCAAGACTCAGCATAGTGGCATAGTTTTGAAGTTCGGGTTGTTGCTTCTGCTACCCGTCTAGGTGTAGCTTGTCGAAGTATGGTGATACAACACAGCAAAAGTTCGGGTTTCTGCTTGCCACCCCCAGCTAGCTGTCACTGTACGTACGGGGTTTGGGGTTCAGGGTGTGTTGTCGTTCAGGCTTCACGGGTTTTGGGCGTCTCAAGGCTTGTTCTGTAGGTGATTGGGGGTGTCCTAGGTGGTTTCGGCTCTCACCCAGGCAATAGCGGAAGAGGCTCTTGTCTCTACGAGCACGTTCCTGCGAAAAGAGAAAAAACAACTCCCACGGCACATCAAGGCTCGCTCAACCATGGGTTTGGGGGTAGGATTCTTGAAAGCAACGGCATATATCATATACTCTGCATGATTCCTAGCTTGTTTTGACTAAGTCGGTTGGGCCCCTTGCGACTTGCCACGAACCTAGTGTGGGCCCGCAGCATCACAAGCCATGCATTGTGGCGTGTTGGCTCTGGCATGACAACCCCCGATTGCAAAGCTTGCGGAACCTGGCTGGCCCTTTGCTTGCAGCAACAGAAGTGTAGAGAAATAGACTCGTGCGCATGCCCGCAGATCATTGAACGAACTACAGCACATGTGGTTTGAGGTTTGAATCGGATGGCCTGGCTCATGGCAGCTTCTTCCCTGGGAGATCCACGCTTGGGTATCCGGGTAAGATTGGAAGTGGGAATCCGTGTGGCATTTGAACATGCAGGAGGCCGCATGTGCTAAAGTTGCAAGCACAAGAAACCGCCCATGTGTCAGGAGCTGCAAAGATTCAAAGTCGCGGTGTTTTTTTGAGCTTCTGGTACCGAGGTATACGGCTCTGGCCGTAGGGTGGCCTGCATCTCTCCCTAGGACCCTAAGAAGCATGACGAGGAGTAGCTGGGGGCAGGGCTTCCGCTGCCTCTTGAGTTGCCGAGCACCGAAACGGTATGAGCAAAGCCCTGCCACAAGGACTTCGAATGTGTTTCTGTTCCATGCCGCCGCAAACCTCAAGCTAAGCAACTTGTTCCACTGGTCCACACCGTTCAGGCAAGACTACATTGAGAAATGATCGGTACGGTAAGTTCGCGCCCAGACCTCGAAAGACATGCTTGTTGAGGGCTGATGATGTATCCAACACGTGCTGGTTTCCACCTACCAGGATGATGATCAAGCTGAGCAGGTCATGCAGCTGCGGCGCCACGGCCTCACTGCCTGGGACAGGTCGACTCTAGTCCGTGGGCTTGGTGGAATCCGGGCGAATCTGTGACAACCAGTCAACCCCCTGGATCTAAGGGCGGCACCCATGACGAGTGTAGAGCTAAATGCCTGAGGCACACTCTTCACGGGATAAGCTACACATAGCCGCGCGCCCGCACACCCACCCACACACACACACACACACACACACACACTCAAGCAACCTTCCTGACAGCCAACACTGGTACCTCCGATCTGCGAGCCACATCAGCTTAGACAGGCTGAGCCTGCTGTCACTGAAGTACATCATGCTCCTGAATACCTCTGATGTTTCAAACTGGTGTTGACATTGAAGAGAACTATGAAAAAGGAATTTGTATCGGCAGATTGGGTCCTGTCTGCCATTTGCAGGTACGCCAGACTGATCAGGTCTGGAATCCCCCAGGAGGACTAGCTTCGTTGGCACAAGTCATCATCCTGGGCTTGTGCCCCCTGCACAAAAGAAATGAGGTCGACGGTTGGAACCCTTGGTTACAGGGTTGGACACACACAAGAAGCCAAGAAGGCCAAGGATTGCACGTCGACCGTGCACGTGCACTCGAAAAGGCTTTATTGCACCGCGCGTGCATAAGCCCAGAAATCAGGGTTGGAACTGCATAGGCAAAAGAACGAAAATGATGTCAGGCCGAGTTTCAAGCCTAATGTTTGCCTGGCCGTAGCCAGCACTCTGCCCGAGGCTACGAGTAGGATGCCTTGGGCACCTTTTACACCTGTGCCATGGACCCATGCGGCTCTGCCGGCGCCTTAGGCGGACCCGGGAAATGCACAACAGGAAAAGCCAAAACTACCGGGGTTTTAAACGCATACGCTCGACGTCTGCACCTTTCGGAAAAAAAACGCATCCCGCTCACTGAGTTCTGATCGTCCTGTTGCCAGCTGTCGCACCAAGAACTTTTTCCACTCACGCGGCTGCTGCTGCTGTTGGGAGTTCCAGTTTTGTCCAGACCAAGACATGCTTGGAGAACAAATGACGGGATCTAAACTACTCGAAAAAACGTCAACACCTGATGGCTGCAGGAGGGTAAGTCATAAAGACCTCTGATTTGCGCCTGACTACCACCGTGCAACAACAGCAAACAGCAAACGGCATCAACGGCCCTGCACATCATTCAAGTCTGCAGGATGGGTCCCTGCTTCGTCATGACAAAATCTGCAGGATACTGCACGGGCCACCCCGCCGCAGGCAGCACTCTGAAAGACGTAGGGACAAGCCCTACACTGCCTGGAACACACTCAAGCAACCTTCCTGACAGCCAACACTGGTACCTCCGATCTGCGAGCCACATCAGCTTAGACAGGCTGAGCCTGCTGTCACTGAAGTACATCATGCTCCTGAATACCTCTGATGTTTCAAACTGGTGTTGACATTGAAGAGAACTATGAAAAAGGAATTTGTATCGGCAGATTGGGTCCTGTCTGCCATTTGCAGGTACGCCAGACTGATCAGGTCTGGAATCCCCCACGAGGACTAGCTTCGTTGGCACAAGTCATCATCCTGGGCTTGTGCCCCCTGCACAAAAGAAATGAGGTCGACGGTTGGAACCCTTGGTTACAGGGTTGGACACACACACACACACACACACACACACCCACACACCCACACACCCACACACCCACACACCCACACACACACACACACACACACACACACACACACACACACACACACACACACACACACACACACACACACACACACACACACACACACACACCATCCCCCGTCCTTGCTGCTGGACTGTGGTCCACGACCCCCGGACAAACAAAAACCACCCGAGGATACCCTCGAAAAAGGTGTCGGAAAGAAGAGGTCAAGGTGGGAATCCCACCCGAGTCCAAGAACGGGTGCATTCACACCTTGGCGGCTACGCACCTTGAATCCGACCTCTCGAAACCTGGTGGAATCAAACTTTGTCGGCCGGCCAAGGCCGAAAGCGGCATCCGCAGCGTCGAGACAAGGAATGACCTGGACCGGTACGGGTACTCCCACGTACACACATGTCATGCTGACCATCAATATGCTGAGCATACTTCCCTTGCTGGCCTCTCTACGCATACGCTTGAAGCTGAACTGGATCCATGGAGAGCAAAAGCAAGGTGAAGGCATACTCGCTAACTCTCTCAATTCCTGAACTCTACAATTCCTGAACTCTGAACCCTGAACCCTGAACTAACTCGAGACCGGCTGGTCTTGCGCGAAGAAGCTTGAGGCAGGATGGCAAAAAAGGCTGAGATCGTGGCAGGGCGGCGGAGCCGTGCTTGATCACTAGCACCGCGAAGACGTTCCTCGAGGCTAAGGGTGTCTCGCTTGTTCCTCGTCATTTGCCTCTTATGACGATCACCAGCTCAGCGTGTCTCGGATGTGCTGTTTGGCCTATACCTCATGGTCAGGGTTACAAGAACAGACTGCCTAGGAAAGCAAGCAAAATGCCGCCCCCTTGGGGCTCCCATGGAAACAGTGGAAGATTGAAACGTCATATCTCATGCAGTCATGACATATGCAGGAGAATCTGGGCCTATGCTGCCAAAGCGCATTGTTAAGTTGAATGCCAGGTACAAGAAGACCTCGCAGCGTATACTGGATGCTGAGCTTCAGGCCCCCCACTGTCGCCCCCTCCCTCGCCCCCTCTACCTTTCTCTTTTGGGCTTCTTCTTCTCTCAGAGTTTTGAGGGGACCACCCTCTAGCATCTGCTCGGTTCCCCCTGCAAGGCCGCTCTCAGTCACTGGCTCTCTCTCTCTCTCTCTCCCTCTCTCCCTGTCTCTCTGTGAGTGCCATCCCATGGCTAGTCAAAGGCATGCAAGAAAGACACACTAGTAGATATTCACGCAAGGGGCAACTGACGAAAGATCACCTTCCCGCCTGTTCAAGACGCTATGCTTGCCGAGCTGAGCACTCAATGCATTCTGAGATTAAGTCAAATCGCCCGTGAAGCGAAGCTTTTAAACTTGAAAGGGAAATAAGACAAGACGCAAAGCTCAAGACCATAAATAGGTATTATAGTCGGAGGAGGCAGAGAGTGTGCCCCCCTGCCTCACCACCTCTGTCAACGACACGAACAAACAAATGCAAACCCATGGTAAGCCTGAGCCTGGTAAGCAACGTTCTTTCGGCACGCATCCGCCGCTCAGCACGCTCAAAAGTGAAACTTCACTGCTCCCTCCTCCGGACTCCCTTTAAGGGAAAGGCAAGGCTGCCTGGCTGACGCGTGAACAAGCTGTTCGGGGGTTTAGGGCTGGAGGCGTGGGGTTCAGAATGCCTTACTTGCGGTCCGCTATTGCAGTGCTGACCGGAAGAGTGTCCACAATCTTCACCATCAGGATGGCACCTGGGCCTCCAGGAGGAAGAACTTTCTGAATGCAGCTGGCAGGGCATCCTGTTCAGACGCTGCCGTAGCTGGAGTCTCAGGGCTCGCAGTCGCTGAGAGGTCTAAGTGAGAAAGCCATATGTCGTGCTGCGACTTCTGGGCACATAAGCTTTGAGGTGTCCGAAGCTCGATCTGGCTCGATCCCCGAAACACAAAGAGCCGGACCTCTGCGGCCGTGCTCCAACTCGGAGCTCCAGTCCCTTTCAAACTGGATCCAGTGCCCAAGGCACTTCAATGTATACAGAAAGAGTAAGCAGAGTAAGCATAGCCCACTGTGAAAAACTAAAGGGCGGCTTGGCCTGCCGGTCAAAACTGAGATCCAAGATTCTCAGGGTTCGGGGTGCCTGTTGTTTAAGGTTGGAGTTCCATCAAACCGCAGTCGGCCCTCCCGTGGCCGACCTCGAGCGGGAGGCTTCAATAAGGCTAAGGTCTTCTGGACAGGGAAACGCAGGCGCCCCCAGCACAAAAGCAAACAACAAACGTGACGCCAGAGCTGTTTCACGCTCGTTCTGGTGACCTGTATCTCCAGGAAAAAGAGATGTTGTGCCCCCAGGGACAGCTTTACATCGATGCTTTAGGCTGGAAGTGAGTGAGTGGCCCATGACAAGACTCTTGGGATGGGATGCGATTTACCTCTCACCTCTGGTGCTAGGCTATCATCGTAATTTCATTGCCTAACTTTCATTTCAGGAAACCCTATGTTGTCCAACGGATGTCTATCTTGCACATAATACGGGTGGGCGTACAATCAAGAAGCCCGTGTCAAAAGCTTCCGGCAGGAAACCAGAGTCCATGAGTGAACAGCACAAGGAGCCTTTATTTGCTTGATTTGTGGGGTCTTTGGGCGTGTACATAGCCGAAGAACCGTGTTCGCTGTGCTCACTAGATAGTTCTTACAAGATCCTTGCCTTCAGCAGTTCTTGGGAGCCAACTTGACGAATGCATATCAGCAGAACCTACTGCTTGGGCAGTGGTCGTGCTGATGATAAGATTCTTCGACGTCCCCGTGCTGGACATCTCCGACCAGGCCTTGTCACACAGGCACGTCACTTGGTGATTCCAGTCAAGATCACAAGCTCCTGCTTTCGACTGAGGCTTGAGTAAGCTTGGAATGGCTTGAAGCTTTCGGAGGAAAAGCAATGCTTGTCGGTGCTCGCAATAGGTGTGTACTTCTGCACCCCGAACATCCCGAGGCCGCCGCCAGCACCAGAAAGAAGTCAGCAACCTTGTCACCGAAAACTTTAAAACAGCCAACCCACAATTCAAGGTGCAAAGGCGAGACGGCACATGAAGGACGTGACATTACGGCTGGAACGCTTGTCCCGGGCCCATGGCGCTCGATGTCCAGGATCGCCATCGGAAGCGGGATGGTGGAGGCGGGTTCCCGTGAGCAGGTATTCCGCACGATCCTTAGAGTTGGCGCGAACAGTCTATGCCAACAGGCTTCCGTGGCCCCAACTCCCCCTCAACTCTGAACGACCCATCAACCATCAGAACTTTTGACAAACAGCAGCCACGGCCGTTAGCAGGCTGATCTGCATCCTTGACTTGCGGGTTTTATGCTAAATTTAGTCAGCGTAGGGCCGCTTTAGGCCGTTTTAAGGGGGGGGGTTGCTCGTCGAGAAGCTTCCTCAAAGTGCTGGGCACCCCGAGGTCGTGGTTGGACACCTCCTTCGGGGACACGTCAGATAACGAGCAGAAACAAGCAGAAACCGGAAGGCCGGTGTAGAAAAAACCTTAGGGATGCTCAAGAAATGTGGGCCCCGCCTCTGTTCTCGACCAATTCTTGCTGGTCATGTTGAGGGCCTGGGGGCCATGCTCTCTAGGATGCATCTTCGGGCTAGGGGCAATTGAGGTACTTCTGGACCCTCGGTCATGGGCACTACGTATTGGGACCTTCAATGCAGTTTCTCAGAAGGCACCATGTGGCAACTCAAATTTCCGGGCCATGATCGCGGGACCAGTCTCTTGTTCCACTATACAGCCGGCTGGAGCACAGCTTCACAGAGCGGTCATGAACATCCTCGAACCCTCTCTCGGCAAAGCACGAAGTGGCCGCTGCCGAGGTTGGAGATCTTCGCATGTTCCAAACCTGGGCAGGCAGGCTACTCTCTGATCCCTGCAGTAGGCAAGAGCAAGTGGACATGTCAGCAAGCTCTCCAAACGTAACCTGTGCACGTTTGCGCTGGAGCTTCTGCCAGCCTACTCTGAACGACCAAAGGCTTCGAGCCCGCTGTTACATGACCAGGCGAGGGAGAAGAAATCCTAGTCCAAGGGGCCTTCTGCCATATGTTCACTGCTCTCTGGCCAGGTCTGACTCCATACCGAGCAGCAGGAGAAAAACACGCTGCGAGAGCGAACAGCCTGGGTGAACGCGGCAAGGTCCGCCAGGTTCACTGTAACCTCGGCTTGAACAAGGGTTGAGCTCTCTGGTCTTCGGAGCACAGGGAGCGAGACCTGCCAGGCACAAGGATGCAAAATGCCACATGTTCGGTTCCATGCGGCCCGCAATGTCTGGAGCAGTCTGAGGCTCAAGGACTACTTTCCGGTGCCTTCGCCTCCAACCATCAAGACAAGCTGCCTGATGCGGCAGCGTGCAGACCTGGACTGGTGCTGTGCTGTTTCTGCCTGCATCGACTCACAAGCCGATGTTGCGCCCCTCGCGAGAACAGTCACCACAGCCATTTGGCTCAATCCCAGCTGCGGCCAACTGAGTCCACGTAATTTCCACCAACTCCACCAGGAGAATCCTCGGCGGATCTTGCAACTACATCCAGAGCCGTTTTCTTCGTGCTTCCTCAGTCTTCAGTCTTTTTGGACAGGAGACACGGCAATCTTGAGAGCCCATGCTAGCCTATAAGACTCGAGATCCAAGTGGCAGCATCGAGTCCTTAGCCACAACCGAAGAGCCAAGCTCAAAGGAACTCCGAGAGCTGGTTCTACAGGCAGGCCGATGCTTGCACAGCCAGCACACTCACCTTCAGCGAAGTCTCCAAGCCCACTCGCGAATTCCTCGGGCCAACTGCTTGCACAACTTGGTCCCTAACTTGATTCCCTGTGGCTTTGGCTGACATCAAGCACTCACAAACACTCGCCAACAAGGCCCTGCCCAACGTCGCTGCTGAAGAGGCTTGCATCAAAAGAGCCTTCAGGCCCCTCTGAGCCCTTCTGAGCCCCTGAGCCCCTGAGCCCCAAAAGCGAATCTCTTAGGGGTTGAAGCGTTGGAAGCCCGCCCTTGGCAGGAAGCACTGCAGCCTGAGCTCTTGTGGGCGTGGGCAAAGCCTGATCGCAAGTCGGGCTTTGCAGGGCTTGGCCATCTTGCCCAACCAGAGTCTTGAGGTCCCATCACAGACTGTCATCCGGTGTCAGCTTGATGCATTGATCGCATGAGCAAAGGAACTTTCACAGCAACAGGCATGCAATGGCATTCAGTTGTACCAAAGCAAGCTGCAATCCGGGAGGTAGCTGAAGAGGCAGGCGTGGTAGTGGATGCCATCCGCAAGGAAGAACTCCTGCAAACGGGCGCTACTCTGGGTTGACTTCGTGACATCGCGTGACCCTCCATCCTCCTGCACCCCGTCGACATGTGACTTGTACATCTTACATCTTCATGCAGCCATGGTGCCCCCAAAGCCATCACAAACTTGTGTCTCCTATGCTAGAGCATGCTAGAGCCAGATGCGGGCGAAGCGGCGGTGAGGCTTTCCCTGTCGGAGGTGTCCAGGACTGACCAACTGGTCAAGACCTGACAGGGTGGCCAATTTGCATGAGATTTGGAGCTTCAAGGTTTCAGGTTGTGGTTCCGGCTCTGTTTGGCACTGTCCCTACTGCTCGCAGAGCATTAGGGCCCCTTCTAGGACTGCCCACAGGCAAGCCTTGGCATCTGCAACTGCTAGCCCACTCCTGCCACAAGAATAGAAACCTCGAAGACTCTCATCGGTTCCCGTGCCAAGCAGCACTGCGAAGAGCATCATCGCCTCCTCAGATGCTTGGGACCTACAACAATGTCGCCTGATATGTTGACATGGACCTACGTTTGGCTCGCCATTTGTGCTCACGGGGCTGTTTCTACCAAGCTTGTCTTCACCTGCCCCACCCCAGGCCGGCCAAGGGGCGTGTGCGGCAGATGCACGCAAAGCGTAGCAGAGCCAAATCCTTCGTTGGGTTTTACACGGGCTTTTTTTGGGGGGAAATGTATGGTTGATGATGTCGGAAGCTTAGGACGTTCAGGTGCACATGATACAGCTTCTTGGGAGATGGCATTCCTGTGCTGGTCTTTCTTCTGTGGGCGTAGACTGTAGGTCAATGCGACATGGCGCCTAGGCACAATGTCCTTGCAACGGCCCTCAACACTCGCAATGCGCCTCCAGGGTCCGGCTGGGCAAGGAGAGTGTTTGACCCCAGCTGCACACATAGCCTCGACAGGATCCGAAAGGGGAAGGGGAATGTCACATTCCGATGTGGCTCCACAAAACTGCAAACCCGACTCCAAGTCTGAAGCCCTGCACCCGAGCTGGAAACAACCAACGTGTTCTGAGGCGCTCCAGTAAACCTCTTGGCACGTCCTCTCCTGCAGATGCTTGAGAGCCTGCACCAGCCAAACATCAGTGTCAGAACTACGGCAAGATGCCGAGACAGCGACGCGCTGCCTCCAGGCTCAACAAGACGGTCTGGCCAGCAAAGTCATTCAGGAAGGGCGAGCCGGTGCAGCCTCCAAGACACCCCGTACAAACGCGTGAATCCATATGTGGCCCGGTATGATGGACACAAAGCTTGAGACTGCACGCACCCTCGGAGCATTGGGAACAAGCTGAAGGGATCCATGTTTACGGTCAGGCACATGCTCCGAGCCCAAAAAGATGTGTGGAGTCTCTCCTTCTCGTGCTCCGATCCCGGAGAGCATCGCGAGCGCGGAGAAGAGGAAAAGCTTGTAGGCGGGAACGTCGTTGTGCTCAAGTGCCCTTGCAGCGGGATTCTTGATGGGAATTTATGGAGAAAGTTTGGGAATTTGGCTATAAGAGAGTGAGGGAAAAAATGGCACCCGTCCGCCACACGCTTTCAAGCTTTTCACTGCCGAGGCAACATCGCCCGCAAACCTCAGACATGCAGAGGCCCGGGCTTCTGCTGAAGGAGCTGCAGGCTCAGCGGGGTGTTCTCAGCCTGTCGGGATCCCCTTTGGTGAGGTCCTGTGGGCCCTGTGGGCTCTTGAGAGCTGACACCCCCCCCCCCCCCATCGCCCGCGTCTCAAGGCATTTCAAGGAAAGAAGCTCCAGAGGCCAGCCTGCATGAACTGGCCGAACACAAAGCACTCGTGCATACTCAGTTGAGCACGGCACTCGGATTGGGAGAAGTGTGTGTGCCCCAGGCTTTGCAAACTTCATGATAACTCGAGTGCCAAGGCTCCTCGACACGTTGAGCAACAGCTCCAGCGTCCCTTCTCCCAGCTGCAGCACAGAAGGCCTAGGTTCAACCGAATGCAAACACGGAGAGTGTCTCCCCGACCCTGATGCGAAGCCCTTTCCTCAACCGAACAACCACCTGTGCAGCCACAACTTCGCCTAGTAGCACAACGTTCCGGTTCCTTTCCAGGAGCCGGGTCCTCAGATGCTGTGATCAACTGTGCGTTCTTTCGTTCCCTTCGTTCTCGGAACAACGGACGAACATGATTTTAGGACGTGCCCTTGGGCATCCTCTAATCATTCTGAACCCCCTGAACAAGAATGCCGACCCCATGCCGAAAAGATCATTGCGGTCCAGCCCATGGCACGGAATCAAGCGTGAACCGCAAGCTCTCATGCGACCCTTCCCCTCCAAAACAACACATAGAGGCCCAGCAACACAGCGGCGTCTGGCTGCTGTGAGTGGCTCGGTAGCTGCAGTGTCAGGTTCCTGGCTTTTGCTCCACTGTCGACACTGCTCGCAGCCCTATGCCCCCGAAAGCAGCTCTAGCTTTGTCCCAGCTGCTTGGAGCGCCCCAAACCTGTGTCAGGGCAAGTTCCCACTCAGGGACCCAGACACTCACAGCGTGCAGAGAGGCCCCCCCCCCCCGAGCTGCCGCTGTATTTCCAACTTGGCACTGCCACCCCCAAGCCTTTCACTGCCAGGTATACCAGCATACCTCAGGATATCTGAAAAAAAAGGCCGGCACAAGTCATGGCAAGAGTGGCTAGACTCCTAGACATCCGGAAGCAGCCACTGTGAGTGTGCCATGCTCCAGCAACAACTTCCGATGAACATCCTGTCCTAGCCCAGGCGCCGTGGATCCATTCTACATTGTCCCGGATGCCAACCCAAGTGACGAAATCCTGTTGCGCTGGAGGGGGCAAGAGGAGAAAGGGCCTTGGGCTTGCGGCTGCAATTGTTGTTCTACAAATTTCTCCGGGCTTCGGAGATGCTGTCTGTCTTTGGGCTTGGGGGGAGACCCCGTGCTTCCTCTCTCTCTTTCACTCTTCTTCTTATTCTTCTTCTTATTCTTCTTATTTTTCTCATTATTATTCTTCTTATTCGTCTTCTTCGTCTTCTTCGTCTTCTTCTTATTCTTCTTCTTATTATTATTATTCTTCTTCTTCTTCTGCTTCTTCTTCTTCTTGTTATTATTCCTCTTGTTCTTCTTCTTCTGATTCTTCTTCTTCTTCTTCATCTTCTTCTTCTTCTCCTTCTTCTTCTTCTTCCTCTTCTTCTTCCTCTTCTGCTTCTTCTTCTTCTTCTGCTTCTGCTTCCTCTTCCTCTTCCTCTTCCTCTTCCTCTTCCATGTCCGCTTCTTCTTCCTTTTCCTCTTCCAATTCATCTTTCCTCATCTTCTTTTTCTTTCTGTCCTGTACCTCTCTCGGCCCCCTGTCCTCCGATGTCGAGGCCCAGTCTTGGAACCCCTGATATCCAAGCCCTCCAGCCAAATGTCCACAAATCAGGCACAACTCTTAAGCAGCTCTGATCTGCTGGCATAGGGAACCCTGAGCCCACAGCCTGCATCTTCTGCCACTTCGCTTCGGAGAGGCGCTCTTTCGGCGACTGGCAGCGGAGATGCAGGGCAGAGATGACCGAAACCCGGCGTGAACATTCTACTCACATTCCCAGCTGCGCAGCGGGGGCTTGCATCGGTATCTCGACAATGGCTAGCGAAAAAAGTAGACATTCAGCACTGAGGACTGCAGACCAAGCCCGCAAGTAGCTAAACCCTAACCATTCGACTCTGCCGGCACCTGATTCTTTACGAACTCCTCGTATCTGTCCAGCGCAAGCCAGAAGACACCTTAGGGGGCAACCCGATGGAAGAAGCCGCGGCCATACTTCCAATCTGGTCACACACGCAGCGGCTGGAACGAGATTTAGCAGTGGACACCAACAAAACCTCACCTCACTGGTTGCACCAAGCAGCTGAGCATGCAAGAAAATGCACGATGCCGCTCATTCTCGGCAGAGAACAGGGCATGCGTGCCCACTTGCTGGTGGAGCTCAGGAAAGAACCTCTTCATCCCACACTGCCCAGCGCAGCGCTCAGCGGGTTCATTTCGGGCTACTGCACTCAAGGCGAGGGCTGAGCTGAGGGTCTCTTCATGCGGAACAGCCACAACCTAAGGACAACCTAACCTCCGCCCCCCCCCCCCACCCCCAGTGCCTCTCCAGCTGTTCCATTATCTCCTCACCTGGGGTGATGTCTCTCCAATGGAGCGGATGAGGGGTGCTTTCAGCCCTTCAGGGCTTTCATGCTCGGGGCGCGGCCAGAGGTTATGTCGCTGCTCAGCACCCTGCGGATCAGCTGCTTGGTGTCCTGGGCTCGGGTTGAGAACGCAGGAAGTTGCGCGGCGCCGAAGACTGTTACAAGCTTACGGCATAGGGGAAGGTGCTTTTGGAAAAACTGCGCGCAGATCTTGCAGAGAGCTCCTGGGTCTGTTCATCGGCCTTCGGACAACGGGGAGGTATAATTCGCCCTTCCGATTGGAAGTGGACTTGCAGTTTGGTGGTGTATGGCTTCTCGATGTAGATTTGCGAAGCCATTTGCAATCTGAGGGCATGAGTGATTACGGCAAACGGAAGGCTTTTGATGACAAAAATGGGGCTTTCACGGCGCTTGCATGCTACATCTACTTTACAACGCACTTCGCGCTTTTCGTGCACTCGGGCCTTAGGGGTATGCGCAAGGGCGAGACGGTTGAGCAGCTTCTGCAACCCTTCTTACAACTGTTAGCTCAGGTCCTTTCCTGAATACATCCCAGTTGCTGCTCCACTTGGATACGGCTTGGGCAGGAAGAAGAACTGCAGCAGCCTTTCCTGAAGCCCAAGCCGACTGCTCGCTCAACTTTCATTCCCCTGCCTTTAGGGCAGGGGACCCCTTCAACCTCAGAACCCCATTGCCTGCGTGAGATTCTTGAGCTGGAAGGCATCGGTGGCTTCCTTTGCCGCAATATCACATGGCTCCGTGCAGATAGGAAAAGGGTCGTCCCTGTAGGAGGGCTCAGGCCTTCCGATGCGTCACCCTTGCACAAGCTCCATGTGGGTTTGGTGGGTGTTTCTGTGACCCCGAGGCGCAGGGACCTTTGAGAGAAATAACGGCCAACAGAAGCCCAGATGCACAGCAGCGTGTGCGAATCACCTCGGGCAGGGCCTCCTCTGCGATGAACTCCTCCGCGTCCGCATCGCAAGAACCCAAGAGGCTTCAGAAGCTTGAAGGTACTCAAGGAGGCTCTCGCCCCTGCAAATCTCTTGCCTTAAGTCCCTAAACCCTTTTACAGTCTTTGGAGCCTCTTCTTTCTTTTGGGGAGATTGCCTGGCAAGCCCTGGCTCATAAGCCCTGACATTGCACGTTGACAAGGGGAGAGGCCAAAAATGGCCCTGCTCGAGAACAAAAGAACCCCCACTCTTACTTGCACTTCCTGAGTTCCGAATTCCGACTCTTGTCAGGCAATCGGTCAGCTACTGCGACTTCCGAAATCGGTAAAACATACAATCAACACATCGGACTGCTACGCAAATTTGGAAGCACCTGCTCTGTGTGACGCGCACAACCGCTCCTCTGCATTCAGTTTGGACTGCAGGCACCGCGCATACTGGTACACAAAGCCGCAGCATTCCGCAAACTCCTTCGCGACTCGGGCTTGAAAGTTCTGAGACTGACGTTGCAAAGTGCCGTTGGAATATCTCCTAAAAGTCCCCGACCCCCAGCTTTGCTGAGTCTTGAACCACTACCAGAAGATCCTGCATTTCAAATCTGACGCCCCCTCAAGGTGCCTTTATAGCCTTTGCCAATGCCGTCGCTGGGAGGAGGAAGGTGTCCTGAGCAGTCAGCATCATGAATCTAATCATGAAACCATGCTACCCCGGCTCAGTGGGCAAGGTAAGGCCATACGACTGCAACGTCGCGTGCAGGAAACATCTGGAGTCCAACGATTGATTGCGGTTCAACGATTGATTGCGGTTGGGTCAAGTACGCCTACTTCATGCCCACATGCCTCCTTGCATGAATGCCAGCTTTACGGACGATGGTACAAAGTACTGACCTTACTGTACGTCCAGGGTCGTTGAACTGAACGGAGATCATTGTGCAGGTATGCTGGAAGGACGTGAAAAGCGAGATCTCCGCCCAGAATTCAAAGTCCTTGGATGTTTCATTCAGAAGCTGTTGCAGCTGCGCAAGCCATTGCGCAACAGATCAACATTTTATCATGGACAACTCGAACGCGATAATTGGCAACAACTGACCCGGCATGCTGAAATCTCATCTCACCCTGCGTGCGGCCATGCGACCGCGAGTGTTATGTTTATGATGTCACTGTCGACTTCTTCCTGCAACAGCACTGCGGCACAGTACTGCATGTATGTCTGGCTTTGACAAGCTGCCACACTTTAGAAAGGTGAAAAACCCTGCCAAAGATGCTGCCAAAAAAACCTAACTCCCAAGGCCAGGACCTATCAATGGCACATATTGGCAAGTTTTCTTGAGGATTTTAAAATACAGGTTGCGCACATGTTTATAGCTTGGATGGGTTCCCCTGGGGAACTTGCAGACCCGTGTTTCCCAAGTTTGTGACGGAGTCGATATTGTAAAGTTGCAAGCTGTGGATTCAGACTTCTATCGATGCCAGTGTCTTCCAAGTCGGCTTCACGCCTCTCATCGCTTTGGTACCCAAGCGTGCGAGATCATGGCGAAGCACGCTCCAGCAGCTAAAGCAGCTTGCCACTGCATCTCAATACAACAAGTAACCAGATCACACCACGAAGCAGTTTGCCACTGCGCCCACGCACTACTTTGTAGACGGCAACATCTGGCAAGTTTGCTTCGACAATAGACAAGACGGCACGTCCCCAGGGCCTGATACAGACCAGGACCGGGCATGTACCTCAGCCAAGGATGCAACACTGCCCAGCTCCAAAACTGAGACATGCTCGCACACATCCGGCGACGGCTTTGCAGCAAGTTACCTTCCTCGGCCCTCAGAGAATCGGGTAAACATGATCTCTTTGTCCTGGCTGCGTTTTGCGGTCAAAAAATCCTTGGCTACATCTTCCAGAGATTATCATGTACACAGAGCCGATCAGGAAGCACTCTCTCTCCTCGAAGACGGTGAGCTCGAGGTAGCCACAGAGCTGCGTAAAGGCACCTCGCAGGTTCAGTCTTTTCATCCAAAGAGCGACCCAAAAGCAATCACGGGGTCCAGGAACCCTGACATCCGAAGGCACTGGGGATTCCCAGCCAAGCACAGCAACTTTCGGAGAGAAAGAGGCCGCAACTTTGTGGGGTCACCTTCATGCAGCCACAAGATCCAACGCAGCTCCGAAGTCCCGATCCCAAGGCACGCTGCGACAGCTGCTCCAGGAAGTTGTACATCCTTGGTGGCCGTGTCTTCATAGCACACTGCTCACAAGAACTCAGATGAAGCCAGAGACCCTCTTCGTCCCGGGGGTAGGTGAAAGGAAAGGCACACAAGGCTCCATGACTCATGTACCTCCACACTTTTAGGATCTCTAGGGCCCTCAACTTCCTTCAAACCCCTGGGTTTTGCAGCCAAGGCGTCGCATGCTTCCGCAGCACCGGCCCCCGCCGGTCCATGTGCAACCTCGTTCTCAAGACCAAATCAAGGCTCAACTCAAGCTCCACTCAAGGCTCAATATTCTGCCTCTGCTTTTGCACAAGAATGCGATCTGGTGTTCAAGGATGGGTTGGAATGAATGATGTACTCCTGGAGCTTTACGCAGCTGAGCTGCTCATTGATCAGTGTCTGAGAGAGGAGCTGGGAATCCAAAGGTGCCGCTTTGTGCTTCCTGGCAGATCGGGCAACCCCAAAACCCTGACCAAATGCGTTTCCAGCGTCCAGAGTCCAGAGCTCCGTCTGCAGCTCTGCGTCTTGTATGCGTTTACGTGTTCGACACGCGACGTGGGGTTTTTGGGATCTACAGTGCGGGTTGAGTGTTTGTGGGATACACAAACCCCAAAGACGGAACGACGAAGGCCCACCCACCCTGGCTCCTCAAGCTGTGATCAACAAAGCGGAGCACTCGAATGCAGAGATGCGAGCTGATCTTGTTGATCTTGAGATACCTGGGCTCAATCCCACAAAACAAGCCCGTAAGGTGCTAGGAGCATAACGAAACGAGTGCTGTCAGGGCTTCAAGCAGCCGAAACCCGGCGAATGCCTACACTGCTTGCACATGGCACCGAAGAAGCCCCAAAGGGAAGGGGACAGGCTACCCGTAGGCCGACCTCCAGCTGATAGCTTAACAGCTGCCGGGTGGCACTGCCCAATATAAAATAGCCTGAACCGGAAATTGTAGATTTAGGTTTCCGAAGTCGGGGAGGCTTCAAGAGCCGGGCTGATAGTGCGAAGTCACATGGCCACCTGTCGCTTTCGATCGCCGGCCTGTACCGGGAGCTGCACTATTCCAGGTAGCCCCAGAAGCCCTGAAGCCCTTGAGTCATCCGCAACCCCAAAACCCCAAAGCCCAAGACGAGCGTGACTTGCTGGACTTTTGCCTCGGAGTTCAACTTGATCACCTGCTGGATGGTCGCGGAGACCCGTGAGATGCAGCTTGCCACCACCAGCCTGGAAAAAACAGGGCCCATCAAATAATGGCATCGGGTTTTTCATATTGGGTGTTGTATGCTATGCCTTATGAAGTTCTTGAAGATATTGGGCAGTATACCTTTTTTACATGACATACATATACAAATAATTAAATAAATAAACAAATAATATAAATATAAATACAAATATATATATATATGTAATTATATGTCACTCCATACCTGGAATCAGCACCCTGCTTCAAAGCTCTACGCATGGCCCTGCCAGATGCCGCCCATGACAACGTCATGTTCGTAGGACCAAGGGGCAGGGAGAAGAAGATGACAAAGACGTTGTACCTAGAAGAGGGATCCATTGCGGGGTGCTACGACTTCCTTCTAGAATCTTTTTTTGCATCCAGGTCTGACGCCGGGCATCACCTAATTTACTGAAGAGGCGAAACTCGTGTTCACCCCTCAAAGAATAGCTCGAATACTCTCAACTTGATTGTCAGGTAAAATGTCAAAGAGAACTACACATTGAGTTGCCACGCTCCTTCTAGAATCTGCAACCCGAAACTCCGAAACGTTACAGGGCCTGCCTGCGCTCCATTACACCTCTCGCTTTCTCTGTGATAGATTTTTTAGGCTTATAAAGCCCAGCATGGGCTTCGAACTCCATCGATCCTGGTGCTGGCAAAAGCTCCCCGTATCGAAACGGAAGCCAAGGAACATGGATCCATCTCATGTCTCCCTTGATTTTTGGCCTTTAAGAACATTGCAGTGCAGCGAGGCTGCACCCTCTCTGTGGCGTTCCACGCGTGGATGGCCATGGGCGCTGGCGTGAACTGACCCAGGATCCAGTGGCAGCAGGCCACATACCTCGGATTAGAAGCACATGGTGCGTTGAGGCTGGCGCTGTAAGGCAATTGCGCAGTCTTGGGAAAGTCCTGGGGCGATATCTTGCCACCGATGAGACAAGCGCTGCTGTGTCACATGTGTGGATGCTTCGCATGTCAAACTCACAGTCACACAGTTGATTGACCTGGAACCCGGGCAAACGGAACTCACTCAGGACCAAAGTGCCCAACCCACCACCCTTAAACCCCCAAAGCCCTCAAGTTGGCCGTCACACACCCGTACACACCCTGCTACTACTTTTTGCAAAAGCTTCATGCCGCCGGAATTATGGCTTACTATAAATTACGCACCACTCGCACAACCTCGGCCCTCAACCCTCGCGGAAGGATACCAGCTGTAGAGCAGTGGCTGTTCCGCCCGACCCTTGGAGTGGTACTGGTACGTCGTCAGCCAACTCTCCTGCAGTCAGAAAAGCTCCCAAGTAAACGGTTTGGAGTCTCCTCAAGCAGGGGCTGCAGAAGGAGGACTTCCGTGCAAGCGCACACTGCACGGTCCACATGCGAGACTTAAGACACCGAAGGCTTCGGACCCTGGCGGAATGGATGACGTTACAAGAACTACGGTTCGGGAGGCTCTTGTCTGCATGAAAGGAAGCTTTTGCCCCCCAAGGTTCCATTCCATTTTCTTCACTGGTCTGACCGACCATGTACCAGAAGCACCCGAGAACCTGAGTGCCAGCTCGGCAACACGATAAACTTTACGCATGGCGAGTGGGTGTCACATTCACAGAGGCAGTTCTCTAAAGCACGGTTTCAATGAGGGATTCTGAATATACAAGGCGCCGTGCTAAGGAGAGCGACCCCAAAGGGACCACATGTTTAGAGAAACCCCGGCTATACACTCGCATCACTGGTTCATGCACCGCCTGCTCTAAGTGACGTGTCAGGTCTCATTAGGGCATCACATCGGCGCATCACAGTCGCAAACCCGCACCAAACGGCCCTGGAGGGTCTCTACGCAACCCGAGAGCGTGGACCGAGAAGAGGATCACCAACAGTGCCTGTCCAGCAGTGGTGGACTTACTAGGGTTGCACGGCTGTAAGTACTAAAGTGCGACGCAGTACGACACGGTGCGAGCGTCGTCCGAGTCCGAACACCCATCGCCTTTATCACTGCGGTAGCCAGCTGCATCCCCTGCATGTACGCGTACCCCAAGGAGTCCTGGGCTGTTTTGAGGCGTTGAAGCCAGGGTGGATAATGGTGCGCACTCCAGGCTTGGGGGAAGTTGGGCGGTCTTTCAGCAATCGCATCTCTGTGCACACGTCACTCTCCTCGACGACCTGCAGCAAATTCTGAAGCTTCACCAGCCGCAGCAGCCGCACGATCCGAACCTGGGTCAGAAGTGGAAGGCCAGGAGCAAAGCATTTCTTCGACTACAACTTGTGTACGGCTGGTCACTGGTCACTCTACAAGTGCCCCGATACACTGGGCAGAAGTCCTTCATGCGAATCCCTCTGCAGGAGGACACCACACGACGAAGCCAACAGGCCAAGTCACCACGCGCGCCACGCGCAAGACTCGTCCGCCAACGCCCATGGAGGTGCCTTGGTGGGATTCTGAAACCCTGGATTTCAAGACAAAGAAACAAGGCCCCACAAACCCCTGTCTTTGTCACACCGAGGCTTCATTTGACATGTCGAACCCGACCAATACTCCGCAATGCCAAGCTGCTTTGCGAGGTCGTGCTGCCCTCCAGCACTAGCATGACCTGTAGCACAACTTGCCACCACACTCCGATCTACCTACCATGTTCATAGGGCAAGGAATGCCGCAGAAGGCCACAAAGAGCACAAACAGGCAGCTCTCGATAACAAACTTCTTGAGCTCTGAGGCACCCAATCAAAAGTCACAACGCCCACGTCGAATAAGAACCAGGTCCTGCTGCACTCAGTCTGGACTCTACGCCTTGAGCAGAATGAACAAGCTACACACGACACGATTTCGGCTCTGGTTGAACTGGAAGATCGCAAGCGCAAGCTGTCACAAGATCCGAGACGCTATGCGTGGCCAGGAAAAACTCGCACGACCGGCAAAGAAGCAGCAACGAGTCGGAGCTACTTGTGGTTCCCCTATATAGACATGTGTGTATGCAATGTAGAATGTAAAACATTTGCAACCAGAACATCACTGACCGGAAAATCTTAACACCCGAGCCCTCTGTCCTCACGTAGTGTGCCAGCGCCCGTGAGGGCGACTGCACTAGCAGGCCGTTCTCGTAAAAGCCTGGCTTCAGAATCGACGCATCAGATCACTGAAACCACAGTAAGCGATACAAGATCCAAACTCCCGACGCATCTCCAATCAAGGCCACCCCCTCTGTCAACAGCATTGTCACATCCCTTCGCCAAGCCTGCCCAAAACTCGGGCCACGCCTGTCTGCGCACTCGCGCCGATGTCGATAGTCCAGTAGAGCATCATGGGTATCAACACCGAGGCGACCTTCAAAAGGGAAGGAGCGATTAGATCGATAAGACAACCTGTACAGGCAAGGACTCGACGCATCTCCTCAAGTGGTTTCGGCAGGTCAAAAAGCAGTCAGAAAGCCCGAACGCTGAAGAGCCAACCCCAAAGCGGAAGAGCCATGACACTCTGCGACCCCCGGACTTAAGAGCGCTTGCACGCGCCAACTTGATGCCCGATAGCCGCCTCCGAGTTAGGAATCTCCCAGCTGACAATCACCGGAATCGAGATCGCATCGAAGATCACCTGAGCAGTCTGAAATTGCCAGGCTATGTTTCCCTGCTTCGGTGCTCGAAAACAGAAAGAAGCCGAAAGCTCAAGCAGTCCCAGCGGCGCAAAGCAGACCCACGAAGGACCAAACGAGCCGTGCCATGGAGTGTGGGTCCATCAGAGAGCCTCTGGTGGTCACAAGATTATGCAGAAGCATGCACAAGCATGCACAAGCAATGGAGACTTGTGTTGTTGCTTCAAGCACAACGCTCGTCTATCGCCATGCTGGGGGCCCAAAAAGAAAGACTACAAAGTGCGTGAGCATGCCTCTTGAAGTGCTCATGCCGTTGAAGAAGGCCAAAAAACGTCAACAAACCATCCCTGATCGTACCCTTCCATCCACAACACAAATACTCAAACCCGAACGACGCCTAGCAAAGCCCAGGGAGCGGTGTAGGCACGTCAGAGTGGGCTCTGCTTTGTTCTCCATCCGAACCTCCTGGTTAAAGAATGGGGAGGAGGAAAACAGATGGTCAGGCTTCAGCAAGAAACACACCTTCCCAGCCTCCTGACTGACGTTCAGGGTCAGGTGCGACCGGCTAGCCGACTGATATCGCATATGCACGTCCTGCAGCAGCCCGTGTGCGATGGCGTCGTGAGCCCGTAGACTCAGTAGAACACAGGTCGTGCCCGAAGCTCTCGTGCTATCAGCCGAGCCCTCATAGCTTCAAGTGCTTCAGGCGGTCTTTACGCCTAGGCGGCAACAGACCCGGAAGTTCACAGCCGGCGGCACCTGAGATGCTACGACAGGTATCCCCAAAAGTCCCAAAGCTCCTCCGCCCGGCTGTTGAGCTCCTCCTGGCTGCAATGGACGTATGGGCTAAAGATGGACGCGGCCAGATTACCCAAGCAAGCCGACAGCCAGGAAGACACATAGTCACATAGTCAAAGTCTCGTCCCAAAAACAGCATGCTTCCGGTGTCTCTTTGCACAGAATACATCTCTGAGGCTCTGGTACTGACCGCATGGCCATCGCTTCGGGTAGGGCTCTGTGTCACAGGAGGGCACAAGGGGTTGTAGCGTCCCGGGGTCAGTTCAAGGATCGTTGTAGGCAGCCGAGGCGCCCATATGCCATACCTTACCGGAGAGGCAAAGGAAGAAGAATGGCTGCACACAACAAGAAGGCCACAGCGAAACCCCAAGCCATCGGAAGACAAGGCGCAGGGAGTAGACCTTGCGCTTCTTTTCTGTGCTGATGCCCGTGATGTTGAAGGCTGTTGGCCTTTGTAGCACAAATATGCACACAGGCTTCAACCAGCCTGAACCTGAAGTAACCTGCATGCCATGCATGTAATTCAAAGCCTCCGAACCCCTGCGGCCCAAGACACACGACACGCTCCTGCTGCGCCCTCCAGAACTTCTGCAAGGCCTCGGGCACCTGGAGGCTAGGAGAGCCCATGGTGCCCCGAAACCTCAACATGACGTGACAGGATTTCACTTAGGTTAGATTGATTTGAGAGAGAAGGTCGTGGCTGCTCCGTATGTCAGGCCAGGGGGACGGTTCAAGGCCTTGGCTGTCCCTGTGAGGGTGGAGGAGCACAGGAGCACAGAGAAATCACTCCAAGCCCTCCCAGCCTTCGTCATGTCGGGCTTGTCGGGCTCCGAGGGCGCTTGCCCCACGGCTTTCGAAGGATCCTCTTGTGTTCAACGAGGCCGTCGTGCCCATCTCAAAGGCCCCGACAGGGAGTTCCAAGTGGTTGCTTTAATACTACAATGCATGCTCCCGATGCATACTCCGGCCTTGGCATCTTTGACCAGGCTGGCAGACGCTTTCGCCGAGACTTGTCGCACAGCCGCCTGCCACAAAACATTTTTTTATCCAGAGATGCCGCAACCTAGGACCAAGTCAATGCTCATGAGCGTTCCCTTGTTCACTTTTGGACATCGAAACCCAGAACCCAAGCCGCAAGCTCTCAGCGGAATCTAAACCCGCCTTCACCTTCTGTGACCTGGCAGCGATCTCCTCAGAAGCAGATGCAGGGCAATTGGCCGAACAAAGGAGTGCAGGGCGCCGACGGCTGTCTTCGGCCAGGCTCATCTTGCATTGGGTGCTTGATCTTCTGCTGCTGACCCCAGAAACAGCAGCCCTCACCACAACTGCTCTTGAAGCCATAGCCTCAACATGCCTCACCCCATGCATTTCCGAGCTGCATCCAACTCACGCTCGATCGCGGCAACCGCCTGCAAAACAAAGCGGGAGGGGTGCGCAAATGCCTCGGGTGATGCGCAGGTCAGGCCTGGGAAATTCCCTCCATCGGCTGCCTCTCTATTTAGGGGTGTTTAGGGCAGGGCCAGGTAAGGGCTGTCAGGTTTCAAGCGCAATGTGAGCATCAGGCTTTGCTCCGGGCATGTTCTGCGCCACCCTGAATCCTACGCATGGTTCTACTGATTCTAACTGTTTAGCACGACACCGCCAGGCCGTACTTTGAGCCGAGCAGCTGATCTGCAGCATGCGATTCACAAAACTCGCACCGAAACCACAAGGAAGACGCCAAGCTGCACGCCCGCCACCCCGGTCCCAACACCCCGACCACGATTCAAATCTCTGATCACAAGTTGTTGAAAGCTTGGCTGCTCCTACTTGATCCTTGGCCAATTTCTGGAGATTTTCAGGCACCTGAAGACCCCCGGCCACCTGAAAAATGAAACAACTCTGAGGCTGCGAACCGGTGCGAAAGCAGCGCTGCAGTTATCGCATGGTTTCTCCTTGGTGTCTGGAGACGTCCCCTCAAGGCCCTAACTGCCCTCCCATCTTCCATTCTTTGACTTTGACATGGGTGATGGTCGGACGAGAAAACACCCTGACAGGATTCTCGGAACGGGTACCTGCACCCAAAAGCCCCAACAGCACATAAGATGACAGCCGCACAGCATGCTGTGCTTCGCATCGGCTGGCATACCGACTTGCAAGAACATGATGAGTCGAGGTGCATCTGGCAAGCCGCAGTTGGTAATCACTTGGTCCTGCATGCAACACTTCGAGTATCCAATCTATTGACCCAGCTCTTCACAACAGTACCCGGGTTCTAGTAGATTTGCCTCGACGTAAAATGCACGGTGGCAACATGTGGCATGGTTATTTGTACCTCACATGCAGGCATCTACATTACCTGCGTGTCCTCTGCCAGGAATAGGCAGCGTGAGCCGCCAACGGCGATGCTGCTCATCTCCTCGAGAAGCCCAGAGTTCTATGACGCAGCCTCTGCTGCTCAGCCTTCCATAGCTTTACCAGCCCAACTGCCACAGGGCACAAAAAAAGGACCTCTCGCCTCCAGCGGCACCTGCTGTGGACCGAGGACGTTGAGGGTGTAGATAGGCATGCCACAGAAGTTCACCACCACCTGGCGAAGTGTACGACAAGTATCATTCTCGCTCGACGAAAAAGGAAGTGCGGTGGCCGCTCGGAACGAGGCAGTATCACAAGCTGGCTGCCTGGAACACTGCCACCCAGAACTGTAGGACATTCCTGCTGTGCGGTCATGTGAAAGAAATCCTACAACGCAGCATGAGTCACAAACAGCATCAACACCATCACCATCAGACTTAGTTTGCGAGTAGATCCCCGTGTGCACTTTAAGGTGAGGCACACGTCCAAGTCGCCGTCAAAGCCGCGGAAAGCGATCTCCTGTTGTCGTTACACGGAAGTCAGCACTCAAGGTTCAGGGATTGAGTGTTCTCGCAAGCCGCTTTGTGCGGGCTTTGGTTTTGCCCCCTCTGCCCTACAGACTGGCAAATGCACCACCCACCTTGAAGACGGTCGAGAGTGCCTGCGGGAGCAAGGCCTCAATTGTGCCGATGTGGTGGCTTCACTGTGCTTCACTAATCCCACCGGCAGCTCGGACAGGCTACAACGTTGTGGGGCCAGGGCCATGCAGAAGATGACGTTGAAAGCGGCTTTGTTCTGGTCCTGTGCGTCGCAGGCTGTCTTGGGTGACTTCCCTTCAAGACGACCTCAACAATAACCAAAGCGTGTAGAGGGCCGAGCTTCCACGACGCATGTCATAGTGATATGGATGATATACTGATGATATGGAGTGCAACAGTCAAGCTCTGAAATGTGTCCAGTGCTCTTTTCCCTCAGCGGAAGTTGCGGGAGCCAGCGCTCGAACCAAGTACCGCTGAGGCCTACCATGTGGCCCATCGCAGATTTTGCTGGAGGGCCAACATATCAGCTTTTCCTAGCCATCCGTTCGACGAGCTACCTGAGCTACCCTGCGCCAGAATCCTCAGACCTGCCAGTAGTTCCTTCTTGCGAACGTCAGACCGAACCAAGAAGAGCCCCAAATCCTAAACACGTCTAAGGTAAACTGATGTTTTGAAATGAACGTCCCCCCCCTCTGACATGGTCACCACCCGACAGCCATCAAAGGCTCAGCGGCTCAGTAGGTGACCACCTTGAATGCTGCTGTGCAACTGCAGCGTGCTTCTCGGACGCTAGCGCCTATAAACCGTGTAGCCCAGGTTGTTCTTCCTTGCAAAGCAATCAGTTACTCCTTGGGGGTTGCGCTACTGTGGAATGCAGTTGCACATGTACATCCGGATCGATGATACCAATACTAACATGGTCGGCTGTGCGGGCACGACTGTGGTTGGATGCTGGTCAACGATGCAACCATTCAGACCGTGCGGCATGCACTCTATATCGCAGCATTTCAATTCTCAACATGAGGGACAAGAAGACCCTCTCTTAGCCAGACAATGGCTCGCGGCGGGACTGGCAGGAACCCCCGGAAATCCCTCTGGGAATCCGACTGCACGTAGGCATTCGCCAGAGTGCAGGGCATCGATGGCCTTGATGTTCCCTGGAGCGGCATTAAGTCCAGCACATGAGCCAAGGACACAACGGACACAAGGTTAGGGAACACATTTGAAAACCCACCCCGGCAACCCTCACTATACCCGCTTACGCTGTCCTAAAGCTGCTTTCGATCGGAAGGGGTGGCCTCGGCCCTTTTCGGGCAGCAGCTTGTTACTTGCAAGCAAGACTTTTGCTTCTGTTCCTGGAAGATGTCGATGCCACCTAAACCCTGAATTTAAGCTGGGCCCTAGAGAGGCCCTGCAACCTCCAAATTTGTTCCTAATCCTGTTCTTTCGGCATCCATCGACATCCCCATTGCCCGCCTTCCACTCCTTGAAAGCGATGTGTGATGTAGTGGTCCAGCTTCAGCCGGCCTGCCTCTCACACAGAACCAAGAGATCCAGTGCCTCCTTCCTAGAGATAACTTACAATGAAACGGGCCGACTTTGACGTCTTTGGCCTACACGTCAACCTTGAATCAAGCAAGGACGGTGAGGCATCGAACATCCTTTTTGGCCCTAAACGCTGGAACCCTCTGCCCCGAACTGCCCTGAAGTTAAAGCTCAAGGCCCCTGGCTACAGCCCCGACCAGTCCCCTCACAGAACACTTTCATTCCGAACCCCCTACCAGGCCCTACCTCGTAGGCATCGATCAGGGGCGGAACCTCGGATCGGCCCTTGAAGCCGCCGAAAGCCTTGGGAGAGCGCTCTGAAAATTGCGGCTTCTTTCAAAGTATGATTTTCCCGTATGATATGAGGGCATCGAGATGACGGCGGGTGGATGCAAGAAGCCGAATTAAGACCTCACCTGAACCTAGCACAACAACGTCGGCCCCACCGCCTATGCCAGATCCTGGTGTGTTGGCAATCCGGGCTTCACTAAAACCTAAGGGCCCAAGGTGCCCTGCCCGGCTAACCCCACTAAGCTCAACCGGCTCAACCTTCCAGGAGCCCAGCCGTGCCGGTCCACTTCCGGCCAGTGACGAGCTGGAAGGGCCGGGTGCTGATTTCCTGACTAAACGAAAAAACCCGGCTGATCCAAAGTGCACCAGACAGCACACATGGACTCTGTAGCAAAGGAGAGTTGTCTTCCATGCATCCTTGCCCGCAGCTGCCACGCCAATGACACACGATTCGCCCCATCCACGATGGGCGCTCCTTTGGAGTTCACAAAATGTTCAATGGGTCCGTAAGGGCCCCCCCATCACCACCAGACAAGGACGAAAACGCATGAAGAACCAGCAATGGACCCGCACAGCCGTTCGTGACCAAGTGGCTCCAGCGCCGCCCGCATCACCTCCGTGTTGCCCGTGCCTTCGGGACGACATGTGGCTGACAAATCTCTTGACAAGTCTAGTGCTTGGATACTTTCCCACATGCGCAACACTGCCGCCAAGAGGCAGTCAAAAGTGTAGTCGATGCCCCACTTCGTCATGCCAACTAGCACCTTCACATCACGCGGGGCCTCTGGCACGCCTTCGTTCCCTGAGGCCTTGAAGCCCTGAGCCTGCTGAATGGGCTTGTCGTAATCCTTTGGGTTGACGCAGTCCGTGGCCCCGAGTTCCTCCAGCACAAGAGAGCAGCGGGGAAAGAGGCCAGAAAAGTGCAGCTCCAACAGTTTCGGGGAGGCCCTTCCCATTAGGCCACGTAGTCTGGGCAAAGATAGGGTGAGGGCTATATAACAATAAATCACATCGCATCAAGTTTTCACGTGCTTCTGGTCTCCAGCCGAGGCTCCTTGGCGATTTCGAACTTCTTGGGGTTCCTTGACGAGGGGCAATGGTTTTTCTCAAACGTTAAACGTTGGGGGCATCAATGCTTGTCTCTCGGGGGTGCGACATGGAGAGCTTGGGGCTCATGGGGTTCGGCTTCTGCCAGGCGTTCGACCAAGCAGCCGACCACATGCAAAGATGCGGACATGGAAGTGCCCATAACCCAAAACCCTCAGATCAAATCATCTCGATTGGACGGTTGGATTCTTTATTGGATGGCTTAAATTGGTTTATTTCAGTATTTCTGTATTGTATGTCTCTTTCGTTCAACTGCTTTGTTGCTTGCAGCTTTAGGCCAGGGCACGTGTCGATGGCAAAGATGCGGGCCGCCCCCCTCATCTGGGAGCCTCGCAGACTCTGCCGCGGCAACCGGCGACAAAGAGCCGATGTAGAGTGAGATGATATGAGGCCAAATGACCCCATCGATCAACCTCACGACAGCATCTGCCCTGAAAACCCTGTGCCTTGGGGCGGTACTCAGTTCAACCTCTTTATCTAAACCCCTAACCTCAATCCTGAAGCCTTTGTTGAAGCCCTGCTCTCGAGGCACTGCTCTCGAGGCATCCCTGCCTTGGATCACCGCCAAGCCAACAGCCCCGAGGCCGAAAACAGCCACGCTGGAGCCGCCCTGGTCAAGGGATGGCACGGCACCCGGCGACTGTTGTCTGTTGTAGTGCGTTCGAGGATTGACGATCTCGCACGTTGGCTCTTTGGCTCCATGAACTCTCCCACTTGAACGATGCCGGTGACTGGCATAGGTCAAAGAAACGAACTTACCGCGGTTCATCTTAACCCCCAGGACCCGAGGAGGCTGAGTACGCCTTGCCCTTGGGCTCGGATATCTGAAGCTTGCTGTCCCTCCGCCTGTTAACACAATTGAGCCGCAGTTTAAACGAAGAGGCCTCTACATTCAGCGTGTTCCACACGGCGCCCAGCCCCGTCCTTGTGCGTGACAAGTGGGCGCAAGCAACGAACAATTCTATCTCGAAGGGCTCTCATTGCAGGGTTCTGTGGCAACTTGTATGATCCAGTTGGGATTGCCAGCACACATCGCTTGCAAGGTGTAAGTTCAGCCTCCTGACCCTAGTTATTAGGTGAAGGGTTTCGGTCTCGAGTGGCTTGGGTTTTTGGATGCTGCCGCGCGACGATACGCCACATCCCAACAGGGAGCAAACCTGAGCGGGCTCTAGGTTCTGGGGTACCCAATACCCATGCTACCACATCGTCTCGCCTGTGGGACTCCAACGCAAACCCAGAAGATTCGCTCAACAGCGAAAAAGCTTAGGATTGTGTCCTTGGGACCTACGTGTCCGGCGAGCCGCGTCAAGGGGCGCGCTGTCCGAAACCTGTTTCCAGGTGGTTGCTCTTAGATGCTCTTAGGGCCGGAGGGCTGTGCAACTCCATCACTGCATCTCTTGGAGAAGTTCTACAGGCGTACTCCCATCAAGTAGCCCATCTGGACATTCGCCTAGAGAAACAGAGTTCGCGCCACCCTTGAGCAGGGTTCGACACAACCCGACTGACTTCTCATGAAACCCGAGGCCGGGTCCAACTAGCGAGGAAATTTTCTTTGCGAGTCTGCCAAGCAAATCAGAGCCCCCTCAGCCCCCTCATCATGGAACAGCTTCCATCACTCGGGAGCTGAGGCCGCCATCGGGAAGCATTGTCTTGACATCAAACGTGTGTCACACACGGCAAGAAATTTCCCAGCTGGCAGCAAGGAGAGAGCACTGAAGCATCTACGCAGGTACATCCGGGTAGCCGGAGCGGATGGGACTGCGAGGGTGACCCTCGAGAAGGTCCTTGAAATTCCTCACAGTTTCCAGAACATGCGGCTGCACCATCTCAAACAATGCCCGGCTAAACTGGCCAAGGAAGGTCACACATGTGGCTGCACCATCGCTGCCCGTGGCAGCTTCGAAGATATAGCCTGATGGCAAGACTTCGCTCCGTCGAAGTCCATCTCTGGGTGGAAACTGTTTGTCACATCGAACGCTTCGGGAGCAAAGGACAAAGATGTTCTGCTCGGGCTCCTCCTGGTAGGCGCGCAGAACCAAGATTTCTTGATTTGGCTTCTTGCTGGGGCTCGAATCGTTGCCTGGCGCAGCCATGACCATGCGAACAAGGTCCGCGGACTCTTCAAAGCACTCGAGGATCTCAGATTCGACGCAGTTGACGTCGAAGGCCATCCTTCTTTCCGCATCCTTCAGTAGCTGGAAGCAGTCAGATGGTGGCTTGTTGATCCTCGTCTGGACTTTAAGGCGTGTCACGGATGCAGTGTTTCGCAAGCCAAACTCAACCCAAGCTTGGACGCCTGTCCCCGTCCCCGTGAGCAAGCGCTCCCATCGCAGGGTGGCATTGTCATTCAAGCAAAGAATGCAGGAGAGGCATTGCACTGCAACCTTCTGCGCCTGTTCGCTGTGTAAGTCCACACTGAACTTAACACATCCCATCGGGCAGGTCTCTGCCTTCCTCCCATCCGTCCGACGAAGCTCACGGAACTCCTGTCGAGCAACAGCCTTACGGTGCTCCTCTTCCTGCTCCATGGTGCCGGGCAGCACATCTGCAACGTGAGCTGTGAGCTCCAGGAAATCACTTCGGCTCACAGCACCGGATGCCACCCCATCAGTTTGCTGCCCCATCACGGCAAAGTTGAGATAACCCTCATTCACCTCCCTGGGTTCGTCTTGAGTGTCGACGGAGTTGGAGGTGACTCGCACTTTCACCTCTACACTTGATACGAAGACTCTCGTCACCGAGGCGGTCACCAAGACTCTGTCGCCAAGACGGCTAGGCGCCTTGAAGTGCACGGTGTCCACGCTCACGGGCTGCAGAAAAGCATCCTTAAGCTGTTCGACCTGAATCCGCGGCACGCCTCCAACGCCCACAGGTGGGGAGCCATCCTCCTCATCATCTCTTGGAACACAAGACATCCGCAGGTGCAACCAAACAGCGGTCTTCGCTCCTTTGACCATCCAGGCCATAATCTGCCCGCCGAAGGTGTTTCCCATGTGGTTGGTGTGAGTCGGGAGCACAAGCTCCGTGAAGGTGAGAGCTGATCCCCCGTGCAGTGGTGACAGCGGTGACATGCCCAGAGTCGGCTCTGGCTCCTTTGTCAAGGCAGCAACCCGCTGGTCCCGGTTCTTCCTGAAGCTCCGGCGACGCTCGGCCAGGCCATACTCCAAGTGCTCCTCGGCTGTGATGGGAACCAGCTCAGGGACTTCGACCTTGGTGCCGCTCGCCTTTTCCGCATCGGTCTTTAAGACAACATACATAAAGTAGGCACCACCCACCATGCGGAGGGTGCCTGAGTGCACGTGGGCCACAGAGATCCGAACGACTACTTCCATTGAGCTGCCAAAGGCTCGGGTCACTTTCCCTTCCAGGATACAGCGCTCTCCTCGCTTGAGAAGGTCAAAGGCAGTGTCTGTAAAGTCCAGGTCGTCCATGACCAAGGTCACAGCGGATCGCCCGCAGTGCCGCTCCGCGGCCAAGCAGCTCGCTGCGTCCATCCACTCTAGCAGGTGGGCAAGGCTCAGGAAGTTCTGCGAATCACACACGGCCGCATCGATGTCCTTCAGCAGGGTTACAACGCTGTCCACCGCTAGTCGCCTGCGGCTCTCGGCGGTAGGTCCAGCAACAGCAGGAGGGCGAGATGGTAGACCACCCATGGCTGGAGGCTCCGGCGACAAGTGGCAGCAGGTGCCGAAAGACGCGCTTCATGAGCCATGCACACCCCAAGCACAACTCACAGATCCACCACCTCTGCTTGTCTGCTGATTCTGCTGGGTTGTTCAGCTGGATAATTGGTTTGGGCTGGGCAACGCTGGGCATGTCGTGAATGCTGTCAGGACCTTCTCTTTGGGATTCCCAGGGCTTACCACCTGCTCCGGCCTTTGCGCAAGAGATGTCAGCCACGACAGTGTACTCGGAGAAGGTGGAGCAGCCCATGAAATGCCTCGGGCTGGAAGAAGGGCTTCTACGTCTCTACAAGTATGCTGCGGGCCTAATTCGGCTTGAGCTTGTGGTTGACTTGTGCTTCCTCAATCTCGTGAGATGGATGCTCTGGCTGGCCATGCGCACGCAAGGGCATCACGAACGCAGTCATCGCGCGGGCATGGAAGCTCTGGCCATTTACACACGTACTGGTAACACGTAATCATGCTCCAAAACCCCAAGCTTGTTCCAATTACTCCCACGCCTAGTCGCTTGATCTCTTTGCCTTCCGCGTCGGTGAAGCGGCTCGTACCGTCGGGCATGACGCCCCCTCCTGGGGGGGGAAATCTTTTAGGTTTTGAGGATTTCTGAAGATTCTCCCCTAGGATTCAAAGGAGAAGATCTAGTCGCTGAGCCCGGCTCCCTGGGTGCCACGGATCTTTGGACAGAGGTTGGTGCGCTTGCCTCGCGAGCTCTTGGGGCTTTGGGCTTGCATGTTCACAGTTTTCACAGTTGTTCAGACAGATCTGCCGTTGAACAAGGGGATGCTTGAGGGTTCACGTTTTGCTTAAAGCGGCGAATACCAGCTCTTGTTGCTTGAAGCTACGCACATCGCTTCAGTAGGCTCGCTGGCAAACACGAATCCTGTGATTCCCTGACCTGACGAGAACTTGGAGTTTCGCAAAACGGTTGGCCTCGTGGCGGAAAGCAAAAGATGCAATCCTCGGCTTGGACCGCCGAACTGTGCCGTCAGGCTTTGGGCCTTCACAACCCCGCGTTGGTGCTCATAAGTTGAAACACCGCTGTTCCAAAAAGCTTTGGGACTGCAGAAAAGCCAGTTTTGCAGCGTTGGGCATTCATTCAGAGGGTCTCGGATCTCAGATGCTCGAGCTATTCCGTACTTCTCAGGGCTCACCTGGGTCCAATCACTGCCAAGCCGCCGGCTCCCCACACTGCGGGGTGTAGCAGGGGATCACCTTGTCACCGGGCTGTAGGCCTCGGTTATATACAACACCCGCTGGTGAACAGGCAAACACCCTGCCAAGCGTAGAAATGGAATACAATGCGACATGTGACATGTGCTTAGAGATTCGAGGCTCCCTTCGGTTCCGGGGCCCCAGGCCCACCACCCCCTCGCCGACACTTTCCACCTCGGTGCCGGCCTCATGCCCCAGGATGCCTGCAGAAAGGCGTTAGAGGTGTCTATTTTTGTTAGCCGATGTGTCGGGAACGGCCACGACATACCGCATGCCCCAACTTCACGGATGCTGCAACATGCTGCCACATCCTATTTTCACCTGTCCTCCCCCAACAGAAAGTTCACATCACTGCGCCGAGTCACTGGGAAAGAGCCCCTCCGGATCCTGGCCCGAAAGCCTCGTCAGACGGAGGGAAGGTGGTTTGGGGACGTTCTGGAAGTGCTTGGAGTTGTTGGGGTTCGATTCTCACATGTTGGGATTTCTGTCCGCGACGACTCGGCTAGTTTGGGCGGCTCAATGCAGCGCCCGGCACGTGTAGATGTCTGTATGGCAGAGGGCGTTGGAGTGCACCTCCCACATGCTGACATGGAACGCAGAAAGGCAGGAGCAGAGGGCTTGCACTCGCAGCATACCAATCCTTCCGGGAGCTTTTTAGGGCCAACACAGCCATCACTCATGATCGCTCCAATAGCTCTGGGGGGCACGGTGCTTGATCTCCTCAGGGACCCGTTTTGGAACAAACCAGACTGTCTTTTGCACCAATGGTTTTTTCAGCCGCTTCTGAGGTCCACATCTCATCTCACTCGTTCAGCTTCTCGAGTGTTCCCTGCGCATCCATCCTCTCCAAGACCTGCTTGGAAGGGGTTGCAAGCTTGGGGAAGCACGTTCTTCCACTTAACCTCCACTTCTCTCCTCTGCTACCTGCCACGCGGGCCGCCTTGGCCTCGAAGATGTCCGCAGGAGGTAAGGGATCCTGCTTGCGCACGCGTTGCTTTCGAACCCCCATGTGGAATCCACAAGGTTGCTTCTAACATCTTCTAACTGTTAGCATCTGCCATAATGACGCGATGCATCCACAACGCGCCTCGATGACATGAGTTGTGAAGTTGACAGTCAAGACCTGGAACGGCGTGTGGGCACACAGTGTCGCCCTGCAAAAGCCTTGCAAGACTGTGTCGCTAAGAGCTCACATCTTTCACATCTACGAGTCCCCAACATGACCACCATGACACCCACCACCCTACTGGCACAAACCTTTCAAGTCAAGGCCTTCCAGTCCAGCTCTGGCGAGTAAGAGTTCCTAGGCTTGTCGCGGGACTTGGGGGGAGGGGGCATGGAGGGGCTGAGAACGAAAGGCGCCTTCCACGGCCCCTCTCAAGCAAAACGGCCCCTCAAGAAAACGCCGAGTGTCTGGATGGCCCAGGACCGGGCCTCCTCTGTGCGCTTCCGAGCCTCCTCCTCCAAGCCAAGCCACGGGGGGAGGCCACAACGAAACAAAGCTTGGAAGAATGGAACCATCCATGACATGTATGGCGGAAGAATGGTCTTGCGAGCACCTGATCATGAGCAGAAGCTACCTCTGTTTCCTTTGGGCGGCTTGGCTTGGGATAGACTGATACAAGTGAGGCAAGTTTGAAGATTCGAGGGGCGTTTCTGGGTTTCGGACTCTCCGGGCTTGGGATTCTTCAGGGTCTGGGAGTGCGAGATTTCAACGTCCTCGGTCATCAGCGTGGCCCCGCAGTGTCTGAAGGTCTTAGGGTCGACGGCGCAGAGGTGGTGGATGCCCTTTGCCAGCTTTTCTTAGATTTGAGTTTTAAGGTGACAGGTGGGCCTAGGGTTCAAAGGCTCAACCCTTACAGGTCGTCCGGCCCCAGATGAGCGCCGAATGACTTCAGCTCAAGTGGGCTGGGCAGAGCCGCGGCAAAACAGCATCAATCTCAGCGAAGACTACGCGACTGGTCCCCGTCAAACCTTCCTTGAAGTGCGTTGCTCAACTTAGGTCATGGATCACGAGGAGGTTCTGGTTACGTCTGTTTACGTCTGGCACCTTCGGCACTTCAGAGAGCGTGGCATATACTCGTTTATCTCGCTTCAGGACCCACGCACTCACCCTACGGCCTCGTGCACGCCCGGACGACGCACGAGAACACGCGGACAAGCAACCCAGCCAAGCAACCAAACGGCCCAACCAAAAGAGCAGCTACTCGAACAGCTTAGGAAACATGACCACCTGGAAGGACTCATGGGCCCCATATGTTTTCGAAGCGCACGAGGCCTTTTCACCTCAACCCAGGTTCCCGACGACCCTCGGCTCCGAAGGGTGACCCTACTTCAAACTGTCCCCGCACCTGAAAGAAATTCTCTCAAAATGACCAAGCCTGCTTCGTCCGTGAGTAGGTCTTCTCGCATTGCTCCACGGAGAAGTCCTCTCAATGGCAGGAAACGGATCCCTGGCAGATCCGCGGGACTCCCGAAGTACCAGCCTGAAACAAGCCTGAAACAAGCCTGAAACAAGACCACAGGCGCAAGGCGCTGCCTCGCAGAAAGCGAGGCCCAGTGGAATGCGTCCGATGGCGCAGCTCGTCAACGGCGGCGCCTGCGAGAAGCGCTCTCGGGGGCATCGACACACCCTCAGGAGCAGCGGGACAAAGTTCTAAGATTCTCCAGCGTGCATTGGGCGGTTTGGGGTGACATGGATGGTGAAGAAGAAAAGGGCGGAGGAGCCAAAAAGCAGAAGCTGTTTACGGGCTAAAGGCTAAAGGTTGCTAGAGAAGCTTGCTCACACTCGCACAAGGCAGGCAAAGCTTAGGGTTTGGGATTTGAGAAATAAGGTAAGTACGGGCTTCCGAGTTCTAACCACCTGCCTTGGGTTTAGGTTTCGACACCAACACCCACACACCGCAGGCAAGGCAACGGCTTGGAGGTCCAAAACAAAGACGACTGGAGCTCTGGCGGTTTCGCAAATTCAAGCTGAAGTTAGAACGAGAGTGTGAAGGACACGACCAAACCAAAGAGCTCTCGCATCTTGGGACACATGTACAAACGCTACAAACATTCTGCAGCACCTCGCCCTGCACGCCCTGCACGCCCTCCACGCCCACCACTTCGAGCATGGAGGCATTGGAACTGCTGTCCTCCTCCTGTTCGAAAGTTAAAGATAATGGGCTTTTCCGACGTCTCGGCCCACAAGATCTTCGGCCACTCCCAATGCATCCTAGATTTTGGTCCTAGATCCCACCTACCATGGATGTTTGCGGGTGGGAAGGCTTGAGCCCTCGTCTGTTCCCCAAGAAGCCCGTCACCTCCCCAAGGACCCCCACACACACACAGCTCTTTCAAACAGAACCACATCAAGGTCGGGTTTCATGTCGCACTGAGGCAGAGGTCCTCCACAGGCGCCTCATAGCCAACGCTGACACCCTCCAGAACTTCCTGCCCACTCTGCAACCGCTGTCTCAGACGGCGGCTGTCACCACCCAGAAAACCCAACACCCCTGAACTGGGTTAGGCCCTACATCTGCTGGCACTTGCATGCCTCCGGAGGCTGGCAGGGGTGGCCACGGCGGCATGCAGGCTCAAACTCCGCCCAGCCTCGACGAAGGCAACGCGCTTATGAGAACGTCGCCAAATCTTTGTGTGGCGCAGGCAACTGCTGTTCTACGACAGTTGCACCAGTACCTTCAACAGACAGGCATTGATAGCCAAAGGTCCAGTCCTGCAAGGCCCTAGCACAAGAAAGCTAAAACAATAAATGGACCTCGGCTAGCCTTTCATTAGTTCGTTCTCTTGATGACCCATTTACCTTTTCAGATAAGAGCTTGAAGCTATGTGTGTTTGTACGGCCGACAATTAACGCGACTGGAATCCCGGCCTCGAACTGGGTCCTCACAATGGCCTGGGTGGCAAATTCTCCCGGACACATCCGAAGAGGTGCAGGTCTAAAGAAGACCCAAATCAGGACACCAAACCAGCTCCTCAGGCCCTGACAAACCAAGCGACCACGATCACAGAGCACTGCCGGGATGCGGCCTGCATGTCAACGAAGATCCACTTTACAAGCAAGTCAGCTGCTCCGTGCACAAGGAAGTGCAGGAGATGCGCTTCCATCCGTTTTCCTGTCTGTTCTTGCGGGCAAAAACACACTGAAGCATCAGTAGTATAGCTGGACATTCTGCCAGACGAGGCTCGGCTGTTGATTAGGTCGCTTGGCGCTCTCAGCATGGGCTGCTGAGCTTGCTCCTCTTATTCTTGCTTAGTTTTTCTCTTCCTTTTGTGCTTCTTCTTTGTTGCTATGTGCGGAGGTGTTGGGAGGGCCGCCTTGGCGGCAGAATCAGAACCGAAGCTCTGTTGGGCTGTGCCCATGTGGATGGCATGGTGGTCCGGGCCAAGTGAGCTTTCGGCAGCCAAAAGGTAAAATCTCTCTGGGCGCGAACCAGGTTGCTCATGATGGGCATGCACAGTAGGCCTGATCCGCTCGACTGGGCATGTCAGGATTGAAAGATGTCTGCTGGTATCATGCTCATGTACATAGGCTACATCGGGGGTCAGACTAGCAGCCCTCGACTTCAGGCCAGAACGATCATCTGCAGGCACGCTAGCAAATGCGGAACTTTGTTGAATCGGACGGGGCCTCCGATGCTCCACACATTGACCATGCCAACCTGCTCGAGGCAGGTGTGGCCATGAGCACTCAGAACCCTGGTGTCGACATCAAGCTCTGTGGGAGGGACTTTGTGCCAGCGAATTCTCAGGCCCTGAGGCTGGTGCCTGCCGAGTGCTGCCATCTTCATAGCCTCAGAGTTGAACAGGTTAGAACCTGGCCTAAGCCTAAAAGGGGAAGGACCTGGCACAACCAAAAGAAGGGTTCAGGGACCCTCAAAGCCCTCAACCCTGCGTGCAAGCCGCACCTCATGCGGCCTTTTTACTTGAGCCAAAATGGTCAGAAGGTAAGTCATCCTAGTCTGCACAACATGACTATACATGCTTTACAATAGAGGAAGGAAGCTCGTGATTCTTCAACTCCCCCCTTCATGTTTGCAGAACTTTCAGTCGCCAAGCTCATTACAGCTCGATTACGGACTTTAGGAAGACTGCAGCTGCAAGCTCAGCTCAGCAGCTAAACCTACTGTCGATTGTGGCGCGGGCTCAGCCATGCGCAGTTGAATCCGGTATCTCAGGTGATCAGGCTGAAACACAGACTCAATGAACCTTTAAGGTAATTCTACCTGCAATCTATACAAAACTACTCTCAACCGGTGCAGGACTGTGCTCAGGCGAAGTCAGAGCGGCGCTTGGGAGCAGCCGGACACTGACACAACGCAGTGCAAGGCTGAGGGCAGGCAAGAAGTGCAGGATGAGATCCTCAAGAACTCATTCAGATGACACAGGGATGATGGCTCATATCCAAGTGTCTGCAAAAGCACGATGATGGAGGTAGCGCAGGAGCAGCTTGACAACCATCACAAACATATCACCCAAGGAATTTTCAAAAGACTTCAGGTGACAGGGAAGTGCATGCTTAGATGGGAACATCTGGCAGATGCTCAGTGGAGATGTGGAGCAACTTCAGTGCATGAGCCCACTTCTGGACCGAAAGAGCCTTCGTCAAAGGATCACCTTTCTGGTCATTAGTGTTGACATAGCCCAGTTCAACATCATCGTTGTCGTTCACAGCTTCGCACGTAGATGAAACGTTGATGCGATGAGTTTTGGACAAATGCCTCAGCTTAGCTGAATATCCTTTACGGACAATGGCAATGCAAGCCTCATTATCTTCACGACACAAGAGCTTAATGCCAGGGATTATGGTTTGCCAAACTTCAAGTAATGGCAAGGCATCATTGAACAGCGCACTGCTCAAGGACACGAATTCTGCTTCGGTAGAGCTCCTTGAGACCACTTTCTGTCTCTTGCTGGACCATGACAGAAGAGCAAATGAGTTGCTTCCTTCAAGGGCAACGATATACCCACTTGTGGAACGTGCGGTGTCAGGACATCCGCCGAAATCTGAATCCACATACAGGGCAAGGTGCAAAGATGAAGCTGGGTCGTGGACAAACATCACAGGGTTGTATTGAACCGTCGCAGCAATGTAACCCACCAACCTGGCAACCCTTTTATCATCGTTCACTGACCAACGACAGACATTGGTCGTGAGGGTAGTGACGGCCACCATAAGATCTGGGCGATTCAAACGTGCAAGCCACAGAATCTTCATCAGGATGCGAGCGGCGCTGTCAGCAAGAGAACCCCGAGCATCATTATCACTTAGTGATAGAGCTCCTGGGTCAACATGCGGGGTCCTCTGGTGCTTAACAGCGGAACCAACCAAGGATTCATACAAGTCAACACACTGTTTGGCGAAGTCTTCAGTTTCCAACGCAAGGGCTGGTTGATTGTCATACAAGACGTGGCGATGACTGCGACCAAGCACTCTGGGGAGAGGAGCATAAGGCTCGAGGTCAACTTGTTTCGACAAGGAACTCCAGAAACCTTTATGCTTCGACAACTTCCCGCTCAATGTGAGGTCGTCAACATATACGCACAAGATCAGATCCAATGTGGGAAAATAATACACAGAAGGAAGGTTGGGGAATTCAATTCCACCAAGACCAGTGAGAATGCCATGCAAATGCTTTTGCCAATGCGCTGATGACTCAGGGTGTCCATACAAGGCCTTGTAGAGCGGTGCACAGGGCTGAATTACGTCTCTCTTAGAAGCTGGGACGAGTTCTGGTGGCAAGAGGACGAAAGTTCGGTTTTTGCTCTTCAAGGCTGCTTGTGTATACGCCTTAATGGCGTCGCTAGTTGTCACACCATGAGATTCGAGAAGACCGAATCCAATGACCGTGTTCAGTCCCTCAAGCGAAGAAGGGGCAGACGCGAAGAGTTCTTCGAACACAGCAGACATTCCAGTCTGGTCACGTATATCGTCTCCACGAAAGACGATACGCGCCTTAAGCTTCCAAGAATCAGGCTCTAGTTCGGCGCCTTTCACACTCATGCTGACCATCAAGTTTCCGAAGTGGATCACATTGGAAGTCCTGCGAGCCCATGCAAGAACCTCACTCTTCGGCATGATCTCTTCTTCTATCCAGGTACCTGCCTTCAAAAGACCATCCTTTTCTTCTTGGACCTTTTCAAGCGCAGCAGGCTGGGAAGTCCATTCCCTTCTATCCAACAGCCGATGGACGTAACCAGGGATTCGGATGTGGCGCATACCAGACTCAAACATCAGGAGATCGAGCGGTAGTGGCGGCCGAACGTCCTTAACCCTGTGAAGTTGAGGAAAAGTGGGCACACATGGCAACGCTGGTGCAACAAATGCTTTCGCATAAGGAAACAAAGATGCCAAAATTGCCCTGGCCATGGCCTCAGGGTAAAAGGCTGAGCGTCTTGAGTCTGAACCTTCAACGGTATCGTGCTTGAAGTGCTTAGGATGTGAACACTGATAAGCCGCAAAGTCATGCGCCAAACGCTTACTACTAGTCAATATCTTCCAAGGCTTCAGCATTGGGCCACCTCTGGAAGACACAAGTCCGAAAGCGCATCCGTGGAACTCAACGGTGAGAAGATTGAACTGGTCAATAAAAGCAATGATCTCAGGCAAAGACCAACCAGCAGCGTCTCTTGGCCACTCGAAACTTACTTCACCCCCCTGAAGTATGACTAATGCAGCAACCCGGATGAATTGCAACAACAGCTTCCGGGATTTCTCCCTTTCGGCGGTAAGCTTTTCAAGGTATCCCGGCTTAGTGGCCAAGTTCATGCGGGACCACGCTGACCAAGGTCCACATTCAAGGGATCCATGGATGCAGCAACCAGGAGTTGCACTGACTTGGTGGATGAGCTGATCGATGGCCAAGGGATCCTCGAGATTGATGCTTTCACGGCACAACCGAACCACTTGAACACCCAGTTCTGGACCAAGACGCCCAATCATGGAATCCGGAGCGCAGCAAAATTCATAAAGTATCAGTGCACCAGGCTTCTGATGCCGACAGGCAGGCAAAGCTCCAACACCGGGGAGTGCTTCATCATCTTCGGGAATGGAAGGTTCGTATTCCGGCGTCCTGAGGAAGTCTAGCTCTGACTCAGAATCTCTCCCTGCAGACCTACCCAAAGCAGCAAGTTCCACTTCAACTGCTTCTTCATCGGCTGGGTCGATCTCAGGCGGAAGATCAGGCAAGCCAAGATGCTCGAAAGACAAGAGCCTCTCGTGATCCTCAACAGGTTGAGACGAAGTTTTGGCCTCGTCCCCGAACGCCTTTTCAAAACGAGCAACACATTCAGGATTGTGGTCGGAACGGTCTCTTTCACAGGCAGTACAACCTGGAGTAGGGCCAAGCTTCAGAAATCTTGAATAGGTGATGTAGATCCTTCGGGCCTTTTTCTTGATGTTGGCTTGGTCGCCTGAGAAAGGCAGAGGAAGAGGATCTGGTATTACGAAGTCTTCTCCTCCACAAAGTTGCAGCGTGTGTTCGGCTGCGTTTTTGAGGGGAAACACTGGATCGCCAGATCGCACATACAGTTCTGCTTCAGGAACAGATATTACCTCTTCCCAAGAACCAAGTTTGAATCGAACTTTGGCTAAATCCAGCACGTATACAACCGACCTATACAAGAACCCAGGCTCCAATCTCCATCCGGCAAACAACCCTGGCTTGGCATTAGGACCAAACTTGCTATCTGCTCGTGCCCGATAGAAAACAAGTTGGCCTAAGATTAATTCCCGAGGCGGGACGTCTTCGGCATCGAAGTGCGCAACTGCAAAGTCCCATCGTGAGAGATCAGATTCGAGAGGAGCAGGATGCGAAAGGTTCATCGCCATTGACCCGTAGCGGCAAGCCACTGTCCACAACTCAGGTCTGACAGCAAACCCTGCTTCAAGAAAAGATGACCTGACCCCTTCTTGGAAAGACCGAATTTCACGCTCAAGTTGAGAATTATGAGGAAACCGGTTCGGCAATGAAGGCATGTGTAACCAGCCCAAGGTTTCTGCAGCAAGCTTGAATTCGTCTGCTGCATCAGAAACCAGCGATACCGGTTTGCTGCACACTTTCCTCCCAACAAAACGCTTGAGGCATGTCAAGATGGAATCAGTTGAACGATCTGTGGCAGGGTAAGCAGCAAACAATCCTGTGAAGCGATCTCGAAGGCACAACACCACATACTCTCTTCCGGGAGCATTGGAGTCACTAGGTGACTTGAACACATGGATGTGATCAGCTGCAATAACCTCTCCAAACTCAGAAGCTTCTAGCATCGCGGGCTCAGAATCCTCATCACGAGGCTTGCGGCGCACCCTGCGGGATAAGAGTTTGGATCGATTGCACACATCGCAGAACGGGTTCTTTGGGAAATGGAATAAGCGATGCTTCACGCTCACAGCTTCATCTCTCAATTTGCGAACTCGATCGCTGACATGGGCATCGTCCACGATGGGAACTCCCGGCGAACTCACATCTAAAGGCTTGTCCCCTTCAGGAAGCGCAGATGCAGCTGGACCATCAGGGTTTGCCTCGACAAGATGTTCTTTGGGCAGCCCCCCTGACGAAGAGGAAGGCACTTCGGACGACTCAATCTCTGCTGGAATGACATCAACCAGCGGGTGACTGTCCAAAGGAAATCCAACTCCTATGAGAGCATCTAAGACATCAAGCTCAAGAGAAGCTGGATCTTTTGCTGCGTACAAGATCATCACCAGCCGATCACCAGTCCAAGGTTGCGTGGCATGTAGTCGATTTTTGGCAGAGAACTGGATAACCCCTTTCTTGAAACTCAAAATCTTGCCAATCTGCGAAACGCTTGGAAAAGGACATTTGTCTCTTCCTGCAGCATCTTCAATCCAAACACCACCACCGGTAAAACCCCCCAACGAAATGACAACATTGTCGATCCCAGCATTACGGGAATCCTTGTGAGGATCTGCGGACACATTGTGCAGCAAATTGATGGTGGTGTAAACATGTCCAGGGGCTTTACGCTGTGCAAATTGGTTCAATGCACGAGTCACGAAAGGGTACTCCTTCGTAGACTTCAAAAGACCGACGACGCCACCTCGACGGAAGCAGCCAACTGCAAAGGACGAGTCGTTGCTCGGCTCAATCCCTCGGGGTGCTGAACCACGCTTCACAAGTCCAAAGATCTTACGAACTTGATTGGGCTGAATATCACCACGCTTTGTTAGGAGGTCTTTGGCATACTCTTCAGCTGGATCATGGGCAAAGGGGGTCGAAGGCTCTCGGCTTTCCTTACCAGACCTTTCAAGAGAATCAGCTGACGCAGCCACGCCGTGGACAAACTGAACTTTGCTGGTGAAAATAGGCACATGCTCATCTATGCGCGTTGCATAAAACCTGGCCTCCTCAGCGCAATCAATCCGAAGCTTAGACAAGTCATGCACGAAGAAAGGAAGGGAACCAGGTAACCATATAAAGGCCTTCCCGGATTCAACATCCAAACCGGTGCTCCGAACAACTGGACAGTTGTCCAACATGTAGTGGTTGGCGAGAGGCATATTGTCGGACGCAAATCCCAAACTCTGAGAGCCAGGCTGAGGTCCACCACCTGTGTGGAACGTAACAGGGCTCGCTGAGTGCGCAAGAAAGGACCTGTACGACTCCGACGGAATTCCCTGGTCTGCCAGCGCTCGCGCCGATCCAAGATGCCGACCAGCAGCTGTGTCGGCAGCCCATTCAACGCTGAAAGCGTTGCTCCCAGGAATGTTGCACATGCTTGAGGCGGCCATCATTGCCACGACTGCTTTTGCAACAGCTCCTGGGGACTTGGGCTTGGAAGCGGCGGCCTTAGGCTTAGACTTAGGGTCAACCTTAGGGGTCTTATCAGGGGCGTGGCTGTACTTGCAATTCTCTCCATGCATGCAACCAGACGACATTCTGAAGAAAATGCAAGGTGTCTTGGCTTTTTCTGCATCTGACATGCCTTTTGCCTTCGCTTTAGCTTTTGTCTTAGGTTTGGGGCTTGGTGCGGGATTTGCAGGTACTGGAGCCTTCGGTGGAGGTCCAGTGGACACTGGGGCAGGAGTCTTGGCCTTTGGGGAACTCCGGGACGCCTCCTTAGTCTCTGCAGGAACTCCCTTTGTCTTTGCCTGCGGAGCGGCAATTTGCAAAGACTTCATCACTGAGTGAGAGTTTGCATCTTCTCGCTCTTGAACAAGGATATCTTGTATTTTGTTCCATAAGTAATCCCACTCACGACGACGGGATTCTGGCGCAGATTCTCTGATATCCTCGATGATGCATTCCAACTTTCGAATATGCTTCACCCGGTGGAAAAGCCATTCACCAGTGAGGCGATCATCTGGCCTCTGTCCGACCGGTATGGCATACAGAACAGTCCTTACGCGTTGCACAAAGTCTCGGAGATCTCGCATGGAGTTTCCCCCGATTTCAACCTGGAACAACGTCGAAGCAGTCAGCACAGTACCTCGAACACGGTCGATGCTGAAATGACGAGCAAGAAGGGCAAGCATGTATCGACCTTTCGGCTGGGACCGTGCTTGGCCGCACAACTCAACATAGGCAATTACCTCTTGCTCCAACTCAGTCACTTGCTTCAACACACGCAAGGAAGTCATCTCTCCAGCAATCCAAGCGTCAAGGCGAGGGAGAAAACCAGACTCAGTAAGGTCTTCTTTTTCAGCTGTGAAAGACTGAGACAGCCATTCAACGACCAAACCTTCTCCTGACATATCAAGCTTGGCAATTTGGACCAACAACGCGTTTTTCCAGGCTCGGAAACCAGCAGCGTCGGAAGGAACAGGTTCAAGCTTGAGATGCAACAAAGCTCGGTTGTCAACAATGTGCTTCTCTTGCCTCTCAGGCTCTTCGTTCTCATGAATAGGAGATGCATCATTGCATCCTTGATCCGTGCCATTTCTTTGGGCAAGCAGTTGCTGGACGACATCAATCAACTGATCAACACGAGGGTCGGTAACGGTTGCAGGAGGGCAAGGGGGTGACTCATTGACAACTTGCGGCAATGAAGGTGCACCATTATTGTCCCCATCCGAACCGATATGTACCCAACTAGAACCACCTGAACAGGCACTTGGTGCAATTGCAGATGGCACATCTTGCTGGCGAGGTGCAGGCTTTGGAGGTGAAGACTCAGGACTCGTGGCGCTTAAAGCAGCCTGACGAAGTCTCTGAATCTCACGGTCTTTGACTTGCAACTCAACACGTAGCTGGGTGTTTTGGAAGTTCAGCAAGTTGTTATCACCCCGGCAGCTGGTTAGGGCGGCTTCAAGCTCTTGGTACCCTGCACGAGCAACCTGAAGTTCAGCTTCGACTTTGCTTAGCTCAGCCTTAGCTACGGATAGCTGTTCTTCCAAGATTCGACCCTGTTGAAGGATCTCATCATAACGATGTTCGTATTGTTGCAACTGCTCACGCATTTGCTCAGCGGTGGCTTCAACCAAACCTCTAGCCTCATTCTCTACCTGCTCTAGCCTTACAGCATGTAGCTGCTCAGCATGATCAGCCACTTGCTGCGCTGCTTGGGCTGCAGCCAAACGTTGGGCATCCAGGACTTCTTGTGGGGACGCTCCTACGTTCAGGATGTTCTGCGTGTATGAGGCTTGAGCGGTTAGATTCGGGTAAGGTTCTGAGTGCTCACGAGTTCTGCGAGGTCCCGACAAAGCCCGTCTAGTCAGAGGAGGGGACCTTTCACGGAGCTCAACTGCAGAACTACTCGTAACCGAACCACTATCTGAACCGATACCACCCGGCAATGCCATGGCTGAGGCACTCGATAGATCAAGTACCGAACTAGCTTGGTTGCTAGGGTCTGAGGGGGAAGACATTGCCTTGAGAGGTGGAAGCGCTTAGCAGCAGCTCAACGCACCCTTTCTTTTGGCAGAAGAGGCGAGGCTCACGGTTGGATCTGCAATCCCCTCAATGTCGCCAGAGGAGGCGCTCAGCGCCGGACAACTGGACGAACAGCCCCAGACCTTTAGGCGTCCGGAAACCACTTCCGCACCTGACCTTTGATAGCGTCAGTACACTCCGGAAAGCTGTCAAAGGAAGGCACGGGAGCACGCGGAAAAATAGTGCGCTGTCCACGACTCCCCTTGGATCTCTTCGGAATGGCAATATGCAGAGGAATCACGTGCTCAGAGCCCGCCAACTCGTCACAGACATCTGCAGAGTCGTCGACGTGAATGATGGGGAGCTCAACCTCCTTTGCCAGATGTTCCAGCACTGCACGCTTCCCCAACGGACCAGTGGCCTTCCTCGTAATGAAAATGAGGCAAATAGGCGATTCCCCGATCTGCGTGAAAAGCGTATCACAGGAATTCACTGTCGTCTCAACCACGTGCCTTTTAGTGTCCTCGTGATGACAGTAACTGCAGACGAAGAATAAGCCCCCGTAGCGCGGAATCAACGAATGAAGATCGCGCAAGGCTGCCACACACTCTGAAGGAAACTCGGGCCTAGGATCCGTCCAGCTTGTCGACTTCTTGTGATATCGATCCAACACTCCGTGAAAATCCAAGCTCAAACCAAAGGAGAATCTCTCGAAAGCAGGTTCCGTAAGCTTCACCTTAACACCCTCAAAGTCCAGCACCTCTGTCTTCAGGGGACGGAAGTCAATCACACGAGGATTTCCTGTCACCTGAGGTGGCGGAGGATGCGAAGGTTCCGGCACACGATGCAGCACCTGAGCCGATGGAGGATGCGAAGGTTCCGGCACACGAGGCGGAGCCTTCGGTGGAGTCTTTGGAACCGGAATGCCTGATGACAAACTTCGAGGCGGAGCTTTCGGTGGAGTCTTCGGAGCCGGAATGTCTGATGACAATGAAGCCGATGGAGTTAACAAAGGCTTTGGAGCCGGCAAAGGCCTCTGAGTTGAAGAGCTTGATGACGAAGAAGCGGGTGGAGGTGATGGAGCCGTGGTCTTCGCCTTCAGAACAACAGTTGAAGGATGAAGTCGATGAAACGGACGAACTGGCGTAGAAGGCGGCGGAGTCTCCGGGGCCTGATCGTCAATAACGATCACTTCTGACTGCTCTTCCACAGCCTGAAAGGGAGCCGTCCTCGGACGGCGCACTACGGATCTTGTAGATCCGTCAGGGCGACGGAAGGGAACTTCGGATGGATCAGCGAAGATGCCCAAGTCCTGATCGCGCAGAAGATATATATTTGATATGCTTTCCGCTTCCTCTGGGCTGCGGCGCCCCCTCGAGTGCCTCTCACACCGAGAGGCCTTGGAATGCGCTCTTCCTCACGAGGAGGGTTGCAGTCCATGGGTCCTCAATCCTAGACCCTGAAATCTACAGAACAAACAGAGCGATACGGCTGATAACCAGTTGAACAGGTTAGAACCTGGCCTAAGCCTAAAAGGGGAAGGACCAGGCACAACCAAAAGAAGGGTTCAGGGACCCTCAAAGCCCTCAACCCTGCGTGCAAGCCGCACCTCATGCGGCCTTTTTACTTGAGCCAAAATGGTCAGAAGGTAAGTCATCCTAGTCTGCACAACATGACTATACATGCTTTACAATAGAGGAAGGAAGCTCGTGATTCTTCAACTCTCAGGAGTTCCAATGTTAGGGGGGGGGGGGGGGGCTTTTTGCATCCAGGCCTCCCACCCCCAACCTCTGGGCTTCGTGGTACTATGTACTGTAGTTACTACAGTTGTACTATGGTAGGCCAAGCTGCGCTCGAAAGCAGGAGCTTCCTCCTGCTGTCCGGCAAGATGCATCATTGAGTTGTCGCATCACTGAGTCGCAAGTCTCACCACAGCATCGTCCTTGGAGCTTTTGTACACGAGGGCCGATTGAGAAAGCGGGTCCCCGATCAAGTGGTCCATGCCTCATGGAGCTGGTATGCCGAGCAACAGGGACATACCGGCACAGGCGTTGGCGATGGAGCAAACAAAGGAACTGCGACGAAAGTCCCCCCATTCCCAACTCACAGCTCGACATGATGATACTGTACAGGTTGGTACATGCTGATACATGTAGCAACATATTGATACATGTTGACAGATGTAGCCACATCTTGATACATGTTGGTACATGTTGATACATGCTGATACATGCTGGTACATGCTGATACATGTTGATACATGTTGATGCATGTTGATGCATGTTGATGCATGCTGCATGTTGGCCCGGCTCTGCCACGATGAAGAGTGAAGGGTGCTCGCGAAGCTCTTGGCCTTTAGTTGTCCCCCTATCCGGAAATGGCTTGCCAGTCCCGAGCGGCACTGATGCGACAACGTCCTAGAACATAGCCGTTGACCCCGGCCCATCTACAACTCTAAGCCGCAGGCAGCAGTCACAGGAGACCACTGTGTCATCACTCCACAGATCCTTGGAACCAGCGAGGGTACAACAAAGCAGCTTGCACAATCACCAAACTCTTATGCCCGGCACCTTGTCCACGCAGAAGTGCTCCTGCAACCCGTAGTTGGTCCCGCGCTTGAGGCTGACGTGAACATATTTGGGCATGGACCCGAAGAATCCTGCAGGGCACTGCAGGAGGAGGTGAGGAAAGTGAAACAACTTCTGCTGCGTGTTCACGCCTTTGCTACCCGCTCGAACATCATGAATTTCCCCAGTCAGAATCCACCTGAACCCTCTGAAATGGACCCAGGATCGGATTCGTGTCTTAGCGAAAGGCATCCTCAATGCAACTAGCACTCTCGGCACCCCATCTCCGATGCCTTCGATCTTCTCCCAAAGTGTTGCCCTCTCTTCGGTGATGTCCTCCCGGATGCCTTCCTTTCGCCGCCACTTCAGCTTCGGGGTCTGTGTTGCCAAGCTCTTGGCAGCTGGGAATGTATCGAATGCAACCGTCCATTGTCTATCCCCGTGTAGAACACTTAGAGGGGTGACCGAATGCGGGCCACTTGCTCAACTCAATGACCTCGCATGTGTTGACTTGTTCTGTATTCCTCGGTGACCAAAGCCCAAACCAGTCCCGTTTTCACAGCCCTGCCTCCTCGGCCGCCTCGCTATTCGTAGGGGGCTCTGCCGTTTGCGGGTCGGCGGGTGAATCGGCGCTCACAGAGCCCAGCAGGGCTGCCGCCGCAAGCAGCCCTTTGTGTCAGAGATTTACAGGGGGGACGTTCAAGACTGCTTTCAGTCAGAACCTCTTGGAGTTTGCTCGGCTTAAGAGTGGGAGTAGGTGGGGCTAGAAGACTTGACGCCCTTGAAGAAACCATCTCAACCGAGATGACAGGCATTGTCAAAGGCGGGTGGTTGACTATGAATCTACCGCCAGGTCCTAAGTGAATCTAAAAAGCCTTCACCAGTAAGAATTACCCCGCTTGCAAGCCAAGATGCTGATGCACATGGATTCACAAACTCTTTGGCAGGAAAACGAGGGGCTGATTGTGTGGCTTCCTAAGCGCCCTCTGCTGAGCCCAAAAGCAGCAATTTGCCGGACTTCGACTGAGCTGCGAGAAGCAGCAGAGAAACATCCACATCCGCCTGAAACCGCTCCTTACTGAAGCCTGACCAGGAGTCATTCCAAGCCGAAAGCACCAATTTTTCAGCAAACCATCAAAAAGCAGCATGGAACCGGCATAGCACTTGCATCACCCTGCATCAGCAACCTCTTGTTTTTGGCCATCTCTTCTTAAGGGGAGCCCTCTGGTTTCATTGCAACCCTGCAACACGCAGCCAGAAAGATTCGAAACCCAATCCTGAACCCTCAAGACTCGAAATCAGAGTGCAATTTGTCGATGTCACTCGCTCAACTAAGCCATGTACGTCTGTCTACTATGGGTATTCTTGAGCATCCCACCCTGTACCAAAATCCTCGTCCTTTTCTAGCCAATAATGGGCGCCTTGAGGCGCACCTCCCTCGGCCCGGGCGGTGCCACCGTGACGTTCTGAAGGTGCTTGGGGCTTCTTTAGGGGGGGAAGCTTTGTCTAAGGTAAGTCACGGGCCGCCTGCCTGGTTTGTAAGGGTTTTGCGTTCAGGGTCAAAAGAGCTTCGGCTCCAACAGCTGGGGCTTGCGAGTTTCAGGCTTGGGGCTTTTCTGGGGGATTTGCTCGTGGGCTGCGGCTGTTGGAGGATCCTGGCGGTTCTATTTCTGCATGCGCAACATGTCGGGGATCTTCCAAGCCTCGACGCGAAGATCATTCACGCCTCGCGCCACTGCAGCCTGGACGAACCAGATTCCAAGTCCAACTGTTAACGACCTCCCAATAACAGCTCCCCACCTACAGTTGATTCGATGGGTCTGGGGGCGAGGAGGAGACGTCTTTCTGCCTTAAGCAACACTGTCCCGATTTGTCTCTGCAGAGGCATAAGTTTGGAAGCATGGACTTGGGTTCGTTACTTACGGGGTTTTACTACCACTTGGCAAGTCAACAGGGCCTGCCTCTTGAGGAGACACGAACCACGGATCGACGCAGATTAACCAATACTCCGGCTGCCTTGCACACAATTGGCTTCCCAGCCGTGGCCACTCCGCGCACAAGGCGCGCTGCCAGCGTGCTGCGTCGGAAGAGTGCCTCAAGTACTCCCCACCCGACAGTTGCACACAAGCCTGAAGGGCCGAAAGGACGCAAGGTACGACTGTTCATCTGCTACCCTCGGTAAAGGAAGTCATCCCGAGGAAGTCATCCCATCATTCTCATCCTTAACTGCTGCAAAGCGGCAGCCATAACTCCACTGCTCGGCTCTATGTACAACAGCAGCTGAAGCAGGATTGCAGCAGGACGCAAGAAGATGCAGGGCGATTCCAGACAACGATAGACAAAGGAAGGGCTCAGAATGCCGGCCCAACGAGGCCTACATGCAAGCTAATGGACCTCCTGCCAGGTTGACCGCGCGCAACCAACTCTTCAACACCCTTGCTTTATGTGGCAGCACATTTTCAGAACTCTGGCGACTCTAGCGCGGCCGCTTGGATGGCCTCTTGTGCACAGCCGCAGCCGGGCGCTTCAAACGCGTCGAAGGGGCCTTTGTCCGCCTGGAAGCTTTGGAGATCCCCAAGGTCCCCAAGCCTCTCTCCGAGAGCCAAGCCTCGAAGCGCGAGGCCTGGGAGACCAGGTACTCCACGCCCTCCAGCTCTTCCACTAAGAACCATGGCAAGCCACATCGCTGGCCTAACTGCAAGCCTTCCGAACCCCCTACGATGCCTAGGCAGAGCGCGGCGATTGAGTCGACATCACCACCGATATACAGCGATGTTAACAGTGCGTCACGAGGGCCTCGGTGGAAGCGTAGAATGTAAAGCACGACCCCAGCCGTCCGCATAGCATCGCTTCCGAGGCCATGCACTGCAGACGTCCCATCCTGGCCACCCGGAACATTTTCCAGGTCGGGGTGCGGCTGTGGGCCACAGAGCAAGGCATGCACAGCCTCCGGCATCCCCTGCAGCCTCTGCCCAAAAGAGTGATAGTCGGGCAGCTCCTGGATTTTTTGCAGTAACGACACGGTCTCCAGGTGGTTGAGGTCACTGGCCTGCAGCCGCTCCAGGGCCACCTCCAGCACCTTCTGCTTCCTTCCCTTCTCCACGATAAGCCATCTCGCGGCCTGCGCGATGAGGTAGCTGGCTGCTCGAGCCTTTGGGTGTGGATGGGTTGTGTCAGCATTCGCACGGCACAGTTCCTGGCAGCAACCCGGATCCACAAAAGCCAGCGGTAGGGCTCGCATGGGCGGTGCATTGCCAGGATCCACCCGGCTCGCCTGTGACTCTCTCAGCTCGTTTAAGCTGGTCTTACCATTGAAGAAGTATTTGACACTTCCATGGCCACTACGCTCTGCACCAGGCACAGCCGGAGAGGGTCGGCACTTCGCCAGCTCCCACTCTTCCCGCCAAGCTGTCAGCATCGCATCCTCACTTGCAGCCATCCCATCTTTCACCAGGGCTTTCATCAGACCAACTGTCATCTCGCAGTCATCTGAGTACATTCCCCGGACGCTGTTGAACTTGTGCTCTTCCCGCTTCACGGGGTTTTCGGGCCAGCTGGTGCACCTTGTCACACACTGCCTCATCCAGTGCGCGTCTTGCATCTCCACCCCGAAACCAAAGGCATCCCCGATGGCATCTCCAATCAAGAGCTGCGTCACGGGCCCTGCTGAGGCCAGCAAAGCACGGCGTGCAACCTTGGCCTTGTGGTCGGCCGCGAACTGGGGCACGGAGGTTGCCGGCGCGTCCGTGCATTCTGCCATGGCTTACCCTCACAAAAGGGGATGTTTAGAACTACAGACGAGTAAAAAGTTGTGTGACATGTGCTCTTCAGCAATGAGCTTCAACACACGACTGCAAGGATGTAGGAGCATCTTCGGGTATCAGCTGATCAGAGCCGCTGCAAGGACAGGCTGTGCAAGCCTTAACGGTCTCGCCACCCTGAACCAGCCAATACATGAGATTGGACAGAAGGACCGCCTCAAGGAACTCCCGCGATAAGATGAACCCTAGTACCTCTCACGGTGTATCCTGGACCTCAAGCCCTGCGGAGCTTCAAAGGAACCCGGTCCATGTCAGAGGCCGCAGGCACATTGGTTGCCATCACCTTCCGTCAATGGCATTGCAGCGAGCTCCGGGTTGCCGTCTTCTATGACGTTTGGGCGAGGGGGTCTGTACCCCCATTGTGTGCTGAACATTTGCCCCGGGGTCCTGTGCACCTTCCCAAAGCCATGGCCTTATCCAACACGATGCCTAGGACGATGGTGCTGGCGCCAAGGTACTGCAGGAAGTGGTACTGCTTGTGAAGCAAAAGCACCTGGCCACGACATGGCTTCGCACCATCTTTAAGCACCATTGCGATCATCAAGCCAAGCACATGCCTTCTCCAAAATCTAGACGCGCGGCTTATCGCCGACAGGAGCACATCTTCTGGCGAAGGCACAAGATGACAGCAGTCAAACATGCTGGAGCACCGACAGCATCATTGTCACCGGAATGACTGCCTGCAGGAAAGAGAAACACACATGGTCACATGGAACCATTCTTGTCTTGCGAAGGGCCTACCTACGTCCAGACAGTTGCACAGCTTATTCGACCCGCCCTAGGCGGACATGCCTGGCCCAGGAGCACCTGCAGGGTACCCGAAGTGTGCACTCCTCCGAGGACCTCAGCAACCACAAACTCCAGGCAGAACTTCTCAATTTCCCGAACAGTAGCCACTTGGGCCCTAGACAATATACATTAGCCTGACAAGTGGCCATTCAAGCCCCCCTACAATCCCCCCGAAATTTCGCACGAAAGGAAAACCACGTGAGGGATGGGCCATGAAGGTGCCACTGAGGCCATCGAAGACGCCCATCAAAGCAAATTTTCGAACCTTGTCAGGTCATGGAAGGTGCCAGATTGTAGGAAGGCTTGGGAACCTCTGGATGGAGCAGCGTGCCGCTCGGGTTTCAATGGACATGTCGCGGACACGTCTGGGCCCGCCACAAGTTGCAAATCCACCTGCCACAATTTTCGAGACGTGTATTCAACAAGTCTCACCCCGCAGGTGCCACGTGAAGGGTGCCACGAACTTCAGGATGTTGAATGTATGAAATGTTGGGCACATTTTCCAGTAGCATCAACGATGCAGACACCGTTGGGCCTGCCTGTTGTGTAATGCCTGTGCCCGCGAGTGTGGCGAAAAACGGCACGTAGATAATTGTTGACAGCTGGGTCAAATACCATCCTGGCAGATAATCGCACTCGCCTAGACTCCGCTTCTTCATCACGGATCAACTCAAAGATTCGGTCCATAGTTGGGCATGGCGGACGTCATCCGCTTGAAAAAGACCTCACATGACAAGGAAGCGGCCCTGGTGTGCGCTGACGATTGGCTCAGGTGGCTCGGCATCCTGCCGTGTTGCCAACAGATGCCACCAGCAAGCACACCTTCACTGCAACTCTCGCACCCCACGTGATACCAAGGTAGTGGCATGGCATTGGCATAACAGCTATAACTTTCAGGGAGTGGGCAGCGCCGCCGCACCGTGTACAACAACAGCCGCCATTTGCGCAGCCACCAATCCATGTAAGGATTGCGTTGCCGGCTGGTGGGCTCCTGCCGTCAATGTCATGTGTACACATAAGTAGGACAACACACAAAGTCCCACAGTAGCCATCTGTGCGCACCTCTTCGGGCGAAGGCTTGGTCCGCAACAGCGGGGAGGACAAACCATTCTCGCGGTCGCTGGGCATGTTGCCCTGCAACTGCTCAGATGTCAAGCTTCATGCAAAAATTTGATGTCATCTCATGCTGTCAGGATCACACCACATGAGGACCTGCCTGGCAGCGGCTGCAGAAGATGCAGCGGACAACAGCCGTTAACCCCCCCAATTAAGGATGCTTTGAACCAAACCATGCAGTCCTTCTCTGCTGGAGATGAACGAACATCGTGAAGCATCAAACTTGTATGTGACGTCTCATGACCATCCTTTTTCTCCGTCTTTGTTACGCACATGTTTGGCTCAATGCCGTCTTACAGCAAAAATTCGCTGTGTGACATGCATGTTACTTACGTGTTTCCTGCGGCAATGCTGAACCCGAATGTGAAGATGTCCTCCACGTCGTCAGAAAGGAGTGCCGTCAGCGGCTTTCACAACCCGCGCTGCTTTCGTTTTCGTGTTTGGGAAAAAGTGTGCAAGCAAGTATTGAGCCATACTGCATCTCCCGCAAATGGTATCCTTCAAAGGTGCTACTCTTCATCCGTTGCCCTCGCGATCCTGGGCAATCGCCGGACGAGATGATTTCAACGTTACAGCTCCAAACCTCCAACACGTGTAGCAGCGTCGCACCGTGCGTGCTGCGCCCTGCCGAAAAGCCTCAAGCGATGCATGAACAAACCGTCCTTGCACGCTGGCCCCTGCAGGCCACTTGGCGCACTTGGTGTTTAGCCACACATCAAAAACTCCGCTCCTTTTTGATCTCGTTCACTCGTGGTCTATGATGCACCTTGCTACGGGCATTGCAAGGTCTGTGCCATTGCCACGCATTTCGAGTACTTGTTGTCGCAGCACTTCTGCCACGCTTTGGATGTGTGCGATTCACATGACGTCGTCATTTTGAAACCGGTCGTAGCCTTGCCGCTCTGACGCGTTTCGGTGCAGCGGCAGCCGTTCTTGCTCTTGCATCGGCCTGGCAGGCACGTGCAGCGCATCAGCATGGCCCACGGAAGACAATGCTGCAAAGATTACAAATGCCACTTCTCAACGTCCATGTGCTAGCCTCAGAACTCACGCAACACGTCTGTCTGCAATACATGAAATTGTTTCTGTGTCTCGGGTGTGTCGGGTTTCATGCACCCTGGCTTCTCGCCAATCCCCAAGCTCACGCCTTTATTCATCAAGCTGCCATCGTTCTGAGCTCTGCGATGCACATATTGTTTGATGTGACCGTACTGTGGGCTTACTTTACCACATGTTGATCATGTTGGTGACCAAATATCCGCCGAGGCCTGGGGCCGGAGGTGTATAGGTTGTCAGAACAGGCACCCCCCTCCAAATCCTCCCCCCACACCCAAAACCATTTTTCGGACCCCTTCTTTTGCCTTAAATGGGTACCCCCCACTAGGAAACCGGGGTCCGCAAGCGGACGGTTCGCCAGGACCAGAGGCAGTTGAAGCCTCTCCCAGCAAGGGCCCCCCCCTTTTCCGGCCTTACCCCCACCCCCCTCCCCTCCGCGGGGGGTTTTACCCCCCCCCCCCCTACCCCCCCTCCCCCCCCCCCTTGCCCGAGCACGGCTGGGGATGCATTACACGAGCCGAACAGTCTAAGCTTGAACCTTTCCCTAAACCTTAAACCCTAGACCGCCCCCCTGCCCCCCTTCCCCCCCCACCCCCCCTACCCCCCATATGATGTGTAGTATCTACAAAGATCCGTCTACTTTTTTGAGAGGTGCGACTTCGACCATCTGAGGCTTGTCGAGGACCTTTGTCTGGTTCCGAAAAGTGAACTGATGACTATTTTTATCATTAAATGCGATGATCGACTATTATAATTGTGCTGTGGCTCAACCCTACGATCAATCCAAGCCGAACCGTCTCTTGAACCCGAAACCCAAAAAAACCTAAACCCCAAAGCGTGAACCTTGAGCCCTAAGCCCTCAATCCTAAACTAACCCTCAACCCAAAACCCCAAACCATAAACCCGGAACCCTCAACCCTAAACCCAACCCTGATTGCTTGGGGTCCAGCGACTTGGGCGCTGCGGAATCACCATGCTCACGCGGATGCGCTGGGCCGGGCCGAGGCGGGTCGCGTAGCGTTAAAATTAAACTGTCGTGGTTTTGAAACTCTCAGTTTGGCTCACGCCCGCAAGCGCAAATCATCCTGCGAGAAAGATGTGAATTTCCATCCCGTGACGCTTATGTGATTTCTTTACGCGACCTGTTAACCGCAAATGCCGAGGCCCATCATGCCCGAAACATCACATGCTTGCAGAAGTGTGTGTGACAAGCAAACGATGTGTGTATGAGCGTGGCGTGGCTTGCAAGTGTCATAGATACATGTTTATGTGAAGTCCAGTCGTCTCTTTAGCGAAAAGTGAGATTCCAGCAGTCTCTCTCTCTCTCTCTCTCTCTCTGTTTTCTATTTTTTTGTCTCTCTCTCGCTCTCGCTCTCTCTCTCTCTCTCGCTCTCTCTCTCTCTCTCTCTCTGCACGCTTAGCCCCCCCCGAAGGGAGAGCTGCCCCGGAGGTCTCTCTCTCTCCTGCACGCTTAACCCCCCCCCAAGGGAGAGGCTGCCCCAAAGGGCGCGCGATGTCCGAAGGTCCGTTTGATCTGTCTCTCTCTCTCTTTCTTTCCCATTCTCTCTTGCTGATTTACCTTTGAAGGTGCACAAACCTCTGCGGACAATCTTTTTCCAGAATATTTGCACAATTGTTGCGCATTACTGGCAACCAACCTGTTAACGCTGAGGCACATGTGCTGGCTCTCGCGCGCCCAGCCTCCATCACCATAGGTGTACTTGCCACGATCGCTCCCTTGTGTACCGCACGTCTTCCAATCGCCAGGTGCTTGCCTGCACGTCTCGCAATTTTTGTAGCGGTAGTAGAAACCTGGGCTGCAGAGCGGCATCCTTTGATCTGAGGCCTGGCTGCACACAGCATACTGCAGCACAGCCGCCATCCAGCATGTACCAGCCATTTTCGACCCACCTACCTGTTGTTTCCTTGGCTCCTGACGGGCAGATTCCAGTCAAGCTTTCCTGATGCTCTTCAGCCAGCATGTCTGCATCATGCCGCACCTTATGTTCAATGGCTTGCGATCATGCGGCCATGCCGTGATGCCGTCATGCCCCATGCTTCCCTCCCCCAGGTGCAATCAAGATGCTCCATCAACTGCAAGCACGCTCAACACGGAGATAAATGTCGCGAGCATCATGGTGTGATTGGCGGACCACGGGGACTACCGAATGCTGCCAAGCTTGAAACAGTGTTCCGATTGCTGAAGGCTCCATGGAAGCATGTGATATCAAACGACGGCATCTAAAAGCATGTCGCAAAAAATCCCCGGCACCGTTCGCAAAGCGCATTGCGCGTAACGACGCTTCAATCTGGCACAACGTCCGGTGCCATGCGGTGGAAATGAAGCTTTCATTCAAGAAATGGCACGGGCTCGTCTTTTTCGAGGGCGGCACTCATGGCTTGTGTGCTTGGCTCTATCTTCGGCCCCTGATCTGCCAAGCATTGTGTCTGCAAAGCTGGAAGCGTCACTTCCCCGTGCCTTATGTGCAAACAAAGGGTCCCGTACGTGAACCATATGTTACATTTAAATCAAGAATGTTTTTGGCCACCCGCACTGCCAACGGCCGCGGGTTTCCCAAACAAAACTCATGGCGAAACGGAACAAATCATTTTTTTAACCCCGCTCATTTTTCCTGCTGCGTGATGGTCCGCGGTCCCTGTGCAGCACACGCCTCCGGGAGTCCAGGCTCAGGAGAGGTGCGGAGGACGGATGTCCAGAGCCCTTCACGTGCTTAGAGGCAAGCGGCTCGGGACTGGGGGGCGGGCTGCTTCGGAGGAGGCAGTGCCAAGGAGGTCGCTCAACTCCAAGGGTTAAAGGGTTCCCCATCAACATTGTCCGTATTGGCAAAGCAGTGAGAGAAGACTCTCGAAGATTCGCGGCGAGCGCGAGTGCGGCCTCAACACGAAGGACTGCGGCAAGGCATGTGAGGACTGACCGGTCGTGCGCAGCAGCGAAATCGGCTGTCCTGCTAAGGGGCAAAACCCTGGCACAGCGCAATACAGCAGCAGCCGCCAAGCAACCTAAAGGTCAGGGATGTTTTTTTTTTTTTTTGCGCGCGCGCCTTTTTACGTCCAAGCAAAAAGTCAAGCATCCGTCGGCGTGAGTCTACTGGCGGCCTACGGCTGGTCACGCGTCATCCCTCGAGTCTGCCAGGACCTCATGTAGCTCTGGCAGGGGTCCCTCGCCGAGCTCAGCGGCAGGCGGCAACTCGAGCAGCGAGGCGGCGTAGGCGCGCTGGGATGCGACTGCCAGGAGCCCAGACCAGCGCGCGATCCAGGCAACAATGGCAGAGGGCCTCAACTACGCTGGGACGGTGGAGGCCCGGTGTCGCGCGAGGAGGCGCAGGAGTTGCACAGCTTCGGTGCCGAACCTGCCGCCAACCTCAAGCCCGACAACAACCAGGCGGCAGAGCCGTGCGCGCTCGAGCTCTGGATATGTCTGGTGCCGCTTGCGTCGGGCGGCGGCAGAGACGGCGGACCCTGGCTGGACGTCTGCGCGCGGGTGGGGCTCGCCGCGGCGCGTGAGGGAGCACACGATGGTGGCATCCAGGGCGAGCTGAGAGCCATGCCACAAAGGCAGGCCATTGGCGACAACCTCTATGCACCGCTCGTCCGAGACAGGCACATCGAGGTTCATGTCCGCAAGCCGGACGTGTCGGGCGACCCGGGCGCCGGCTTCACGACAGACCCGCGCCACGGCATGCTCCAGGGGCAGCGCACGCGTGGCCAGGACCCCCGAGGTGGCGCAGGCCGAGCGGGTCAAGCTCCCCATGGCAGCGGCATCTGCGCGGCGCGAGCGGGAGGGGAAGTCGCAGGCGGCGCAGCAGCAGAACCCGGTACTGCGCGCTGGGGATGGAGACCTCGTCGCGAGTGAGAAGGACATTCAAGGCACGGGCGGCGAAGGGCCCGGCCTGCGATAGCAGCAGCGCTCGAGACGCAGGTGTGAGGTCAGGAAGGTGCGTCTCGTAGGCACGCGCGTCACAGGCGCGGGCAGCAAATCGCTGCCATCCCTTGAAGGGCCAGGGCTCACGGGAGGTGTCTCCGCCGCCTTGGGGAAGGGGCGCAGTGGCCGCGCCGGTGCAAACGGCTGCCCAGTCCGGAGTTTCGCAGCCGAGCGCTCGCAGGTGCGTCTGCGCGAGGACGGCGGCAGCGGCACAGGGGAGGACTCGATCGCCTCGGGCAGACGCAGGCAAGGTGTCGCACCACGAGGCCCAATGCGCGGCGAAGCGGTCGGAGGTGGCAGTGCGGAGGCCAAGACCCCCAAACCGCTGCGCGAGCCAGGCGGTGCTCAGGCTGTGGGGTGGCAGGGGGCGTCCCCGTGCTCAAGGAGCGTTGCCAGGCAGCGGGCGACTGCTGCATCATGCGCTTCCGCATACGTGGCCGTGAGGTGGGGGGGCAAAATGCGCAGCAGAATGCAGCAGATAGTTTGCGCGCGGCGCGGCGCAGGACTGGAGCAAAAGCCAGGCAGCCTGCAAGTCGTCGAGGCTGGGCAGGCGCTGGAGGAGCCGGTCGTGGTCCTCGCGTTTCTGCTCGAGGTGCCTCGCGACAAAGGCGTCGTGCCCGAGGGGGGATCCGAGCACGGTGAGCCCTTGGTGTTCCGGCGGGAAAGACCAGTCCCCAACCCAGACGGGCGCCGCCCCATCACCGCCGCTGAGGTCTGCGATGCCGCCGGGCTCCTCACCAGCGGCGTTCCAGATGCGCGATTTGCCCTCATGGAGTCGGATCCGCGCGTGGTGCCACAGGGCGGCGGAAAGGGCGTCGTACAGCGCGCGGACGCGCTCAGGGGCCGCGACTATGTAGACGTCATCAAGGAACGCGAAGATGGCCTCGCCATCGAGGAGTTGGCTCTGCAGGTCGGCAAGCGCAGGATGCTGTGCCAGGACAAGTTGCCATGCGACGTGCTCGGGCGTGCTGGGGGGGGGGGGGGCCGAGCACACGGAGGCTACGTTCCGATGCAGGAAGGCGTGCGTCACCTACCTGGAAGGCCTCGGGGAAGGACGCCGCGTTCCAAACACGAGTCTTGGACGGGTTGAAGCGGATGTGCGCCTGGTTCAACAGGTGGTGCTGCAGCTTGCCGAAAAAATGCGAGACGCGAGCGGTGTCTGCTGCAGCGCGCGCCCTTGTCGCCGAGCTTGACAGCACTGGACAGTAACATCATGCTTTGCTTCAATTCCAGCTCATGGGTGGTGCGTGTATGTCCCTGGGCTCCCAATTTCTACGTTTCCCCGTGTGGGGCGACCACGGGCATTGCAATCTGCAATCGAACCTTCTGCCGCTGGTGTGAGTTGGGTGACTGGTTTACAAGTGGAAAAACACACCAGTGGATGGTTCGTTTGGATGCCTTCTGCATCAACATCGCCAGGCGCGCCACATGGTCGAAGGCGCCAACGGCGTCGACGGAGGGAACTGTGGCCCTGGCATCAGCTTCAGTGGCTGCGCGCAGCAGGCGAATGACAGCCTCAGCGCCGGCGCGCGTGCTGAGGCCGTACTGGTGTGGCAGGCACGCTGCCTCGAGGGAGGGAGCAAAGTGCTGGGCCAGTGCGCGCCCGACCAGGCGACGCAGCACATCCCCAACAACGAGGGCGCGCACCCTGCCATCGGGCTTGCGCAGGGCGACGACGCGGCCGACGCGCAGGCCGGCAAGAACGGCCGGTGGGACGGCAGCGTCGGCGAGCTGTTGCGCGGCAGAGTGCAGAAGGCGGGAATCCTCCTCATCATCAAGGAGGATGCGCAGATGCTCATTGGTCATGCCCGACGGTCCGGCACCAGACCCGCGGCGTGCCCCACGGAGGCAGGCGACAAAGCACTGCAGAGGTAGCGGACATGCCTCGCGGGCCTGGAAGGCATGGATCTCGGGGGGCAACGGCGCATATGCCTCGGGTGGGCGCCGCGTGGGGTCCCGCAGCTCCGCAAGAGTGTCGTCCGTGCCAGGCGCCAAACCATTCATGGATGCTGTTGAGCACTACTGCACTTGTTCCCGTACACGTCCGCTCCGCAAATGTGATCAAATGTGTATAAAATCTCGTGCCAAGGCCGTGTCCAATCCATCTGGCCAGGTGCACCGACCACAGACCCAAGCAAACAGCGGAAAACTAAATCCAGTTTACGGAGGTCGTCTCTCAAAATTTTTTGGAGACCCGTGGCATAGCAAGCAACACGACTTACCACAGCATGAAAATATCGCAGTCGGTGCTGCAGGCAAACGGTCGGATGAAAATCAATGTCTGTTGAATGGCCTTGTTCCGTGGACAACATATATACATCCCTGCCATTTGTGGGACCAAAAACAGCCACCACCAGCCCTTGCGGCGTGGTTAAGTGAGTAGGTGAGGCGCCTCCGTAGTTAACACTTTGGTCTTTTGTTTTTGCACTTTGGTCGCTTTTTCCTTCCTCCAGCATCAGCCCCACCTGTTGAAGTGCATCGCATATCTCATCGAGCTGGCTCGCAGCATCTGCAGCCGTCATGGCGAATAACAACAACTCATCTGCAACCCGTACATCAAACAAGCGCTGCAAACATTATTCAAAATGACGCCATCATGTTTTTTTCTTGAACACGCGTGCCCGTGGCAGGTTCAGCTGGCATGGAAAAAAACTGTGAGCCTGCACCTATCCCGACTGGGAGCGCACGAGCGCTCGAACAGGTTCGCTGTCGCGAAAATGGCGGTGGCAGGTTCCCCAGCGTTCAAACAGGATCCGGCAGCTGCGCACGGGTTGGGGGCGTTTCCATCACCACATTCCATCGCAACTGGGCACGGACCAGAGCATCGGTCATACCTGCCCGGCACGCAGCACGGCTCCGTCGCTCCACCGACTGCGGCCACAGGCTTCCCAAATGGGCAAACAAGATTGCGGCGTCTCGCGCATGCGGGGACTCCGTGGCGCCCCCCAAGCATTATTTGAACGTTTGCCACACGGCCTGACAGAGGCCGAGACCCCTTGCGGGGAGCAGGTTGGCACACCACACGCCCCACGACGTCGATGCCGGGCGGGGCATCCCCGCCTGCCACGTTGTAGACTCCGTATTGCCCAGGTTTGCCTCACCCCCGGCGCCTCGCTCGACCTTACCGGTAACAACAAGCAGGAGCTCGGAGCGGCGCTGTGCGGTCCGGCACAGTCACGACCTTGAGGTCGTCC